TTAAGAAAATATAATTATAAAAATAAAATTTTACAATAAATTTTTTTCCCTCCAATTCCATGTTTAAAAAAATAAACAAAAAAATATATATTTTTTAAACAATATTAATTATTAATATTTAATTATATTAATATAAACATCATAAATTTTTATTAATATAAAAATAATAATATATTTACTAAAATAACAAATATATAATTATATAATATTATTTTAAAACAATATTAATTTTAATATATAATCGAATTATAATTTAATTATTATATTTATAATTAATCTATCCAAAAATTATTTTTATATAAAATAATAAATATCCATAATCATCCCAAAACATTTCCCCATATTCATATAAAATCCTAATTCAAATTTAATAAAAAATACACAATTATTTTATTATTTTTATTTTTATATAATTTATTAAATTTTAGAAATTATAATTAAATATAAATATTAAAAACAAATAATAATATATGTTTTCTAAATTATATTATTAATTAAAAAAATAAATATAAAAATAAAAATATAAATATTTAATATATCAAAATATATTAAATATTATTTATTATAATATAATATATTTATATTTATTAATAAAAAAACAAATATTTAAAAATTAATTTAATTTATATATCAAATATAATATATTTCAAAATAAAATATTAATTTCAAATAATTTAATTATATTTTTTAATTTATTAATAAATTATTAATTTATTTCTTTAGAATATTTAAATATAATAATCCTAGATCCGAATATTATTATAAATATATTTATTATAATATTTTTAACACAAAATTATAATATAATCGAATATTATCTTAAATAAATCATTTTTATATATTTTTATAAAATACCAATCTCGACAAATAAATCCTTAGGAAAATTAAGCCTAAAAGGTACATTTACAAAGATTTTATAATATTGTTGAATTTCTACGGCCAAAGGTTTATAGCACTGCCGAACTTCTACGGCCGAACTTTTCTTAGCATTGCCAAACTTCTATGGCCCTTTTTTTATCTTTTCTAGAGAAATGGTCAGTTACGATTGCTCACGGTTGCTCACAAGTGCTCACGATTTCATATAATTTTATCTTGCTACTAGTATTATGATTGCCCAATGTGCCGAAAAATTGCCGAAAACACTCCTTTTGAATCCCTAGGGCCTTACTTCTTAGGTCCAAATATGAGTGAAATTTACCAATCCTTTTTGTTTTAGTATATATAGAGATAACATATAATTTAGTATAGGAGCAAACCAATGTAAAACAATTCTAATATGATTACATCAATGAGCATTTCAAAGTAAATTAATCTACTAAAAGGTATACTATAGAGGTAACTTCAGTTGAGTACATACCTTGAAAGACCTCTATTACATTTACCAATTTTATTCTCTGAAGTAAGACTTCATTTCCTATATACCTCTACATATATTTACAGTACCATTATATTTTCTATGCTATTACAGCATATAATTATCATTACATAACATTATCTATTTTCTTGGAGGATGTTTTGTTCACCTCAGAAGGAAATCCACATGAATGATTGTCAACAAGAAACCTTCAAATGGATGTTCTCCATGTATTTCCAAAAAATTGATGGCTAAGTCCGGATTTACCTTATGAATGGTGTACAATGGTATTTTATGACATCTGAATTTTCCAAGCACAGAATCCTGTTCTTTCTCTAGTGGATGTGATGGGAGAGATTCTAAATCAATCAAAATACTTGTATTCACGAAATCCGCTATAAAAAACACGCAAGGTCCAGATTGGGCAAGCATATATCAAAATGCAAAGGTTTACTGGTTTACTGGCAAAAATGGCAAAACATATGTGTATGAGCCAAACTTATGTGGGTACATTATAATATAAAAAATGAGAACTAAAATCTGTGGCCCGCGGGACCTTTAGCTTTGACCATTGCATCGCTTCCCAACACAAATTCTCAGCACGGCACTGCTCGTCTTCAAGGTCCACAACGACCTGAAAGTGGTGCACCCAATTCGAATGGATCGTCGCAAACCAACATGGCAATTTTCAGGCAGAAACAATCTGTGAGGTTGGGACTCCGGGACTCATTTTTTGGGGGCCATTTGGCAGTGGGTCAAATACCTGGTACCCCTGTAGTTCACATCAAAATAGCGATTTATGGATGTTCATTCCACTCAAAATGCTATTTTCAAAGGTATTGATCCATACCCATTTTGCCATGAACAACCTTGAATTGAAGGGCCCTACATTTTGCCGTCTCTTGCCATGATTTACTAGAGACCCGGCGACGATCAGTTCGTCCAAATTTCCACCATGGTTGCAGGGATATCATCTTAAGGGCGGCACACATGAATCATTCAAGACTTTCCAAATTATCCCAACATAAAAAAAACATCAGGGTAAGCACCAAAGTTGCCTCTTCCCTGCACCAAAACCTTTCAAAAACATCCAACCGCGCCTGGTAAATGTCCCATTTGGGGAATAAAACATATTCACATATATTCACATCACTTTCAGCCATATCTGTTGGAGATTAAATCTTCATTGATCTCCCCTTTGTAGTGGGGTGATGTTAGAACAAATCCATCAAAAATTACTGGTAAACTCACAGTTTACTATGTTCAAATGCCGTCGAAATAGTCTGAAATAGTTGATTCACCCATTAACAATGGTGATTTTCCATAGTTTTTTCTATGTTTACCCATTAAAAATGGTGGTCTCTCCATTTTCATCGGCTGCTAGGTGGATCTTTCGCTGCAATCGCGCCTTGGGCGGCGGCGTGGGCATCTTCTTCGCCATCACCGGGGAGGTCTCGGAGCCTGGCGTTTCTGCCGTTGGAAAATCCGTTGGAAAATCCCTTGGAAAAACCCACCATGTTGACCATCATGTTGATGACTTGGGATGGTTTTTATATGTTTTTTATACTATGTTTTTTTAAAGACCAGGTTTATGACTGGATTGATGTTATGTATATGAATGGAAAATCATTGGAAATCCACCATGTTCCTCCCTAGTACACTTCAACCAACTCTGCCAGCTGAAACAGCCCTTGTCCTCGACTCATCTTCACCGCGCGCTCAGTGGCCATGACCTACTCCGAAGTCCGCTCGCTGACAGAGGCTGACGGCCCCTCAAATGAATCGCTGATCTAAGTCTTGGATTTCATATCTGTTGAACCAAACGCATCCAAACAGCTTGTTTCTTTTTCACATACCATCACTGGACCATCCAATGGCTCATCCAATGGCTTGCAAATAGATCACAAAAGTACCAGGAATTGAAGGAATCAAAGAATGGATCTCAATGCGCACCCGTGTTAACGGTCAAATAACAAACAGCAGCCGCCAGGAGGGCTCTTTCATGGCCAGTGATTTAATCAGCCCAATCCGTCACCATTGGTTGGCTACCACCAGTCGGTCCTGGGCCAATTGGTTGATCGGAATGGCCTTCCTTTTCACCTGCCGCGTGCGTCAGCGTCTTTGGATGTCTTTGGTCTTACTCATCCCATCCCCCCTGTAGCATACCCACCAAAAAAAACGTGGTTTAGATTGGTTTAGATTGGTTTAGTAGGGGCTTTACACATACTCGGAACCTCTCGCGATGGGGGTGTTTGATATAAACTGGGGATGGGATTATTGATGGCACACTGGGAGTACCAAATCCTGCCCCGTACCCATTTTCCAACCAAGCCTGCTCACGCCTTTCAGGCTTCGCAGAAGCAGCTTCGACCTGTTTCAGCTCATTGCGATTGTCTGGGATAGCCTATCCAATGGAGAAGATTAAAATTACTTTACTTCGTGTGATCCCCACCATGACATTTATACATGTTCTTACTGGCACATCTTCTGGCATTCTATCTGACATATCTTCTGACATTCTATTTGGCATTCTATCTGGCATATCTTCTGGCATATCTTCTGGCATTTTCTCTGGCATATCTTCTGGCATTCTATCTGGCAATTCTATTTGGCATTCTATCTGGCATATCTTCTGGCATATCTTCTTGCATTCTATCTGACATATCTTCTGACATTCTATTTGGCATTCTATCTGGCATATCTTCTGGCATTCTATCTGGCAAATCTTCTGGCATTCTATCTGGCACATCTTCTGGCATTCTATCTGACATATCTTCTGACATTCTATTTGACATTCTATCTGGCATATCTTCTGGCATTCTATCTGGCACATCTTCTGGCATTCTATCTGACATATCTTCTGACATTCTATTTGGCTTCTATCTGGCATATCTTCTGGCATTCTATCTGGCATATCTTCTGGCATTCTATCTGGCATATCTTCTGGCATTCTATCTGACATATCTTCTGGCATTCTATCTGGCATATCTTCTGGAATATCTTCTGGCATATCTATCTGGCATATCTTCTGGCATATTTTCTGGCATTCTAATCTGGCAATTCTACTGGCATTATTCTGACATGTCTTCTGCCATTCTATCTGCAATCTTCTGGTCATATTTTCTGGCATTCTACCTGGGCAAATCTTCTGGCACTCTATCTATCTGACATTTTACTATCCTACATGAGGTCCGGCAGGGAACACTGGGCGTGGATGGTCGTGGTTGAGGTCCGGCAGGGAACACTGGGCGTGGATGGTCGTGGTTGAGGTCCGGCAGGGAACACTGGGCGTGGATGGTCGTGGTTGAGGTCCGGCAGAGAACACTGTGGATCGCGGGTCGCAGTTGAGGACGAGGACGACGAGGACGACGAGGACGAGGACGACAAGGATGACAAGGAGGACGAGGAGGAGGAGGACGAGGCAGGAGGAGGCGGAGGAGGAGGAGGAGGAGCAGGAGGAGGAGGAGGAGCAGGAGGAGCAGGAGGAGCAGGAGGAGCAGGAGGAGGAGGAGGCAACTGACATAAAATCTAACAACCCTCACCTGGCAGGTGGGGAAAAACATTAGCCAAAGCCAGGATGAGTGCTTCGTTTCAGACAAGCATGCTTTGGTGGGCTTACTCATAAAAACCACAAAGATGTCCCTGCCTGCCACGTAACGTAATTTTCTCTAGATTTTAAGAATCGACATCCTGTGGACCAGGTTCCACACGCTGGGACACACACCCAGAATGCCAATGGCCGCATGGCCATACATGTGCATGTTTCTACTTTCCAGACAAACCCAAATATCGTGAAGTTATACCATCATCTCTCCATTATTTTTTCATATATCCACAGTTCACTCCAATTAACAATCGCCCATGAATCCATTTATATCTCCAATCCTATGTTGTAATGGTTCAACCTGAACAAAACCAAGCGAAATCCATTAGATGGGTTCAGCCTCAACAAAACCAAGAAAACACCCTCATTCATATTTTCATAGGGTTAACTGGTTAACTTCCCAGCTTAAATCCACTTCAATCCTCAACAAAACCCGGTTGAACACAGTTGCCAACCAGCCAGCGCCTCCGGCATTGTCGCGGCAACTGCCTCTTTCACTTCCACCCTCAGCGCGCAGCGCCAAACTGGTGCTGGCAGCGCCATTGCGCAGGGAAAGATGGGGAGTTCATCATGGCTGATGGTGATTCAATGGTTATTTGATGGGAATTAATCAATGGGGTTTAGCAAGGCAAAGTTGGGACTTAGCCATATCTCATGGTGGCTGAATGGTGATTTCATGGGATTGAATACAGTAATGGTTTAATGGGCCAACTATTATATGATTTGGGCGTGTCTGAAAATAGAGGATGTCCCCAAAATTGGCAATTTTAGTCTAACATGTAAACTTGTCCATGATTCCATCATCCGTCAAGTAGTTATGCGTACTAACGTGCTGCCACCTCGCCCGAGTTAGAGTTTCCCTGAGAGTCTTGCTCAGCGTCTACAGTCTCGACAGCCTCAGGAGCCTGAGGGGGCGATGGCCGCCATAGCCAATGGCATGCCAATGGCACCCTGAAATCTTGTGGAAGACTGGTTTGTTCATGGGGATGGCAACCACAGGCATCAGTCCTGTATAAGCTGTAGTACTGTACTGTAACGCATATATGAACATATGGAATCATATGTGTATGTAAATATATATATATGCATAGATACCAATATATGTATGTGTTATTCATGTATGAATATGTGTGTATATATGTGCATACGCATAGGTATATATGCATAAATGTAAACAAAAATATGTACATGTATAAACACATGTATATATATATATATAAACACATATGTCAATATGTGCATATACAACTATGTATTTCTATGTATATATATATATAAATACATTAATTATATATTCATAGATACATACATTTAAATCTATATTCAAACATGTATATTGACAACTAGAGATAATTGAATACTTATGTACATTAGTTAGTGTAAACATATCTCATATAACACGATATGCTAAGGAACATCTCCTGTTGGTGGGTTGAGCCACAGCGAAACGTCTCCTGTGATGCCGCGACTTGTTGGATTCTTAATGGGAAGAACATAGACTTGCTATTCAGATTTTGATGGGGTTTAACCAACAAACATGGTGTTTAAACGGGATTTGACCAACAAATACAGGGATAGATGGCCATTCCCCATGTCTTGCCATAAATGGGTGATGAAAATTATCCCTAAATGGTATTTGTTTATGGCATTCTGGTAAACAGTTTACCACATTCACGGAAATTTCTAACTGCCCGAAAACACAAAAGAAACCAGGAAGCAAGTTTACACATATAATCACATATATAGACATCCAAATACAATGCGTTGTTCTTCTCTAAAACCTACTGTGACTATCAACAGAGTAGGAGTCACTCTGATCAAATCAAATGCGACCGTAGAAAAACGACCATGCAAAACATATTGTGGCCATGTATCATTGGCTTCGGATTTCTCCACCATTCCTCCACCATAGATCTCTCAATGTTTAATGTTTGCTTCACCTTTCACCCTGCGCACCAGGTGAACGCCATAATAATTACCAGGTGTTTCTTGCTTCAATCCACTTAAAACACCATCTTTACAGGGTTCAACCTCAACAAAATCAAGAAAACACCCATTCATATTTTCATAGAGTTAACTTCCCAGCTTAAATCCACTTCAATCCTCAACAAAACCCGGTTGTAAACAGTTGCCAACCAGCCAGCGCCTCCGGCATTGTCGCGACAACTGCCTCTTTCACTTCCACCCTCAGCGCGCAGCACCAAACTGGTGCTGGCAGCGCCATTGCGCAGGGAAAGATGGGGAGTTCATTATGGCTGATGGTGATTCAATGGTTATTTGATGGGAATTAATCAATGGGGTTTAGCAAGGCAAAGTTGGGACTTGGCCATATCTCATGGTGGTTGAATGGTGATTTCATGGGATTGAATACAGCAATGGTTTAATGGGCCAACTATTATATGATTTGGGCGTGTCTGAAAATAGAGGATGTCCCCAAAAGTGGCAATTTTACAGTCTAACATGTAAACTTGTCCATGATTCCATCATCCGTCAAGTAGTTATGCGTACTAACGTGTTGCCACCTCGCCCGAGTTAGAGTTTCCCTGAGAGTCTTGCTCAGCGTCTACAGTCTCGACAGCCTCAGGAGCCTGAGGGGGCGATGGCCGCCATGGCCAATGGCATGCCAATGGCACCCTGAAATCTTGTGGGAGACTGGTTGGTTCATGGGGATGGCAACCACAGGGATCAGTCCTGTATAAGCTGTAGTAACTGTAGTACTGTACTGTAACGCATATATGGACATATGGAATCATATGTGTATGTGAATATATATATAGATACGAATATATGTATGTGTTATTCATGTATGAATATGTGTGTGTATATACGTGCATACGCATAGGTATATATATATGCATAAATGTAAACAAACATATGTACATATATAAACACATGTATATATATATACATGTCAATATGTGCATATACAACTATGTATTTCTATGTGTATATATATATACATTAATTATATATTCATAGATACATACATTTAAATCTATATTCAAACATGTATATTTACAAATAGAGATAATTGAATACTTATGTACATTAGTTAGTGTAAACATATCTCTAACACCATATGCTAAGGAACATCTCCTGTTGGTGGGTTGAGCCACAGCGAAACGTCTCCTGTGATGCCGCGACTTGTTGGATTCTTAATGGGAAGAACATAGACTTGCTATTCAGATTTTGATGGGGTTTAACCAACAAACATGGTGTTTTAACGGGATTTGACCAACAAATACAGGGATAGATGGCCATTCCCCATGTCTTCCCATAAATGGGTGATGAAAATTATCCCCAAATGGTTTTTGTTTATGGCATTCTGGTAAACAGTTTACCACATTCACGGAAATTTCTAACTGCCCGAAAACACAAAAGAAACCAGGAAGCAAGTTTACACATATAATCACATATATAGACATCCAAATACAATGCGTTGTTCTTCTCTAAAAACTACTGTGACTATCAACAGAGTAGGAGTCACTCTGATCAAATCAAATGCGACCGTAGAAAAACGACCATGCAAAGCATATTGTGGCCATGTATCATTGGCTTCGGATTTCTCCACCATTCCTCCACCATAGATCTCTCAATGTTTAATGGTTGCTTCACCTTTCACCCTGCGCACCAGGTGAACGCCATAATAATTACCAGGTGTTTCTTGCTTCAATCAACTTAAAACACCATCTTTACAGGGTTCAACCTCAACAAAATCAAGAGAACACCCATTCATATTTTCATAGGGTTTACTTCCCAGCTTAAATCCACTTCAATCCTCAACAAAACCCGGTTGTAAACAGTTGCCAACCAGCCAGCGCCTCCGGCATTGTCGCGGCAACTGCCTCTTTCACTTCCACCCTCAGCGCGCAGCACCAAACTGGTGCTGGCAGCGCCATTGCGCAGGGAAAGATGGGGAGTTCATTATGGCTGATGGTGATTCAATGGTTATTTGATGGGAATTAATCAATGGGGTTTAGCAAGGCAAAGTTGGGACTTGGCCATATCTCATTGTGGTTGAATGGTGATTTCATGGGATTGAATACAGCAATGGTTTAATGGGCCAACTATTATATGATTTGGGTGTGTCTGAAAATAGAGGATGTCCCCAAAAGTGGCAATTTTACAGTCTAACATGTAAACTTGTCCATGATTCCATCATCCGTCAAGTAGTTATGCGTACTAACGTGTTGCCACCTCGCCCGAGTTAGAGTTTCCCTGAGAGTCTTGCTCAGCGTCTACAGTCTCGACAGCCTCAGGAGCCTGAGGGGGCGATGGCCGCCATAGCCAATGGCATGCCAATGGCACCCTGAAATCTTGTGGAAGACTGGTTGGTTCATGGGGATGGCAACACAGGGATCAGTCCTGTATAAGCTGTAGTAACTGTAGTAGTACTGTAACGCATATATGGACATATGGAATCATATGTGTATGTAAATATATATATATAGATACGAATATATGTATGTGTTATTCATGTATGAATATGTGTGTGTATATACGTGCATACGCATAGGTATATATATATATGCATAAATGTAAACAAACATATGTACATGTATAAACACATGTATATATATATACACATATGTCAATATGTGCATATACAACTATGTATTTCTATGTATATATATATAAATACATTAATTATATATTCATAGATACATACATTTAAATCTATATTCAAACATGTATATTGACAACTAGAGATATATAATTGAATACTTATGTACATTAGTTAGTGTAAACATATCTCTAACACCATATGCTAAGGAACATCTCCTGTTGGTGGGTTGAGCCACAGCGAAACGTCTCCTGTGATGCCGCGACTTGTTGGATTCTTAATGGGAAGAACATAGACTTGCTATTCAGATTTTGATGGGGTTTAACCAACAAACATGGTGTTTTAACGGGATTTGACCAACAAATACAGGGATAGATGGCCATTCCCCATGTCTTCCCATAAATGGGTGATGAAAATTATCCCCAAATGGTATTTGTTTATGAAATTCTGGTAAACAGTTTACCACATTCACGGAAATTTCTAACTGCCCGAAAACACAAAAGAAACCAGGAAGCAAGTTTACACATATAATCACATATATAGACATCCAAATACAATGCGTTGTTCTTCTCTAAAAACTACTGTGACTATCAACAGAGTAGGAGTCACTCTGATCAAATCAAATGCGACCGTAGAAAAACGACCATGCAAAGCATATTGTGGCCATGTATCATTGGCTTCGGATTTCTCCACCATTCCTCCACCATAGATCTCTCAATGTTTAATGGTTGCTTCACCTTTCACCCTGCGCACCAGGTGAACGCCATAATAATTACCAGGTGTTTCTTGCTTCAATCAACTTAAAACACCATCTTTACAGGGTTCAACCTCAACAAAATCAAGAGAACACCCATTCATATTTTCATAGGGTTTACTTCCCAGCTTAAATCCACTTCAATCCTCAACAAAACCCGGTTGTAAACAGTTGCCAACCAGCCAGCGCCTCCGGCATTGTCGCGGCAACTGCCTCTTTCACTTCCACCCTCAGCGCGCAGCACCAAACTGGTGCTGGCAGCGCCATTGCGCAGGGAAAGATGGGGAGTTCATTATGGCTGATGGTGATTCAATGGTTATTTGATGGGAATTAATCAATGGGGTTTAGCAAGGCAAAGTTGGGACTTGGCCATATCTCATTGTGGTTGAATGGTGATTTCATGGGATTGAATACAGCAATGGTTTAATGGGCCAACTATTATATGATTTGGGTGTGTCTGAAAATAGAGGATGTCCCCAAAAGTGGCAATTTTACAGTCTAACATGTAAACTTGTCCATGATTCCATCATCCGTCAAGTAGTTATGCGTACTAACGTGTTGCCACCTCGCCCGAGTTAGAGTTTCCCTGAGAGTCTTGCTCAGCGTCTACAGTCTCGACAGCCTCAGGAGCCTGCGGGGGCGATGGCCGCCATAGCCAATGGCATGCCAATGGCACCCTGAAATCTTGTGGAAGACTGGTTGGTTCATGGGGATGGCAACACAGGGATCAGTCCTGTATAAGCTGTAGTACTGTACTGTAACGCATATATGAACATATGTATAGATGCATAAGTGTATACAAGGGTATGTAAATATGTCCAATGACGTGTGTATAATTGTGTATATATATATAATAAGTAAATAAGATAAATAAATAAATCAAAAACATACATAAGAAATAATTAAATAAATATATATATGCATATAAATAGGTGCATATACAAATATGATCAAATATGTATAAATATACATTATATATTCAAAGATACATAACCATACATACTGAGTTTACTGCTTTTCATCTGTCCATATTGTCGGAAGTTTGACTTCTAAACTTCCTTCGACAATTAAATGTATATTCAAACATGTATATTGACATATATATTTGAGTATTTGTGTTAGGGTAAACATATCTCATATAATACCATATGCTAAGGAACATCTCCTGTTGGTGGGTTGAGCCACAGCGAAACGTCTCCTGTGATGCCGCGACTTGTTGGATTCTTAATGGGAAGAACATAGACTATTTATTCAGATTTTAATGGGGTTTAACCAACAAACATGGTGTTTTAACGGGATTTGACCAACACATACAGGGATAGATGATAGATGGCCATTCCCCATGACTTACCACAAAAGGATGGTAAAAATCATCCCCAAATGACACTTGTTTATGGCATTGAGGTAAACAATTTACCACATTCATGGGAATTGCTAATTGTTCGAAACCACAAAACAAACCACGAAGCAAGTATACAGTATACACAATCCACATACAATGCGTTACTCAAAACCTACTGTGACTATCAATAGACTATATAGAATCTATTCCGATCAAATCAAATGCGACCGTAGAAAACGACCATGCAAAACATATTGTGGCCATGTATAATCATTGGCTTTGGAATTCTCCACCATTCCTCCACCATAGATCTCTCAATGTTTGCTTCACCTTTCACCCTGAGCACCAGGTGAAAGCCATAAAAATTAACAGGTGTTTCTTGCTTCAATCCACTTAAATCCCCATCTTTACAGGGTTCAACCTCAACAAAATCAAGAGAACACCCATTCATATTTTCATAGGGTTAACTTCCCAGCTTAAATCCACTTCAATCCTCAACAAAATCCGGTTGAAACAGTTGCCAACCAGCCAGCGCCTCCGGCATTGTCGCGGCAACTGCCTCTTTCACTTCCACCCTTAGCGCGCAGCGCCAAACTGGTGCTGGCAGCGCCATTGCGCAGGGAAAGATGGGGAGTTCATCATGGCTGATGGTGATTCAATGGTTATTTGATGGGAATTAATCAATGGGGTTTAGCAAGGCAAAGTTGGGACTTGGCCATATCTCATGGTGGTTGAATGGTGATTTCATGGGATTGAATAGTGATTTAATGGGCCTCGCCCGAGTTAGAGTTTCCCTGAGAGTCTTGCTCAGCGTCTACAGTCTCGACAGCCTCAGGAGCCTGAGGGGCGATGACCGCCATAGCCAATGGCACCCTGAAATCTTGTGGAAGACTGGTTGGTTCATGGGGATGGCAACCACAGGCATCAGTCCTGTATAAGCTGTAGTACTGTACTGTAGCGCATATATTAACATATGGAATCATATGTGTATGTAAATAAATATATATATAGATACGAATATATGTATGTGTTATTCATGTATGAATATGTTTGTATATACGTGCATACGCATAGGTATATATATGCATAAATGTAAACACACATATGTACATATATAAATACATGTATATATATACATATATGTCAATATGTGCATATACAACTATGTATTTCTATGTATATATATATAAATACATTAATTATATATTCATAGATACATACATTTAAATCTATATTCAAACATGTATATTGACAACTAGAGATATATAATTGAATACTTATGTACATTAGTTAGTGTAAACATATCTCTAACACCATATGCTAAGGAACATCTCCTGTTGGTGGGTTGAGCCACAGCGAAACGTCTCCTGTGATGCCGCGACTTGTTGGATTCTTAATGGGAAGAACATAGACTTTTTATTCAGATGTTGATGGGGTTTAACCAACAAACATGGTGTTTTAACGGGATTTGACCAACAAATACAGGGATAGATGGCCATTCCCCATGTCTTCCCATAAATGGGTGATGAAAATTATCCCCAAATTGTATTTGTTTATGAAATTCTGGTAAACAGTTTACCACATTCACGGAAATTTCTAACTGCCCGAAAACACAAAAGACACCAGGAAGCAAGTTTACACATATAATCACATAAATAGACATCCAAATACAATGCGTTGTTCTTCTCTTAAACCTACTGTGACTATCAACAGACTAGGAGTCACTCTGATCAAATCAAATGCGACCGTAGAAAAACGACCATGCAAAGCATATTGTGGCCATATATCATTGGCTTCGGATTTCTCCACCATTCCTCCACCATAGATCTCTCAATGTTTAATGTTTGCTTCACCTTTCACCCTGCGCACCAGGTGAAAGCCATAATAATTACCAGGTGTTTCTTGCTTCAATCCACTTAAAACACCATCTTTACAGGGTTCAACCTCAACAAAATCAAGAGAACACCCATTCATATTTTCATAGGGTTAACCTCCCAGCTTAAATCCACTTCAATCCTCAACAAAATCCGGTTGAAACAGTTGCCAACCAGCCAGCGCCTCCGGCATTGTCGCGGCAACTGCCTCTTTCACTTCCACCCTCAGCGCGCAGCACCAAAATGGTGCTGGCAGCGCCATTGCGCAGGGAAAGATGGGGAGTTCATCATGGCTGATGGTGATTCAATGGTTATTTGATGGGAATTAATCAATGGGGTTTAGCAAGGCAAAGTTGGGACTTAGCCATATCTCATGGTGGTTGAATGGCGATCTCATGGGATTGAATACAGTAATGGTTTAATTAATGGGCCAACTATTATATGATTTGGGCGTGTCTGAAAATAGAGGATGTCCCCAAAATTGGCAATTTTACAGTCTAACATGTAAACTTGTCCATGATTCCATCATCCGTCAAGTAGTTATGCGTACTAACGTGTTGCCACCTCGCCCGAGTTAGAGTTTCCCTGAGAGTCTTGCTCAGCGTCTACAGTCTCGACAGCCTCAGGAGCCTGAGGGGGCGATGGCCGCCATAGCCAATGGCATGCCAATGGCACCCTGAAATCTTGTGGAAGACTGGTTGGTTCATGGGGATGGCAACCACAGGGATCAGTCCTGTATAAGCTGTAGTACTGTACTGTAACGCATATATGTATAGATGCATGAGTGTATACAAGGGTATGTAAATATGTCCAATGACGTGTGTATAATTGTGTATATATATAATAAATAAAATAAATAAATAATATATATATATATATATTATTTTTATAACAAAACATAAGAAATAATTAAATAAATATATATGTATATATATGCAAATAAATAGGTGCATATACAAATATGATCAAATATGTATAAATATACATTATATATTCAAAGATACATAACCATACATACTGAGTTTACTGCTTTTCATCTGTCCATATTGTCGGAAGTTTGACTTCTAAACTTCCTTCGACAATTAAATGTATATTCAAACATGTATATTGACATATAGATATATATTTGAGTATTTGTGTTAGGGTAAACATATCTCATATAATACCAGATGCTAAGGAACATCTCCTGTTGGTGGGTTGAGCCACAGCGAAACGTCTCCTGTGATGCCGCGACTTGTTGGATTCTTAATGGGAAGAACATAGACTTTTTATTCAGATGTTGATGGGGTTTAACCAACAAACATGGTGTTTTAACGGGATTTGACCAACACATACAGGGATAGATGATAGATGGCCATTCCCCATGACTTACCACAAAAGGGTGGTAAAAATCATCCCCAAATGACACTTGTTTATGGCATTGAGGTAAACAATTTACCACATTCATGGGAATTGCTAATTGTTCGAAACCACAAAACAAACCAGTATACAGTATACACAATCCACATACAATGCGTTACTCAAAACCTACTGTGACTATCAATAGACTATATTGAATCTATTCCGATCAAATCAAATGCGATCGTAGAAAAACGACCATGCAAAACATATTGTGGCCATGTATAATCATTGGCTTTGGAATTCTCCACCATTCCTCCACCATAGATCTCTCAATGTTTAATGTTTGCTTCACCTTTCACCCTGCGCACCAGGTGAAAGCCATAAAAATTACCAGGTGTTTCTTGCTTCAATCCACTTAAAACCACATCTTTACAGGGTTCAACCTCAACAAAACCAAGAGAACACCCCCATTCATATTTTCATAGGGTTAACCTCTCAGCTTAAATCCACTTCAATCCTCAACAAAATCCGGTTGAAAACAGTTGCCAACCAGCCAGCGCCTCCGGCATTGTCGCGGCAACTGCCTCTTTCACTTCCACCCTCAGCGCGCAGCACCAAACTGGTGCTGGCAGCGCCATTGCGCAGGGAAAGATGGGGAGTTCATCATGGCTGATGGTGATTCAATGGTTATTTGATGGGAATTAATCAATGGGGTTTAGCAAGGCAAAGTTGGGACTTGGCCATATCTCATGGTGGTTGAATGGTGATTTCATGGGATTGAATACAGTAATGGTTTAATGGGCCAACTATTATATGAGTTGGGCGTGTCTGAAAATAGAGGATGCCCCCAAAATTGGATTTTTTACAGTCTAACATGTAAACTTGTCCATGATTCCATCATCCGTCAAGTAGTTATGCGTACTAACGTGTTGCCACCTCGCCCGAGTTAGAGTTTCCCTGAGAGTCTTGCTCAGCGTCTACAGTCTCGACAGCCTCAAGAGCCTGAGGGCGCGATGGCCGCCATAGCCAATGGCATGATAATGGCACCCTGAAATCTTGTGGAAGACTGGTTGGTTCATGGGGACACTTCCTTCGACAATTACATGTATATTCAAACATGTATATTGACATATAGATACATATTTGAGTATTTGTGTACGTTAGGTCAAACATATCTTATATAATACCATATGCTAAGGAACATCTCCTGTTGGTGGGTTGAGCCACAGCGAAACGTCTCCTGTGATGCCGCGACTTGTTGGATTCTTAATGGGAAGAACATAGACTTTTTATTCAGATGTTGATGGGGTTTAACCAACAAACATGGTGTTTTAACGGGATTTGACCAACAAATACAGGGATAGATGGCCATTCCCCATGTCTTCCCATAAATGGGTGATGAAAATTATCCCCAAATGGTATTTGTTTATGAAATTCTGGTAAACAGTTTACCACATTCACGGAAATTTCTAACTGCCCGAAAACACAAAAGACACCAGGAAGCAAGTTTACACATAATCACATAAATAGACATCCAAATACAATGCGTTGTTCTTCTCTAAAACCTACTGTGACTATCAACAGACTAGGAGTCACTCTGATCAAATCAAATGCGACCGTAGAAAAACGACCATGCAAAGCATATTGTGGCCATATATCATTGGCTTCGGATTTCTCCACCATTCCTCCACCATAGATCTCTCAATGTTTAATGTTTGCTTCACCTTTCACCCTGCGCACCAGGTGAAAGCCATAATAATTACCAGGTGTTTCTTGCTTCAATCCACTTAAAACACCATCTTTACAGGGTTCAACCTCAACAAAACCAAGAGAACACCCATTCATATTTTCATAGGGTTAACTTCCCAGCTTAAATCCACTTCAATCCTCAACAAAATCCGGTTGAAACAGTTGCCAACCAGCCAGCGCCTCCGGCATTGTCGCGGCAACTGCCTCTTTCACTTCCACCCTTAGCGCGCAGCGCCAAACTGGTGCTGGCAGCGCCATTGCGCAGGGAAAGATGGGGAGTTCATCATGGCTGATGGTGATTCAATGGTTATTTGATGGGAATTAATCAATGGGGTTTAGCAAGGCAAAGTTGGGACTTAGCCATATCTCATGGTGGTTGAATGGTGATTTCATGGGATTGAATACAGTAATGGCTTAATGGGCCAACTATTATATGATTTGGGCGTGTCTGAAAGAAAATAGAGGATGCCCCCAAAATTGGATTTTTTACAGTCTAACATGTAAACTTGTCCATGATTCCATCATCCGTCAAGTAGTCAACGTGTTGCCATCTCGCCTGAGTTAGAGTTTCCCTGAGAGTCTTGCTCAGCGTCTACAGTCTCGACAGCCTCAGGAGCCTGAGGGGGGCGATGACCGCCATAGCCAATGGCATGCCAATGGCACCCTGAAAACTTGTGGAAGACTGGTTGGTTCATGGGGATGGCAACCACAGGCATCAGTCCTCTATAAGCTGTAGTGTAACGCATATATGAACATATGTGTACATTCGTGCATACGCATATGTATAGAATTGTATAGATGCATAAGTGTATACAAGGGTATGTACATATGTTTAATGACGTGTGTATAATTGCATATATATATATATGTATAATAAATAAACGAATAAGAAATAATTAAACTATATATATATATATATGCATATCAATAGGTGCAAATACAAATATGTATATTAATATACATTATATATTCATAGATACATAACCATACATACAATTAAATGTATATTCAAACATGTATATTGACATATAGATATATTTGAGTATTTGTGTACGTTAGGGTAAACATATCTCATATAATACCATATGCTAAGGAACAACTCCTGTTGGTGGGTTGAGCCACAGCGAAACGTCTCCTGTGATGCCGCGACTTGTTAGATTCTTAATGGGAAGAACATAGACTTTTTATTCAGATTTTGATGGGGTTTAACAACAAACATGGTGTTTTAACATGTTTTAACGGGATTTGACCAACAAATACAGGGATAGATGGCCATTCCCCATGACTTACCACAAAAGGGTGGTAAAAATCATCCCCAAATGATACTTGTACCTTGTTTATGGCATTGAGGTAAACAGTTTACCACATTCATGGGAATTGCTATTTGTTCGAAACCACAAAACAAACCACGAAGCAAGTTTACACATAGATATCCACGTAAAAAGCGCTACTCTTCTTCAAAACCTACTGTGACTATCAATATACCAGAAGTCATTCCGATCAAATCAAATGTGATCGTAGAAAAACAACCATAAAACATATTATGGCCCCTGCAAAATCATTGGCTTTTGATGAACCCACCATCACAAATTTTTATGGCCCTGTAAAATCAATACATTCCTCCGCTATAGACATCTTGGGCTGCTTCACCTTTCACGGTGCGCACGCAAGCTCACCACAGTCACCGTGCCTCTTGGATGTCTTGCTTCGCTGGCCTCGGGGGGGCGGGCGAACTGGAGTTATTCTGCTTGCTGCAGCTTTTTGAAAACATGGTATGGTGATATCCCTGTCATTGGCTCCTGGCCATTTCAGGTAGGTAAATTGACATACTCCAAATAGATGGCTTTCTATGGTACAGTACTCCTAATTATCTATTTTGGGGTCCTGAAATTCCCATATCCTGGGACATATCCCCAACGCTCAACACCATTGATATTCTCTCCTGTGGATGGTGCCTTGATTCCTATGGATTATCATCATTTCGTCCACTAAAGTTTCGATAAATTGAGCGTGGGGTACCCATGTTCGGACACATCATATCTATTGGCTCTCTTCATCCTGAGAATGTTGGGTGGCGGACTCCGCTGTCTCCTGTGTCTCTGCAGGCCTCTCTTCGGCCTCCAGAACACCACTTCCAGCACTTCTGTCAGGTACAGAATGGGTCTGGGTAAAACGTGAAGTGCGGTCTTGGACCAAAAGAGTCGAGTTAAACAAACGGGCTCGTTCATGCCATCTTTTGTGGGTTTTGAACATACGAGTAGAAGATGTGGGCTTGCATATACGTGCAAAAAGTAGGTACACCCAAATTCAACCGTTTATCACATATTTCCTCAGCCACATGGCCATATATTGGTGTGCATATCATTTCCGGAGAAACTGAAATATCAATACATATCATGTCTGTTGGTTATACCATCATCTCTGCATTATAATTCCATCTATCAACAGTTCAATCCAAATAACACAAATCCCCTCATTTTTGTTGCTTAAATCATCTTAAATTCATGTTAATCCCCTTTCTTATGAATTTTAATGGTTCCACCTCAACAAAATCAAGTAAAATCCATTAGATTCCCAGAATGCTTCAGTCCATTTGACTCACAATTTCTACACGGAAAAACCACGAAAACATCCTCATATTTTCATAGGGTTAACAGTTTAAATTCTCTTCAATCCTCAACGAAACCCAGTTCAAACCAGTTGTCAACCAGCCATCGCCTCCGGCATTGTCGTGGCAACTGCCTCTTTCACTTCTACCCTCAGCGCGCAGCGCCAAACTGGTACCAGCAGCGCCATTGCGCATGAGAAGACGGGGAGTTTATCATGGCTGATGGTGATTTCATGGTGATTCAATGGTGATTTAATGGGAATTGATGGGGTTCTTAACAAAGCAAAATTGGAAAATAACCATGATTTCATATTTTCAGCCAATCAAGTAAACTGTTCCAGGATTTCAGATAAACCTCTCTTCTAAGAGTCCAGTCTAACAGATATGTTTCTCCAAGTTTCCATCATCGATCAATCAAGTAGTTAACATGTTGCCATCTCGCCCGAGTTAGAGTTTCCCTGAGAGTCTTGCTCAGCGTCTACAGTCTCGACAGCCTCAGGAGCCTGAGGGGGGCGATGGTCGCCATAGCCAATGGCACTCTGAAATCTTATGGAAACCTGGATGGTTCATGGGGATGGCAACCACAGGGATCAGTTTTGTATAAGCTGTAGTACTGTATAAGCTGTTTTAATGGGATTTGACCAACAAAGACTGGGATAGATGGCCATTCCCCATGACTTACCATGTGGGTGATGGAAATCATCCCCAAATGGTAGTTGTTTGTGGCATTGGGTTTACCACATTCATGGGAATTACTAATTGCTCGAGGACACAAGAGAAACCCCTAAGCAAATATACACATAGAGATCCACATACGATGCGTTACCCTTCTTTAAAAACTACTACGAAGTACGACTATCAATATACTGTTTTAGAAGTCACTCTGGCCAAATCAAATAAGATCGTAGAACAACAGCTATACAAATCATGTTCTGGCCATGTCAAGTCATTGGCCTTCGATTCCCCCATCAAAAGAAGGGAATTCAAATATAGCTGATAGCTACCTTTCAAAAGCTTATTGCAATCATCAATGTACCTTCCTCCACCCTAGACATCTTCGGTTGTGTCACCTTTCACCCTGCGCACCAAGTGAACCACATCAACTTCCGGATGCGTCTCGGTTCAATCCGTTTCAAACATGTTTCAGCGTTCAAACTCAACAAAACCCAAACATCCTCATATTTTGATCCGGATATCTTCGCAGTTTAAATCCTTTTCAATCCTCAACTAAACCCAGTTCAAACCAGTTGTCAACCAGCCATCGCCTCCGGCATTGTCGCGGCAACTGCCTCTTTCACTTCTACCCTCGGCGCGCAACGCCAACTGGTACCGAGAGCGCCATTGCGCAGGGAAGGATGGGGAGTTATTAACCATGGTTGATGGAATGCTGATTTAATGGGAATTGACGGGGTTCTTAACAGGGCAAAATTGGAAGATAATCATATTTGATAACGGGCATACAATATCATACAATCGGGTACAATCGGATATATCACCAACCAACAAATATGCTTTAAGTGTGTAACATAGAGGATGCCGCCAAACAATGCATTTTTTATTGAGAAATTATGATAAACTGATAAACCACCATCCATGCACTAGTTATACGTACTAACATGTTTGCATCTCGCCTGAGTTAGAGTTTCCCTGAGAGTCTTGCTCAGCGTCTACAGTCTCGACAGCCTCAGGAGCCTGAGGGGGGCGATGGCCGCCATAGCCAATGGCACTCTGAAATCTTATGGAAACCTGGATGGTTTAGGGGATCAGTCAATATTGGAAAAAAAATAATATTGGAAGACTGGTTGGTTCATGGGGATGGGCGAACTGGAGCTATTCTGCTTACTGCAGCTTTTTGAAAATAGAGTATGCCCTGTAAAATACTATGGCCCTCTAAAATCAGTACATTCCTCCACTATAGACATCTTGGGCTGCTTCACCTTTCACAGTGCGCACGCAAGCTCACCACAGTCATGCCTCCTGGATGTCTTGCTTGACTGGCCTCGGGGGAGCGGGCGAACTGGGGTTGTTCTCTGGGTTTGTCGGACAACAGGGTATCCCATCAGACCCGACCCGTAAAATGGGTGTGATTAGCTCCGCTATCCCAAGCCATCTTTCCCATGATCGCTGGATTTTGACTGCCCTTTTGGTTTCATCATCAATGCCTCAAACGAAATTAGTGTCCTTGTCTTAGTTGGTCAGCTCCTGCTTGCTGCTAATTGACATCTCAATCCTTAATGGTTTCTTTTGGTTTGTTTCTGAAATAGCTGGTGATATCCCTGTCATTGGCTACTGGCCATTTCAGGTAGGTAAATTGACATACTCCAAATAGATGGCTTTCTATGGTACAGTACTCCTGATTATCTATTTTGGGGTCCTGAAATTCCCATATCGTGGGACATATCCCCAACGCTCAACACCATTGATATTCTCTCCTGTGGATGATGCCTTGATTCCTATGGATTATCATCATTTCGTCCATTAAAGTTTCGATAAATTGAGCGTGGGGTACCCATGTTTGGACACATCATATCTATTGGCTCTCTTCATCCTGAGAATGTTGGGTGGCGGACTCCGCTGTCTCCTGTGTCTCTGCAGGCCTCTCTTCGGCCTCCAGAACACCACCCCCAGCACTTCTGTCAGGTACAGAATGGGTCTGGGTAAAACGTGAAGTGCGGTCTTGGACCAAAAGAGTCGGGTCAAACACACGGGCTCGTTCATCCCATCTGTTGTGGGTTTTGAACATACGAGTAGAAGATATAGGCTTATAATATAAATATATAATTATATATGTACATCATATACATGCAAAAAGTAGGTATACCCAAATTGAACTGTTTATCACATATTTCCTCAGCCACATGGCCATATATTGGTGACAGATAATATAGCTATTTTGATTCCCCGACCATAATTAATAATCATATATAGCTATTTGTTGAATTCATACAGCTGATACTGATAGCTATGTTCTCAAAGGTTATTATACTATCATATACTATCTACATTCCTCCACTATAGACATCTTGGGCTGCTTCACCTTTCACAGTGCGCACGCAAGCTCACCACAGTCATGCCTCCTGGATGTCTTGCTTCGCTGGCCTCGGGGGGGACGGGCAAACTGGAGTTGTTCTCTGGGTTTGTCGGAAAACAGGGTATCCCATCAGACCCGACCCGTAAAATGGATGTGATTAGCTATCCCCGCTATGCCAAGCCATCTTTCCCATGATCGCTGGATTTAGACTGCCCTTTTGGTTTCATCCGGATCAATGCCTCAAACGAAATTAGTGCCCTTGTCTTAGTTGGTCAGCTCCTGCTTGCTGCTATTGACATCTAAATCCTTAATGGTTTCTTTTGGTTTGTTTCTGAAATAGCTGGTGATATCCCTGTCATTGGCTACTGGCCATTTCAGGTCGGAAAATTGACATACTCCAAATAGATGGCTTTCTATGGTACAGTAGTCCTAATTATCTATTTTTGGGTCCTGAAATTCCCATATCGTGGGACATATCCCCAACGCTCAACACCATTGATATTCTCTCCTGTGGATGGTGCTTTGATTCCTATGGATTATCATCATTTTGTCCGCTAAATGTTCGATAAATTGAGCGTGGGGTACCCATGTTTGGACACATCATATCTATTGGCTCTCTTCATCCTGAGAATGTTGGGTGGCGGACTCCGCTGTCTCCTGTGTCTCTGCAGGCCTCTCTTCGGCCTCCAGAACACCACCCCCAGCACTTCTGTCAGGTACAGAATGGGTCTGGGTAAAACGTGAAGAGCGGTCTTGGACCAAAAGAGTCGGGTCAAACACACGGGCTTGTTCATCCCATCTTTTGTGGGTTTTGAACATACGAGTAGAAGACGTGGGCATATAATATATCAATATACATGCATATACATGCAAAAAGTAGGTACACCCAAATTCAACCGTTTATCACATATTTCCTCAGCCACATGGCCATATATTGGTGACAGATAATATAGCTATTTTGATTCCCCGACCATAATTAATAATCATATATAGCTATTTGTTGAATTCATACAGCTGATACTGATAGCTATGTTCTCAAAGGTTATTATACTATCATATACTATCTACATTCCTCCACTATAGACATCTTGGGCTGCTTCACCTTTCACAGTGCACACGCAAGCTCACCACAGTCATGCCTCCTGGATGTCTTGCTTGACTTGCCTCGGGGGGGCGGGCGAACTGGGGTTGTTCTCTGGGTTTGTCGGACAACAGGGTATCCCATCAGACCCGACCCGTAAAATGGGTGTGATTAGCTCCGCTATCCCAAGCCATCTTTCCCATGATCGCTGGATTTTGACTGCCCTTTTGGTTTCATCATCAATGCCTCAAACGAAATTAGTGTCCTTGTCTTAATTGGTCAGCTCCTGCTTGCTGCTAATTGACATCTCAATCCTTAATGGTTTCTTTTGGTTTGTTTCTGAAATAGCTGGTGATATCCCTGTCATTGGCTACTGGCCATTTCAGGTAGGTAAATTGACATACTCCAAATAGATGGCTTTCTATGGTACAGTACTCCTGATTATCTATTTTGGGGTCCTGAAATTCCCATATCGTGGGACATATCCCCAACGCTCAACACCATTGATATTCTCTCCTGTGGATGATGCCTTGATTCCTATGGATTATCATCATTTCGTCCATTAAAGTTTCGATAAATTGAGCGTGGGGTACCCATGTTTGGACACATCATATCTATTGGCTCTCTTCATCCTGAGAATGTTGGGTGGCGGACTCCGCTGTCTCCTGTGTCTCTGCAGGCCTCTCTTCGGCCTCCAGAACACCACCCCCAGCACTTCTGCCAGGTACAGAATGGGTCTGGGTAAAACGTGAAGTGCGGTCTTGGACCAAAAGAGTCGAGTTAAACAAACGGGCTCGTTCATCCCATCTTCTGTGGGTATTGAACATAAGCGTAGAAGATATAGGCTTATAATATAAATATATCATATAATTATATATGTACATGCATATACATTTAAAAAGTAGGTACACCCAAATTCAACCGTTTATCACATATTTCCTCAGCCACATGGCCATATATTGGTGACAGATAATATAGCTATTTTGATTCCCCGACCATAATTAATAATCATATATAGCTATTTGTTGAATTCATACAGCTGATACTGATAGCTATGTTTTCAAAGATTATTATACTATCATATACTATCTACATTCCTCCACTATAGACATCTTGGGCTGCTTCACCTTTCACAGTGCACACGCAAGCTCACCACAGTCATGCCTCCTGGATGTCTTGCTTGACTTGCCTCGGGGGGCGGGCGAACTGGGGTTGTTCTCTGGGTTTGTCGGAAACCAGGGTATCCCATCAGACCCGACCCGTAAAATGGGTGTGATTAGCTCCGCTATGCCAAGCCATCTTTCCCATGATCGCTGGATTTAGACTGCCCTTTTGGTTTCATCCGGATCAATGCCTCAAACGAAATTAGTGTCCTTGTCTTAGTTGGTCAGCTCCTGCTTGCTGCTAATTGACATCTCAATCCTTAATGGTTTCTTTTGGTTTGTTTCTGAAATAGCTGGTGATATCCCTGTCATTGGCTACTGGCCATTTACTCCAAATAGATGGCTTTCTATGGTACAGTACTCCTGATTATCTATTTTGGGGTCCTGAAATTCCCATATCGTGGGACATATCCCCAACGCTCAACGCCATTGATATTCTCTCCTGTGGATGGTGCCTTGATTCCTATGGATTATCATCATTTCGTCCCCTAAAGTTTCGATAAATTGAGCGTGGGGTACCCATGTTCGGACACATCATATCTATTGGCTCTCTTCATCCTGAGAATGTTGGGTGGCGGACTCCGCTGTCTCCTGTGTCTCTGCAGGCCTCTCTTCGGCCTCCAGAACACCACTCCCACCACTTCTGTCAGGTACAGAATGGGTCTGGGTAAAACGTAAGAGCGGTCTTGGACCAAAAGAGTCGAGTTAAACAAACGGGCTCGTTCATGCCATCTTCTGTGGGTTTTGAACATACGCGTAGAAGATGTGGGCTTGCATATAAGTGCAAAAAGTAGGTACACCCAAATTCAACCGTTTATCACATATTTCCTCAGCCACATGGCCATATATTGGTGACAGATAATTCCCCGACCATAATAATCATATATAGCTATTTGTTGAATTCATACAGCTGATAGCTATGTTCTCCAAGGTTATTATACTATCTACATTCCTCCACTACAGACATATTGGGCTGCTTCACCTTTCACGGTGCGCACGCAAGCTCACCACAGTCATGCCTCCTGGATGTCTTGCTTGACTGGCCTCGGGGGGGCGGGCGAACTGGGGTTGTTCTCTGGGTTTGTCGGAAAACAGGGTATCCCATCAGACCCGACCCGTAAAATGGGTGTGATTAGCTCCGCTATGCCAAGCCATCTTTCCCATGATCGCTGGATTTTGACTGCCCTTTTGGTTTCATCCGGATCAATGCCTCAAACGAAATTAGTGTCCTTGTCTTAGTTGGTCAGCTCCTGCTTGCTGCTAATTGACATCTCAATCCTTAATGGTTTCTTTTGGTTTGTTTCTGAAATAGCTGGTGATATCCCTGTCATTGGCTACTGGCCATTTCAGGTAGGTAAATTGACATACTCCAAATAGATGGCTTTCTATGGTACAGTACTCCTGATTATCTATTTTGGGGTCCTGAAATTCCCATATCGTGGGACATATCCCCAACGCTCAACACCATTGATATTCTCTCCTGTGGATGGTGCCTTGATTCCTATGGATTATCATCATTTCGTCCACTAAAGTTTCGATAAATTGAGCGTGGGGTACCCATGTTCGGACACATCATATCTATTGGCTCTCTTCATCCTGAGAATGTTGGGTGGCGGACTCCGCTGTCTCCTGTGTCTCTGCAGGCCTCTCTTCGGCCTCCAGAACACCACCCCCAGCACTTCTGTCAGGTACAGAATGGGTCTGGGTAAAACGTGAAGTGCGGTCTTGGACCAAAAGAGTCGGGTCAAACAAACGGGCTCGTTCATCCAATCTTTTGTGGGTTTTGAACATACGAGTAGAAGATATAGGCTTATAATATAAATATATAATTATATGTAATTACATCATATACATTGTATGCAAAAAGTAGGTACACCCAAATTCAACCGTTTATCACATATTTCCTCCGCTACATGGCCATATATTGATGTGCATCTCATTTCCGGACAAACCGACATATCAATAAATATCATGTCTGTTGGTTATACTATCATCTCTGCATGATAGTTCCATCTATCAACAGTTCAATCCAATAATCACAAATCCCCTAATTTTTGTTGCTTAAATCATCTTAAAACCATTTGAATCCCGTTTCTTATGAGTTTTAATGGTTCCACCTCAAGAAAATCAAGTGAAATCCATTAAATTCCCAAGATGTTTCTTGCTTCAATCAATTTAAATCACCATTTTTACAGGGTTCAACCTCAACAAAACCAAGAAAACATCCTCATATTTTCATAGGGTTGACTTCCCAGCTTAAATCCACTTCAATCCTCAATAAAACCCGGTTGAAAACAGTTGCCAACCAGCCAGCGCCTCTGGCATTGTCGCGGCAACCGCCTCTTTCACTTCTACCCTCAGCGTGCAGCGCCAAACTGGTACCAGCAGCGCAATTGCGCAGGAGAAGACGGGGAGTTTATCATGGTTGATGGTGATTTCATGGTGATTCAATGTTGATTTAACGGGAATTAATGGGGTTTAACAAGGCAAAATTGGGTGTTAACCATATTTGATGGTGGTTGAATAGTGATTTCATGGGATTGAATAGTGGTTTAACGGGTACTTGCAAGGGTATATAATCGGATATATCACCGACCAATATATGACTTGACTCTCTCTCAACATAGGGGATGCACCCCAAAAATGAAAATCGTTGTACAAGAAATGATGATAAAACACCGAGTCTTTAGTGGTTACATATTTTCAGATAGCCCCTTTTTTACGAGTCTAACATGCCCTATCTTTGCGAGCCCAGGGTATGGACCCAGCATCGCCAACTCAGTCCGCAGAGGCTTCAATTTCCGTCTGATTGTCCGAAAAAAATGGTCTTGAGACACACAAACCCACAGGATGTACCAAGGTGATAAAACACAACGTGCCTGCGCAGTGAAATGAGCCTCATAAAGGGACGTTCACCATTCCGTTGCAAACCCTCAGTCCTGCCCGACATCAGATTTTTTTTTTCAGAGTCGAACATGCAAAATCTTGTGGATTCACAATATATAAACTAGACTTACTAACGTGTTGGCATCGCTTAGGTTCCTGATCAGTTTCCCTGAGAGTCTTGCTCAGCGTCTACAGTCTCGACAGCCTGAAATCGGAAGACTGGATGGTTCATGGGGATTGCAACATATTCCAACCACACGGATAATTCATGTATAAGCTGTAGTGTAATACGCATACTACGTACCATATATGCACTAATATCTCAAAATCTGCCAGCCTATATATTTATGTATATAGATTCATAGATAATCATAGATATACATTTACATGTATATTGAAACATGTACATATACGTATATATATATATACATACACTAAGGAACACCTCCTAGCGGGTTGAGCCACAGCAAATGTGTCCCGAGATGCCACGACATCTTGGGATTTCGACCAGCAGCCATGGCTATTCCCCCATGACTTACCATCAATTTAAGCCATACATGGTTGGTGAGAATCATCTCGAAATATGGAGGTTGAGTATGGCATTGGCTTTACCACATTCATAGGAATTAATTACTCATTGATCGCAAACGCACAAGACCGGCCGAAGCAAATATACACATAGCCATCCACATACAATGTGTTACAGTGTTACCCTTTTAACCGTACTTCGAACTACGACTATCAATATACGAGAACGCACTCTGATCAAATCAAATGCCATCGTAGAAAAATCACCATATATAACACATTTTATGGCCATGTAGAATAGTTGGCTTTTGATTCCGCCTCATACAAATTATACAATACATATTATATGTATATATATATAGCTGGAAGCTACAGTATGCTCCAAAAGATTGATATAATCATCAATCTACATTCCTCCACCATAGACATCTTTAGTTGCTTCACCTTTCACCCTGCGCACGCGTGCCACAATCGCCATGCCTGCTGGATGTCTTGCTTCGCTCGCCTTGGGAAAACTGGAGTTATTCTGCAATTCTGCGGAGGTTTTTTTTTGAAACAGGGTATCCCATCAAACCCGACCGTAAAAATGGCTTTGATTAGCTAACCCCACTATCCAACTCCATCTGCAGATTTCTTTTTGCATCATCGCTGGATTTTGATGGCAGACTGCCCTTTTGGTTTCATCAGGATCATTGTCTCATCTGAGATTAGCGTCCTTGTCTTTATTGGCCAGCTCCTGCTTGTTGCTGGTGACATCTAAATCCTTCATGATTTCTTTTGGTTTGATTCTGAAATAGTTGGGGATATCGCTGTTCATGGCCTGTTGGTGTTCAATACTCCATTATCACGGGTCATATCCTCAACACTAATGATATTATCTCCTGTGGATATACGGGTTTGTTTGAACAAGGGGTGTCTTAGTTTCGAAGGAGTATCATCATTTTGTCCGTTAAAATGTCGATAAACCGGGGATGGGGTACGCATGTTCGGACACATCCATATCATTCCAAATCTATTGTCTCTCTCTCATCCTGAGAATGTGGCTTGGCGGACTCCGCTGTCTCCTGTGTCTCCTGTGTCTCTGCAGGCCTCTTTTCTGCCTCCAGGACACCATGCCCAGCACTTCTGTCAGATACAGAATGCAGAATGGGTCTGGGGACTGTAAAACTTGCAGTTATGGACCCCAAGAGTCGTGGAATGCTCGGCCCTTAAGGTATCGAACCATCCAACTTCGGGCACACCATTTTGATACCTGGTCATATCGTCATACCGATACAAGTCACTTGCAAATCACTGCTACCCTTGAATTCGGCTACCTCTGATCCAGCCAGAGGGTGGAAACAAGTCATTGAAGCCACTAACACTTTGTTCCCCCTGCCCCTGTAACCTGCTCCCATTCCAATGAATTGCCATCACTTTTTCCATTCAAACGGCCACATGTTGGTGTAAATATTCCACTTTTGGACAAACCCAGTTCGAGATAGTTCGAGATAGTTCGAGTCCATTCTCCCTTCAGCTTCCAAGAATTCAATTTGGGCCATTAAACATCACTAAACGCAACCTCAAATCAGCAAGCATGCTCGCTGGGTGCTAGTACTACATTTCCATGGATGGAACCAGACCGAAAACTTGGTGGTGACAACCTGCCTGAAGCATATGGCCATCAGGGATAGGGATCATCATCCCCAGGATGGAAATCATAAACATCATCTTGAAACCGCCAAAGCAGTCTGCTGACATGCTGTGCCCATCATAATCCCCCATATTTGGTTATGAGACCCCAATTAAGCCATTAAGAATACCTCTATCCCATCTCATTATGCGCGTTGATTTTTCTAGGTTTCCCGCTATGGCTTCTCATAATCGCCAACAATCAATAACTTGGAAAATTTTATGTAATTTTGCCATACATTCCCATATAATCCCATATAATCCCTATGTTTGGTGATGAACCCCCATGACATTTTGTGGCAGCCACGTGTCCACGTCACATCACGTCACTATTCGTTTCCCTGATCCTCCCGAGAAGGCACTCTGATCAAATCAAATGCCATCGTAGAAAAATCACCATATAACACATTTTATGGCCATGTAGAATAGTTGGCTTTTGATTCCGCCTCATCATTCATATGTGTATATATATATATATATACAGTAGCTGGAAGCTACAGTATGCTCCAAAAGATTGATATAATCATCAATCTACATTCCTCCACCATAGACATCTTTGGTTGCTTCACCTTTCACCCTGCCTGCTGGATGTCTTGCTTCGCTCGCCTTGGGAAAACTGGAGTTATTCTGCAATTCTGCGGAGGTTTTTTTGAAACAGGATATCCCATCAAACCCGACCCGTAAAAATGGCTTTGATTAGCTAACCCCACTATCCAACTCCATCAGCAGATTTCTTTTTGCATCATCGCTGGATTTTGACTGCCGACTGCCCTTTTGGTTTCATCAGGATCATTGTCTCATCTGAGATTAGCGTCCTTGTCATTATTGGCCAGCTCCTGCTTGTTGCTGGTGACATCTAAATCCTTCATGATTTCTTTTGGTTTGATTCTGAAATAGTTGGGGATATCGCTGTTCATGGCCTGTTGGTGTTCAATACTCCATTATCACGGGTCATATCCTCAACACTAATGATATTATCTCCTGTGGATATACGGGTTTGTTTGAACAAGGGGTGTCTTAGTTTCGAAGGAGTATCATCATTTTGTCCGTTAAAATGTCGATAAACCGGGGATGGGGTACGCATGTTCGGACACATCCATATCATTCCAAATCTATTGTCTCTCTCTCATCCTGAGAATGTGGCTTGGCGGACTCCGCTGTCTCCTGTGTCTCCTGTGTCTCTGCAGGCCTCTTTTCTGCCTCCAGGACACCATGCCCAGCACTTCTGTCAGATACAGAATGCAGAATGGGTCTGGGGACTGTAAAACTTGCAGTTATGGACCCCAAGAGTCTTGCAATGCTCGGCCCTTAAGGTATCGAACCATCCAACTTCGGGCACAGCATTTTGATACCTGGTCATATCGTCATACCGATACAAGTCACTTGCAAATCACTGCTACCCTTAAATTCGGCTACCTCTGGCTGGTTCAGAGGGTGGAAACAAGTCATTGAAGCCACTAACACTTTGTTCCCCCTGCGCCTGTAACCTGCTCCCATTCCAATGAATTGCCATCACTTTTTCCATTCAAACGGCCACATGTTGGTGTAAATATTCCACTTTTGGACAAACCCAGTTCGAGATAGTTCGAGTCCATTCTCTCTTCAGCTTCCAAGAATTCAATTTGGGCCATTAAACATCACTAAACGCAACCTCAAATCAGCAAGCATGCTCGCTGGGTGCTAGTACTACATTTCCATGGATGGAACCAGACCGAAAACTTGGTGGTGTCAACCTGCCTGAAGCATATGCCCATCAGGGATCATCATCCCCAGGATGGAAATCATAAACATCATCTTGAAACCGCCAAAGCAGTCTGCTGACATGCTGTGCCCATCAGAATCCCCCATATTTGGTTATGAGACCCCAACTAAGCCATTGAGAATACCTCTATCCCATCTCATTATACGCGTTGATTTTTCTAGGTTTCCCGCTATGGCTTCTCATAATCGCCAACAATCAATAACCTAGTAATTTTGCCATACATTCCTTGGAAATCCTAGAATTTACATGTAATTACCATAAAATCATCATAGATTTCCCAAAAACATCCCTATCATAACCAATCAACCAAGGTATTTGTCGTGGTGGAACCAGGTGCCTTCGGTGCCTTCTCGCTTTGCTCTTCCCTGGCAGCCTTGGGCACCAACCTGACCAACCTCAGCGACGGGAATGCTGCCCACAGGGAGATGTGTGCTGCTAGGAACTCGACTAGTTCCTGATATATGTATATTTAGATATACATAATATAATTATATATACTGTATAGTAATAATATATATATATACACATACAACATTATATATATAACGTTATATATGTATAACATTATACACATATATAATATATATAATATAATGTTATATATTATATACATATCATAACATGACTGTATATATATATATATCTGTATATGATTGTATACAGTGTGTGATATATGTACCACAAATCCGGCTTTGTTCACCTACTGAATTAAACCCAATTAGCCATGTACGGGGCACCACCTTGTTGGCAAACCAGGATCGCTTCAACAATCGGAAGTGGGAAAAAAACTGGCTGGGGGATGCTAGGAGGATGTTACGTGCCACGTGCCTTGGAAGAAAATATCTGACTTCTCACACTTCTCAGATTTGCACTTTGGTGGCTCTGTCTCTGCTTTCTTCTCTACCTGCGATGGAGGCTGGTGAAATGGTGAACGCAAATTCTTACAAGCAAGAGTGGTAACATGTAGACGTGAGGCAAAACCTTACAAACGTCCCAAAAAAATTGGACCAACAACCACATTTAGCAATTCATGTTTCGGATATTTACTACCGTGTGCCAGGCTTTTGATGCATTACTCTCTGGAAGAACATACTATCATGACTGTCCGATCATGCGATGACCAAACAAATGTGTGGTCATTTTTCTTCCTTGAATCATAGATACACATTGGTAAAGCAATACTATAAAGCCCTATATTTTGATGGTTTATTCCACCCATTTATGGCAAAATATGGTGGATCCTAGTGCTGCTGTTGTTGCTGTTGTTACTGTTGTTGCTGTTGTTACTGTGGTTGCTGTCGTTGCCGTTGGTTGCCGTTGGTTGTTGTTGTTGTTGTTGTCGTCGTCGTCGTCGTCCTCGTCGTCGTCGTCGTCGTCGTCGTCGTCATGTCCTCCTTTTCATGATGCGGTACGGTGATGCTGTGCTATGGTGAAAGTGTGCTACGGCGGTGATGGGATTGGTTGATATCTATACACGTATGTACCAGAAATGTGTATATAGGTAGCTTCGAAAGAAAAGTGGCAAATAGGTGCAGAATTTGAGACTACTGCTGAAACGACTGCATCGACGCAATGAACGCTAGAGAAAAAAATGCCTGAGAGTGCGTGAGCGTCTTGACTTCTGGTCTTGGAACCCAGAATTTCTGCTGGAAACCAATGGTTTTACATGGTTTTACATTTCCTGCCAAAAGAGACAGGATAAGTAATGGATAAGTCGGATAAGTCTTTGAATGAATGCAAGAAGCAAACATGGACAAAAACCACCCTGAAAGCCAACTGAAGTGCCAGGATTCCAGGAGCCCAAATTTCGCTTGGTTCATGGTTTATATCGTCTATATTGATGACCTCATACTATTCATACCGTATACATCTGTATGCATTTGTGTATACCCTGATCTCTATATTTTCCATTATTTTCCATGATTTTCCCATTGCCATCTTACGAGCAATTCTTGAATACTGATTGGCTCATGTTGGCTCCCATTCTTGGATGCTGAAATTCCCCTCATCAACCCCAAATCCCAAGTTCTTTGGTTGTAAACCCACTAAACTCCATTAAAACACCAATTTGTACTTACTTAAACAGCCATTAAACTCCATTCAAGCCCAGCAACTCACATTAAATCATTAAAGCATATTAAACCTATGCCAATTTCATTTGATAAAATTTGGCCATTTTTGCTGCTGAACCCACCATAAATCATCTAAATCCTCCCCATCCTCCCCATCCTTGCCAGCCGTCACCTCTGGAAGCAAGGCATCAAGCGCCACTCGGTACTGTTCCGCCAGATGCAACGCCACGTCCGCGTGTTTCTGCGAAGTTGGGCAGGGATGGAACCATCCAATCCACTAAAACTGGGATTGGCCAAAGAAATTGTGAGGTATATATAATATATATATAACAATTATTATAATATAAAATAATTACCCTCTGGTTATTTAACATAGCCATGGAAAATGGCCCATTTATAGATGGTTTACCTATTAAAAATGGTGATTTTCCATGGCTATGTTAAATAACCAGGTGGTAACGCATGATTTTCATAAAGCGATTTTGACTCCATTGAAATTTGGACCAGCGTGAATGACACGGATTAGATTTTGAGCAGCGCAAATTGAACCTTAAGCAGCATACAGAAACAATCGGATCTAACCAACGACAACTGCCTTTTTTCACCAACAAGTTTAAGCACAAACTGAAGCCAACGCATCTAAACATTGAATTCCAAGCGTATTTCCAGAGATTTGGGGAATTTGATTTTCGTTTCATGATGTTGAATGTCATATATATGTGGAACATTGTGGAACCATCAAGCCGATGCCATACCTTGCGCAAGAACTTGGCTTCCGTACTGCGGCTGGCAATCCCTTCTTCAGCAGCTGGACTTCTTCTGCGAGTTTCTTATTCTCCACCTGAAACATCTCATCCCAGCGGTGGAAATGCGAATCTAACTGGACTAAGTGGCGTGTTTTAACTTTTTTTTAAAGCCATACCTCGCATCGACTGAGTTAGACGACCGTGCTGCAAGGCGTTGGCGCAGCAAGAGACTGATCGCTAAAATTGTCTGTTTACGGCTGCTTCATATACTCTTTGATCATTAATCTGAGAATCAAGTCATAATCGATTTTTTGGTGTGATGCAGCCAATTTTGACTAGGTTTCCCAACCCGCTTGGTGCCGTAGTCAGTTCTCTGCGCAGAGTCTGGTAAAAAGGAAATTTGTCTCATAGGGTCATTGTTATCGCTTCGTAATGTGTCCAAGAAGTTTGGCATTTTAATCTACTCTCCAGGGATGTTCTATGGTGATGTTAGCCACTTACACGATGTAAGAATTATCAATCAAGATTCAATCAAGTAAATATTATCAATCAATCTTCAATCAATCAATCAATCAATCAATATTATCAATCTTGGTAAATATATCATCAACTAATTCGTTGGTTCAATTGGTTCACCATGAAGAACAAATCCTCCGAAATCCCCAAAAAAAAATGCCGTCGCACCTTGAGGCTCTCGATCTCCTTATCGTCCTTGGCCAATTTGGCCATGTGGAGCCTTGGACGACACAGAAACCGGGCTCTGGAGATCCAAAGACCGCTGGTTTTTCGGAGGATCTTACTTAGACCTCTTTGGGACGACCGGGTGTTAGCATATGTTAGCCATGAGCAGCAATCTTGGCGATATATGGCGATATCATATATATATATTATATTATATATAATATTATATGATGGATATTTCTGGGTGGTTTCCATACTGAGAACAGAAAACATCTTTGCTTCCCTGCGTGTTGAGTTTTCCCTAGCGGGGCACCTAGCAATTGACAAAGAAAGCAGGCTTATGGTTCTGAGTTGGTAGCCACTTGCATATCGGAATCATCATCTGAGTACTGAGTAGCAGGAGTATTGAATTATATAGTTTGCCTAAAAAATGCTGCCAAACTGACAGCGTTCTTAGATGGATTCTTGTCATGTGTATGACTTATGTATATATATGTATATATGTATGTATATATATATATATTGAACGAGTAGAATCAAAATCAAAATCATGCCCAAATCTGTCCAAATCACGGCTTTTTGGGTGAATCTCTATGTCTTTGAGCCACGGCCAGTGTACCTAACTTGCTGGATGTGGTTCCACCACCGAATGGCCGGGGCATCCGCACGCTTTCTTTCCTTCCATCACTCGAACTTCACCCACCTGCGACAGGTTTCAGACATGTTGCAGCCAACCATCAGTCGACATACATCACCCCCGCAGCGGTCGCCCGAGACTTCGCTGCCTGCTTCTGCAGTTGCTCATCTTTGGTTTTCAGTTCGCCCTGCAACTGAGCCTTCACCTGGGTCAGCGTGAGGCTCTTGGTTGGACCCTGATAGACACCTTGGTGCTCTGCAGTCATCCGGGGTGATGGGATTCCAACCTCCATAAGTTGGGATAGGCGCCGACATGGCCCCCACAACGTCCAAAAGGCCCCGCCTTTTCCAGTTGCTGAACTTTGCTATTGGCATCTGCCACCAACTTCTGACTTTCCTCCACTTTTCCCTCGGTGACGCGAGCCGAAGCGTGCTGACTCACTATCTGCGAACTTTGCTTCGGTGGTTGGGCAACAAGAATAACTTCTACACTAGAAATGTATATCAAGACAAATCAACATCTCACTATATCAATATTGTACAGTTCAAAACCATTGGATTCATGGTTAATGATCATCCATCCCAGGATATCCCAGGATACCGCTGCCTTGAGCTGCGTGTTCTCTTCTTTCATTTTTGTTGCTTCTACCTTGCGGAAAAAAGAAAAAACACAAAATCAGTGGGGACTTCGGGACTTCGTATCTGTCACGGTCAAAACATGGTCTATGGTATTGGCTATGATCATCCCACCATAATCAGGGATTTCCTACAATGGGATGTACTGGGATGTACTGGGCATGTTAACCCCTATGAATATTTTATTACTGGAGGATGACCATCATCTTTCATGGGAAAACAAGCCCACCTTTCACATCAGCCATTGATCTTTCTGGGCACTCTATCCATTCACTCCAAAACAACTGGCTCACATTCTGAATGTCCCATCCATATCATCTACAGCTTCCTATACTACTATACATGGGTTTGTCTGAAGAATTGGGTACCTCGGCTTCCAACGGAAAATCAAAAAACATGTTCCATCAACATGGCAATAACATGGTAATTTTCGGGGTAGCCCATTGAAACCATGTTTTCTTCCCTTTTCAAATTGGAACTTTGGGTTTAGCTTATGGTTGGACAAACCCACATGGCATCACAAGCCACATATGTGGCTCAGCAGGGTGCATGGCCTCATATGGGTCAAACTTTACCCCAAGAATTTTGATGGGCAATACGACATCAATAGACATCAACAAACATCCATAGACATTCCAATCTGTGGTCACCTATTTTTACCAATACCTCATAATAGCTCTATTCATCTATCGCCCTTTTTCCATGGGTCACAGTGTTTTCACCCAGGCGCAGAGCTGCCGGTGTCAGATTTCCTGGGGCCATGTGCTGAGGATCCCATGGGTTGGTCTGCCCGAAAATGCGGCTGGTTTTTCTTAACGTGTCCCGTTTTTGGCGAAGCTTTAGGACAAAAAATCCCCAATTTTGATGCTTGAATCCAACATCTTTTGGTGAAATCCAACAGTGTCTCCACATCTTTGCAACAAATTGATGGCAGCCACCCATGGCTGCACTTCGATGATTTGCCTGTTGAAACTGGGTGTTTATGTGTTTTCCATAGCAAACTGGTTGACTCAGCCACCTGATCCACCTGGTCCCCATCACCAAGTCTCAATTTCTCGTTCTCATCCTTGAGCTTTTGAATTTGAACCTCAATGGGTCCCCACATCTTTTTGCGTCCAATCAATAAACCAGTGCTTTGGGAATTCTGTTTTTGGCAAAATGATTAATTATCAATGATTTCGGTCTTCTTGGACTTGGAATTGCGGGTGATTATTACTAATTATGAACCAAGGCTCAGAATCACAACCACCCAGCGACACAGAATGTTTTTCAGATTGTTGAAGCAGGGCAAACCAAGGTGGCGTATTCAATCACCCCAGCCTTGTTGTCCTCCAAGCTTTTGGTTTGTGCTTCAATTCGTTTCAAGTACATCCTCAGTCCGCTGGCATCCAGACTCATCCATCCAGAATCATACAACTTTGGTCATGTCAAGGTATTTCTGATAGGAACACTAAAAATGATACAATTCAAAGAAGTTTTGATGAAATCCCAGGAGGATTTCTGACCTACCATCTCATTCCTGGCATTTCCCCCTGTCGCTGGGGTCACCAACGGCTTCAAGCTGACCCAAGCTTTGCTTTCTTTGGCCTGACTACTGGCTGGTACCCCTCAAAAACTCACCTGGCAATGTACAATAAAAAACTTACGAAACAAGACATATCAAGACATGAAGTTTGATGAAGTCTTGATCAACACCCCAGTGTTACCCCACTTTTTTCCCCACAGCCGAGTTCCCACCTGTTGCTGCATCTCCGCATCCTTGTTCTTCAACTCACTCTGGATCTGTGTCTTCTCCTGGCAGATTTGGGCTGATGGCTGGATCCATTCTACTGCTTGGTTCATAAGGATTCCTAGTTCACGGGTTATGAGAATCCCAAATACAATGGGTTGTATAACCCTCAAACTAATCATCAACCAACCGGGGTCGTGAACTTGGGTCTGGTATTCCGAAGTTTCCCTCCACAACATCGCATAAAAAAGCACCGGGCAACCAACAGGTGTCTTCACCATCTTCATCTTCCCCCATGCCGAGCCCTTGGCCTCGATTGTGGCTTGTAGCTTTGCCTGTTCATCCGCCAAGGTCTTCTGGGCTTCTTGTGTCTTGGCCTGGAATTTCTCGAAGTTTTAGATGGTTTTTCACAGATGAGTTCGAGTTCCCAACTCTTACACCCACACACCCAAACAGAACACCAAACTCATACACATAATTTGTCAAAAATAGGCCCTTCGCCATCAAACCATATAACTTCCTGGCAACACAGGGTGCAGGTCTCAGTTCAGCAACACTTTTAGTGGTTTTGCCTCGACCAATTTTGAGTGTTCGATATAAGCAACTGTAAGTAGCGGTGCAAATTGACTGTACCCCTTTTTCTTCATACGTCTCCTGGAAAGACTATTGTACCATGACTCCAGAGGTTCTCTGGCAAACCTACTAGGGAGTTGACCGGAAATCCTCATCCCTTAGTGACTTAGTGTCTCCCAGCGAACATCACGTTGCAGGCCTTCAAACCATCAGTTTCTGTCTGGTGCCGCGAAATTTGGGTCTCCTTTTCCTTCACCGTATCCTGTCAGCAAGCGATCAGACCCCTATGGGAGCTGCCTGTAGGGACTAGGTCCTGGGACTAGATTATAATGGGATTACTATGAGACCCTAATGGGAGTATAATGGGATGTCTGGAAACCTACAGAATACCCTATAGAAACAATTGTCACATTCTCCAGGATCCAGCAATCGAAGCGGCGATTTGGACACAACCTGCATGGAAAGAACCACACTTTTGAACATTGATCCCCACAACCTTCCACACTTCCAGCGATTGAGCCCTCACGCGGGAGGTTTGGATCATGAACATGTGAAGCAATTGGCTAGAACCCCAAATCATCAGAGCCCTCTAAGATGCAGCGAAGATCTGGAGGCTGCAGACTTGACACTGGTTTCTCCCACATCCTCCCTGAATTTCCATTGAAAAATTACCCTCTGGTAAACTAACATAACTATGGGAAATCACCATTTTTAATGGGAAAATCCAATATAAATGGTCATTTTCAATAGCTATGTTAAATTACCAGAGGTCCAACAGGGTCCAGCTCCACCCGTCCCTCTCCTCCAACTTGCTGATCTTCGCATTGAGATCGCTCTGTTGCGCCTTGGATTTTGGTTTCCGTGGTCAACCACCAGGGATGGAGAACCATGGAGGCTCCATATTTCGGATCTCAACCATCCACAAGATCCACCTTGGGGATCCCTTGGGGTGGTGAAATTACCAGTGCTTTCCATATCTGCCATGATATCAGCAGGTTAAAACCCCACCAGGCCCTGGTCACATGATGTCACATGGTCACGTCACGTGCCAAGCAGCAGTGATGCTGGCGATGTTGCTCTCCTTCTCAGCCAGTTTCTTCAGGTGCAACCTGAGCTTGCGGCGCGAGCGAGTGGCCCATGAGCAGGATTCTCAATGTACATTCATATTTATGTCTAGAATGCATACATGGCATACATCATCAAAGGCACATCTGTATATTTACAAGATACACTAATATGATAGATTATGATAGATACATGTTCCATCATGTTCCTATATACATGATTATACATGTATACCTGGCTGGTGGTTTCAACCCCTCTGAAAAATATTAGTCAGTTGGGATGATTATTCCCAATATATGGAAAAATAAAACATGTTCCAAACCACCAACCAGTACATGTATACTGTATATGGACTTTGGTTTTGTTGACCTCGCCCCTCCCGCCGGCGCGCACGTCTTGACATTCTCCAACTGCTTCACCATCTTCGCCTCTTGGATCGCCCATGACTTAGGAACCCCCCCATTAAAATGAAGGCTACGTAGAATCGAACTTTCGAACTACAAACCAACCATCTCAATTGTCTCAACTGTCAACTTATATCCCCCCCAGTTTTGAGAGTTTTTTTTAAACCCCGATAGACGGAGAGATTCCCGACATGGCTTCCATTCATCAACAGAGCGCATTCGCCACCGAAGCCATGGAAGCCATGGATTCAGCCGGATTTCCCCATCAGTCTTCTGGGTTTTCTTATAGCCCTGATAGTGCCCACATTGGCTGAGTTATTTCCTAGAGTACCCTCTGGTAAACTAACATAGCTATTGAAAATGGCCATTTATAGTGGATTTACCCATTGAAAATGGTGATTTTCCATAGTTATGTTAGTTTACCAGAGGGTAATGGTTGATACAATCCATTTTTCAATCCCCCGTTGGGTTTTTAGATGGTTGGGTGCCAAACCGCCCAAAAACCATCCAGCGGTTTATCCTTTTGCGTTTTTGAATGGACTTTTGCAGGACTGGCTTGCACGGGAAAAGCCCATGGTCAGACACACCCATGGTATACATATTGTAATATGGTTGGTTCTATCTCCCATTTTTTACCCATTCAACCACATTGAGTCACTATGTCACCACGATCAAAGCCCATTCAATTCCAATTATAATCACCATAAATCTCATTGCACTCCCATAAGAATCCCATAAAATCCGATTAAACCACCATGAATTCTGATTGGAATGACCATGGGTGAGGCTAACGGTGCACCTTCTCTTCTAGCTCGCTCACTTTGGCTTTCACATGGCCCTGAAGTTCGGTCTTCTCCTCGTTTCGCAAATGGATCCAATCTTCAAAGAAAAACTGGATATCAGTATTTTGATGCATAGCTAAACATGGCCCATTTAGCTTGATGATTTACCTCTTAATCATGGCAATTATCCATAGCTACGTTCGATTGCTGGGGAAGAATCATTCACCAACCTGAAAACTTCATCAGCCATCTAGAGATGATTCCCCAATCCAATTCCCATCATTCCAGTGACGTCACGACGACGTCATCGCGATCACTTTTATTCATAAATAGAGACAACATGTCAACATGATCCACAAATCCACCGGGTACGAATTTCATGGGGATTTAGACGATTCAGATGATATGCTTTCAACATCTAGAAAAGAACATGTCCGCTGTCCACGACGTGACCTTCCAAGTCCGCCAGTTCATGGTCAATTTTCATGAGCCATTCATGGAATCATCCTGGGATATAGCTTGAAGGGCGTGTTGGACCAGTTACAACTAGACCATCTGGATTTTGAGTGGAACGTGACATCTTGTTGTTTGTATATTCATAATTCATATGTACATATCACATCATATTATAACCTCCACTATAGATTCCCAATATAAATTAGACATCATAGTCTAATAGTTATATCAGTTATATCATACTCTCCAGATTAATTCGATCATGATTAGATATTATCTCCAGTGATATCATTTCCATAATCTCCAGATATCATAATTATATCATAGTATATAATCACAATACTTATATTCATAATATATAATATTTATGTCATATCATATAATATAAATATAAACATGAATATCATTATACATATCCAGATGTAACAATATAAACAGCAATATATTAATACTGTACAGTAATCACTGATATTGTATCCTTATTCAAATGTAAAAAATATATACAGCAATATAGTAATCATAATATATTATATCCTTATCCAAATATAATAACACATTATATAATAACATGTGATATAAACAATTCCAGTCGTGGGTGGTTTATGGCATTGTTTTACCCACATTAATGTAATAATCATTAATATTATATCCTTATCCAAGTATTGATACCTTATCCAAATGTAATTATATATATATAATAGCTATATAAAATATTATATCATATTATGTATACATATAATCATTAATCATGCATATTATATCCAGATGTAAGAATACTCATATATATATATAACATTATATAATATATATATATATATTATAGTATATTAATCACAATCTTCAGCAGATTCCCGGATTCAACAGCTGTCCTTCGCAATGTCTTCCACTTTGCGTTGCGCCTCTGAGAGGCTCTTCTGGGCCTCTTCCACTTGGGCCTTTTGACGAGCCAAGAGTTTTCGGCTCGGCCGGCTGGGGAAATCCTAAGTGTTTTTCATGTTTTGATGGGAAAATATCGGTAAATATAGGACCATCATCTATAAAATGCCGTTTTGAATGGGAAAATATCGGACCATCATCCATAAAATGAAGCTTTTAGTGGGGAAATATGAGAAATCCCCGAACTACTCATTTTCAGGTTGGTTCATGGGAAAGCCATCTGTTTACTGAGTGGAGGATTTTTCTCTGCCATGTTTTCCATAGGAATGGGATCCCAGCAATGGTGGACAGGGGCAGCCGCAACAGCCCCGTTTTTTGCACAAAAAAAATGGCTGGAGAGTCACCGAAACCAAACAGCTTATCCCTTTCAATCGGATGAATTTACTACGAGAAGATGGCAAAAACCAATATACATAGACATGGGGTATCATAAAGAGGTACCTGTACTAAGTGGGATGCACATCCACATCATGTATTAAGATGTATTAAGATGTATTTTAAATAATTACAGTATATAATTCTATGGTGCATGGAATCAACTGTTTTTACACCCTCTGCGGATGTATAGAAACCTAGCCATAGATGCTTTTTTCATTTGTACATGCTTTACCTCTTCCACATCGCTGTTTTCCGTACCTGAGATTATCAACAGGTAATTTTATTTTTTTTGGGAAACGATCCTCATTTGGTCCAATATGAATTAAAGAAAAACCTTAAGTCACCAAGAAACCACTCTTGAATCCCATGAAATCAACCACTGAACCACCATGAAACCTATGGCTAACTCCCACTGAATTGCCTTGTTTTATCCCTTGAATTCCCATTAAACCCCATGAAAGAATCATCACCCATTGTTAGCTGAAAAATCACTTCCATTTGCAATACATGGACAGGGGCAGCCGCAACAGCCCCGTTTTTTGCATTTACCAAAACCTTTTGAAAAAATGGTTCCAGTCACCGATCATGTTTGAAGTTCTGTGACTTTGGGGTATCCGTCACCTGTTTTTTCATTTGTACATGCTTTACCTGTTCCACATCGCTGTTTTCCGTACCTGAGATTATCAACAGGTAATTTTATTTTTTTTGGGAAACGATCCTCATTTTGTCCAATATGAATTAAAGAAAAACCTTAAGTCACCAAGAAACCACTCTTGAATCCCATGAAATCAACCACTGAACCACCAGGAAACCTATGGCTAACTCCCACTGAATTGCCTTGTTTTATCCCTTGAATTCCCATTAAACCCCATGAAAAATCATCACCCATTGTTAGCTGAAAAATCACTTCCTGTCGCACAAGGATGAGGTATACATTCAGTCTACACACACAACTTCCGGTAATGTTGCTGGAAGATCCACCATTTATATATGATGTTCCCAGCTTTAAACCTCCATTGAGTTCGGATTTTTTTTTCACAGCCAACCACGGTTGATGACACCGGTTGGCATCGCATTAAATCACCAGTAAATCCCAAAAAAACAAGCCACAAAGTCCCATGAAATCATCATGAAATCCCGTATGAAATCTCCAGAAAATCCTATTAAATGCCATTAAATGCCTATCAACTTTCATTGCCAAACCATGAAAAATCCCACGGTGAACTGGATCCAAACACCGGGGCACCTTGAGGGACTGGCTCCGTGTCTGCTCGCCGCTCAACTCCGCCTCCTTCGTCTTCAAGGTCTCCTGGGCGAGGTGATACATGGAATACATGGGAACATATGGATTATGAAAACCCATATAATTGTTGGATTATGAACATCTATATATTATTTGGGATAGTCTTTATGAATTATAATTGAGATACCCTGGATGTCCAACGTCAAAATTTAACTTAGTATCTTTAACTTAGATTTTACCAAATACGAAGTGTTTACTTCCTAACTTGCATTCATTAACGACGCTTTTAAGAAGTAAACACGATGAACCTGGGATCTTACTGGGTTTTCATGGACCCAACAACCCCAACAGCATGGACCTTGCTTTTCTCATCTGAACTGCAGATTACGGATCCATGAGAACTTGGCCCTCGTCTCTTCCCGGAAGACTGTGGTCCAACATGAATCAAAATTTGATCTGATCCTCATGAAAAAATGTGTGATGATACCATGGGAAAACGAACTCGCTACCAAAAAATGGTTGCAGTAATTTTTGGTTCCAAAAACCCTTCTAAATGGAGCTGATTTGGTTTGAATACACGAAACAACATCCACTTGGGACATTCGACACCTTTTGGACACCTAGACTACTAGAGCAAACATTTTCCGTGTACAAATTCTTGAGATTTCTAGCAGTCCTAGATGACGCAAAAACTTAGTATTTCACTCAACACCTTGGTATTTCACGCACAATGACGCGGACGTTTTTTCATGTTTTTACATGTTCCCTCCAACCCCACGTTCCCCCACACCCGAATATCACATCCAAACCAATATCATATAATTACTTGTCACCAGAGGATGAATGAAAACACTGGCTATACGCAGCAATGTTGGTTTAAATTTCTTGAGGATTGAGGGTTTTTATTTAAGGTTTTGGTTTTTAGGGTTTTAGGATTTTAGGTTTTGGAAAGTAAAAAAAACAACGCACATGTTTTTACAGGATTGACCTTTACTTTCAAGCAGCTTGAAGGTTGGGGGTCCAAACGATCATGCTAAAATATCACGCCGGTCTGCATCGTATTTGAAGACATGATTTTCATAATCTAGCAGGATTTACTTTGTTCAAACAGATTGAAAGTTGGTAATCCTCCCCACTATGGCTAGTTTAAAGTTGGTGCCTTGGCCAAGGCATTATATCCAATTGAGCCATGGCCAAACTCATGGAAGTCAGAACTGGAGGCAGGAGTAAAACTTAGTATTTCATAAATACGAAGTTAAGCTAGGTAAGTGACGCCTAGGGTATATACACATATTCTTATGGGAATCATATGGATATCAAACTCAATGGTACATTCGAATATATGGAAAAACATTCATGGCATATTCAAGGAATATTACCCGATACAATGGCTGGCAGATTCATTATTAATGGAATGTTAATGAAATATAAAGATAGAACACGCAATGGACATATTCTTATGGGAATCATATGGATATTAAAGTAACATATATGGGACATTCATGAAATATCAAAATGGATTATTGATATGGGAAACATATGGGAAAACTATGGATACATTCATTATCAATCACAGATGGAAAATCAATATATATATATAACATTATATAACATTATATAACTCTAAAATTTTAATAAAATGGAATTGGCACATATGGATATACAAGGAATGTATGGGAAACAGGGGATATATCCCTTATAAGATTCGGGAATGTATTTATATTCTGATGGGAGTCATTCACTTCGTTTATGGAATATGAAGGGATAAATGAGATTATGAGATTATATGGGAAACATATGGGGTAAATGTGGATATTGTGGGATATTTATGGAATATGAATGAGAACATAATGGAACACACGCACATGCACATGTATACGTATGTGTATATACATATATATATACATATATGTGTGTATGTATATTTAAATATATATATATATGTGATGATATATACAAGTCAACCCTCAGAAACTGCTGAATGTTTGGACAAACACAAATTTTGGGCCATGGAATGGGGATGTAACTAATATGAACGATGTTTTGTTTCCCCCCCAAAGAGATAGGTATGACAATGAGAGGTGGATGACATCACATGTATGAACTAACACTTGCACCAACAAAAACAAATAACACATGCCAACAGAGGGAAAAACAAAAACACATCCACATCCTCAAACATCCTCAATGAGTAAGTCGAATTGTACATATCATCAATTCACCATTAAATCTCTTATAATATGTGTATTGATTATTGTTAGTAATATTCCATACAACCCAATGAAATGACCATTGAATCAAATTAATGGGATCAATCATCATTCCCCATCATCCATCATCATCCCATGAACTCCCATTTATTAAACCTTATTAACACGATTTAATGGGATATTAATTAGTGAAGATTAACCTTATTCTGATGAAATATCTTCACTAAGACACTAAGTCATTAACTCACTAACTCATTAATACCCATCATCCCATATTATGAGCCAAAGTCGTGGTATTATGATTCCTTAACTCACCACGACTTGGCTAGATATTATGATTACCCTCTGGTGAACATACAAAAAGCAATGGAAAATGGCCATAGAAATAGTGGATTTTCCCATGAAAAATGGGGGATCTTTCCATTGCTATGTTAGTTCACCAGAGGGTAAATCTTCACTAACTCATCAAACCCCCAAGCCAGGTCGTGGTCTTCGCGTCCTGGAGTTTGCTGATCTTTTCGCTGAGCTCCGTCCTCTGCGCCTCGAGGAGCTACGGAGCTAAGCATGTCTAATGGCTTCATTATAGTTAATGGGCTATTAATGGGACAGTAATGGGATAATCATGGGATAACTCATATCCATAATAATGGGATAATAACATGGGGGATAGTTGACGGGATAGTTAATGGGACAGCTAATGGGAGAATAATTGGATAGTTAACGGGATAATAATGGGATAGTTAATGGGATAATCATGGCCGGGATCGTTAATGGGATAACAATGAGATAGTAATGGGATAATCATGGGATAATCATGGGATAATCATATATAATAATGGGATCGGGATAATCATATATAATAATGGGATAACTATAACCAGCATCCCCAAATCATCACCATTGTTGTGGGTTGTAATTATGTCAACCATCCACAGTCATGGTAGTTGCTCATGGCATTGGCCGAATCCAACATTATATAACATTACATACATTTACGTACCATCTTTGAAAGTACTGTATGTTGATGTTTTGATATGAGATTGACCCACAAATTTCCTATTCCCATGTAAAAATAAACACAGAAACCAACTTGAAGCAAAACTACGAAACAGGAATTCTTCCATCACCAGCTATGCCTGCCACTCTTTCTGTGCTTCTCTGTGGAGTTGCACCTGGAGCTGGGATATGTTTGGATCATGTTTGATGAGTTTAACGATGCCATAGTTTGTCAACTCTTAACATGACCAAAGAGTGCTTGTCAAGTCTTCACAAACACATGAATCAATCAAATTGAGTCGTTTGGGATCTTCTTTCCAAACAAAATGGAAAAGTACAGTGCAGATTCCATCATACCGTGCTACGAAATAGCTCTTCAGAACATGGTGCAGTAAGACCAACCGAATAATCAGTCAGTCTGGCTGGTTGTTCGGCCAAAAAGAAGAAGATCCTTCACCAAGAAAAGTTTGGATACATCAACGACATGTGGATAAAAAAACAAGTCATCTGGGAGAATTCAACAAAGTAAACGCTTCAACAGTTCGCCCCTGCAAGTGTGCAGCAAGCTCATCAATACTGTCCTATCGAAATGCCGATGTCAACTTTGGTCGAAATGCATTGCTCAAAATCAAACAGAACATCATTCCTCTGTGGGGTGAGGTAACCCACGGATGATCAAATGCACGAAGCCCCCTATGGCCCAAACCCCCACCTCGCGGTTGCTGTCCAAACGCTCCTGACCGACAAAATCATCGAGCGGCAACATTATAAGTATTTCAAAACCATGAAGGAAACTCTGCCATACAGAACAGTCGAGAAAGGTGCTGACATTTCAAGCCTTTCTATTGTGAGTTCAATAATGCTTCAACATGCTTCAGCTATTCTTGCCATAGTCGTCAACCACCTACAAATTCACCCAAAGTCGCTCTTGATGCCGATCTCTCTCAAACTCTTCAGGTTCACCAAACCTTCCAGCCGCAAAACGATTATCCGCACATCGCTATGCGGCATCCCTTTTTGAAAAGGGTTCTATCGTCATTACTCCCTTTAAACACATATCTAATTAGATGGCAAAACCCCCTGGAACCTCTATCAACCAGTATTTCTCGATCATATCCGACAATATTCCTGATAGTTAAACGCCACAAAAAACCCAACAAACTAAAAAAAAACAGCAAATTAATGGTGAATCAACCCATCAGCAGTGGCCTGGCTGAATTAAAGTAATTCACTCCTGGAAATACCTGCTATCATACGGCCATTTCGGGATGATTACCCTGAATCTAAACCACCATTCCAGTGACATGACGACGCGGGGTTATGATCAAATGCATCCAAATATCAAAATAAATTCATATATATATATATATATAAATACGGTAACTACATTTAAATATACGGATTTTAAAATATACGAACAGGTATTTTAGACTACCTTCGGGAAGGTTTTCCTTGGCCCGCCCACCCATTTAAACATACGGAATCCAATTCAGTTAAACATACTGCAACTACATTTAAATATACGAACTGGTATTTCATGCTACCTCCGGGGCCTGGCGGTCTGGCCCGCCCTCCACATATTTAAATGTTGTTACCGTATCTATCTATCTATCTATCTATCTATCTATCTATATACCGTCATCCCGTTATACTAGGGGTATACCCTTCCTTGGGATGATTTATGGCATTGGGCACCAACCTATCATCAGCAATGGATGGTATCGCTGGAAGATTGGGGGCTGGAGGGCTGAAAACTTCGGGTTTAGTTTTGGATGTTGCTTCGTTGTTCATATAACTTGCAGGGTTCGGGGTTTCCAGTTGGGATTCTAAACCCTTCCTTACTGAAAATGAAGCTGTATCTTCAGCAATTGATGGTATCATTGGAAAATTGGGGATTGGAGGGCTTGCAACTTAGGGTTTAGTTTTGGATGCTGCTTTGTTGTTCGTACAACTTACAGGGGTTGGGGTTTCCAGTTGGAGCACCAAACCCTCCTTCATTGAAAATGCAGTTGTATCATCAGCAATGGATGGAATCACTGAAGATTGGGGGCTGGAGGGCTTAGAACTTCGGGTTTAGTTTTGGATGCCGCTTTGTTTTTCATATAACTTACAGGGTTTGGGGGTTCCAGTTGGAACCCCAAAGCCTTTTTTCTTGAACATGCTGTTGTGCCTTAAGCAATCGGGTGGGTCATTGCAAGGGGTTTTGGAGGGCTGGAAACTTAATGTTTCAAAGCTTACAAAAACAGGCAACTACGGCCGTGTAACATTTACGATGGCGCGTGTTAACTCAGGCCGTCCCAAAAAAAGTTGCTCTGTTCTCCGAAGCAACCCAAAAAAATATCAAACAAAAACCCGAACCTCAGTTTTCAATTGGCAAGAAGTATGCCGCCAAAAAAAAACAACGGCTCCTCAAGCAAGCTGGTGTGGGCAGCGAGCTCTGGCCATTAGCTGCTCGACGCAAAGGCCAATGAAAAGTCCAAAGACCAAGACTTAGTCCAATGAAACGGCCAAAAGAAAAGTCCAAAGACCAAGGCAAAAGTCCAATATCAAGGAACAGTTCAACGCACAATGCAAAGTCCTACACAAGAAACTTGCTGAAAGCAAAAATTAACGGAAAGTTAATTGGGAATTGCATTGGCATTTGATGCCGGCTTTTCCTGCTTTTCCTTTTTTGGTCTTGGGACTTTGCACGGCGCTTCTGTCGCCGCAATTCTTTTCCTCTATGATGTTGATATTGAGACAATGCGCGAAAAATACACGCCCGATCAAAACCAATGAAAAAACAATTTGCGCTTCATTTTTTCCTGTTGGCGCAGGAAAATTGATCCAGCTATTAATCAGTCTTTTGTTCGACCTCTTGGCCCTGATTTTGCTCCGGCTTTGCCGCAGGCTATGGACGTTTTTTTTGATTTCGACTTTTCTTTTTTCTATCATCTTGGATCTTGCAGGACATGTAAAAAATTGACAAGCCACAGATGCAGAAGTGGCATAGCCGATGCGTTGCAACAAAAACCCGGTCTTTTTTTGCCTGTGCCAAAGGTGGAAAAATTGACAACCTCAATCCTTCTTTTGACTGAACTTCGCAGCAAAAAGAATTGGCAACTACTTGCTGCTTCACAACTTATCACTGAAAATTGGTCCTTTGACACAAAGACGGAACCAAAAACCTTTCGGGGGGAAACTCCTTACCACCGGAAACTACTTGAGGGAACCTAACTCTTTGACCTCTTTGACCCCTTTGACCCGTTTAACCCTTTGTTGGACCCCTTTGAACCCTTTGACCCCTTTGGACCCCCTTGGCCCTCGGTGAATCATCCTTCCGAGAAAACAACTTGCTAAAGGATTGAAATTTGTGTCAGAGGATTGTTCATTGTTCTTTTGGAACGCTGTGAGAAAGTAACCGAGCAAACAAATTTAGGAAGTTGGTTGATGAACAATCTGCTGACATATCTTCCTTTAAAGCTTCGGTCAAACAAACGCCATATGAAACAACAATTCAAAAACCGTCAAATAATCCCCAAGTGGCACTTAAATCCCCAAGGAATTCATCTTGATTCCCAAGAAATTGATGGTTAATCAACCCATGATTCCGGTATCCAACACTTCAGTATTCCCCAGAAATTCCCATAATTTCACCCATGATTGCCCAAGAAATTGATGTATTTCCCCCATGGCCCAGTCCGTTTTTCTCGTCCCCGGGGTCCCCGGGTCCTGCAGAGAGCGGTTCATCGCATTCAGCCGACGTCGCTCCGCCTCCAATTCGTCCATCTGCGTCAGCTTCGCCAGGGCCCTGGGAACTGCATCAAATAAATTCTGTACATCGCATGTTTATAGTATCTTATTTTTAATATGTTATATGCGTTTTTTCACCAGATTATAATATATATATATGTATGTGTAATCTGAGGAGGTTCTAGTAATGACTTTTCTTTGGTGGTTGGGAGCTGCGTGTATGGAGAACTCCACCAGATATGCCGTTGAGGATGGGTGTTTCAAAGTGGAGGAGGATGAGGATCGTGAAACCAATTTCTTTCGTGTGGTTTTTCACCTGCCTTTGGTTCTTCATCTTCATAGCTCTTCATAGCTTTGAGACTTTCTCAGTTTTCAAGGATGTCAATTACTTGTGTTCTTGGAAACAAATTCCTACATTGCTTGGGTCATAGTTTCTTGTTGGTTTGGCAGGTTGTTGCATCACAGAATGGTGGAAGTTTCCTGAATATCTTTGTCCATCTTCATTCTCACAGCCCTGTTCCTTGGAACCATCAATGTCCATGATCAAACTTGATCAACACCGTTAAGGAATAAATCCACCATCATCCAATGATTCCATGAATAGATGTATTACGATTGTGTGTTTGATATAGAACAAAGAAAATCAGTACCTCTCTACAGGCGACACTGTAGGACTGTAGGGGTTTCCGAGCCCGATTAAAATGGACAAACCCACATATTGTAGATTGTACATATACCATTATATTCCTATTGTATTTCTAGCCTAATTCCATTATCTTCCATTATTATTATATATATATACATACACGTTTCCGATCCCAATCTTTGAATAGTTAGCAGCTTAGATCCTAATCTGTGAATACTTATATAACCTCTTCAAACACAATTCTTATATTATTATTGAACAGTTGGCAACTAAAATCAACTTGAATCCCAATTGTTGAATTTGAATAGTCATGTTTTAACAATATCATCCAATGTTATCCCAAAAATGATCCATATTCTCCCGGAATCTTCAATATTATCCACATATTCTCCACCTTTGAATGGTCAATTTTCCATACAATGTTCTGTAATCTTCATTATTATCCAATGTCCATAACATTGTCCATATATTCTCCACCTTTGAATGGTCAAATTCCTGTGAATATTTTATATTTTCTCCATTTCCCCTAAAATTTATCCACATATATATATATATATAATATATATATATAGAGAGATTCTATGGTTTTCCCATGGTTTTCTATGGTTTTCCTATGGTTCTCTTGGTATTTCCCATGTTTTTTGTTTCAACCCTCCACGGCAGCGACGAAGCACCGACGCCGTTTGGGGCTCTGGGCTTCTGCTCCACGCGGGTGCTGCGCTGCAGCCGCAAGATCTCGCGCTGCTCGGCCGTGAGCTTCTCCTGGAGATGATGGGTTGATATGTCATTGGGGATATTCATAGAATTGGATGATGGGAAAATTTACAGGAAACCCCTATATTTGATGGTAAAAACCATGGTTTCCTGTAAATTTTCCCTTAAACCAATCCAGTGAGATATGGGTTGATAATGGATATCCATTGATCATTATCAATACCAAGCCATAATGATATGATCAATATCCATTGTTGGGGATATTATACCATTGGGGATATGATCCTGATACTGATGTTGGGCATGTTAATGTATTGATATATCAACAACCATATGGTACCATTTTACCATATGGATAATGTTATTACTGAAGATCATGGTAAAATATCATGGTTGAAAATGGTTGATAATGACGGTTAATATGGGTTGGTATTGATAATGATGGTTAATATGGGTTAATATGGATATCAACTATTGACTTTGTTGATATAGTTGGTATATTGTCAACAACAACAATTATATTGTATATGATTATATGGCTATGTTATTGATATATCAACAGCCATATGGTTGATCTAGATGATATATCAACCACATGGTTACCAACCTATAACGTATGTTACTAATAAACATAATAATTATAACCATGATATCTCCATAAATCTCCATAATATCAATAACACATATATATATATATATATCAAACCATAACATGGTTGTTATTGGCATGCGTATGATACACGGCGCTTGGAAAGGTTGCTTATTTTGAGATGTGCCATTCACGATCCCTCGTAAAGGTTGCGAATTTGAAAGATGAAGGTTGAACATATGAGGGTTCAAGAATTGAATTTAGGGGTTGGATGTCTTAAGGTTCCTGCAAGATGCGTTACGTACTTAAAACGTTGCACGTGCTCTCTCATGGTCAACAGGGGGGTGGGGGGTGGGGGGGAGGGGCGTGGTAACGCTCTTGACCAGTATAACGCAGGGCCCACGGATCTCTTGCGGTGAGTTCCCAACTTTAGGTTGTCACTGCAGATGGAACCAGAGGTTTTGCAGCCAGTTGCAGCAAGGATTACCCTCTCAAAAGATTCAATATGGCCCAAGTCAACCACAAAAAAAATATCTTTACTAAGACTTCTTAGTTTCGTGGTCGTTTGTGGGGCAAATCCCGTAGAGCCATTGTTGCTGGAACTCAACAAATAGATGGTACATGGAAACACCTCAAAAAACGGAGATCAATGTCCATGCTGCACAAGAAAGAGCAGCAAATGTACCAACAAAAAGATACTCTTGGGCTTACAGCTGGAGATGGCGTCATAATGTGGCCTTGTTTGAGTCTGTGGCCGCGGCTTTGCCGAGAGCACTTTGGCACTGATGCTGACAGAGAGGTGTTCAGAAAAATGGATGGATGATCTGGTGGATGTTTGCACGCAATTGTTAACCACTATTAACCACTATTAACCACTATTAACCACTATTAACCACTATTAACCACTATTAAACATTATTGACCATTATTAACCACTATTAACCACTATTAACCACTATTAACCACTATTAACCACTATTAACCACTATTAAACATTATTGACCATTATTAACCACTATTAACCACTATTAACCACTATTAACCACATTATTAACCACTATTAAACATTATTGACCATTATTAACCACTATTAACCACTATTAACCACTATTAACCACGATTAACCACTATTAAACATTATTGACCATTAACCACTATTAACCACTATTAACCACTATTAACCACTATTAACCACTATTAACCACTATCTGGTGGATGAAAATCATAATCTCCGAAAATGTTTGTTTTTAGCACTCGAAGAACCAGTTTTTGATTCACCGCGCAGGCCAAATTTGAAAAAAATGAACTTGAGTCACACGCCTGCCCATCGAAATGAATGTCCATGTTGCAAACATGTTTGACAAGTCCCACAAATACCAGCATGTTGTCTCTTAGTCTTAGCCCCGAACATCTCAATTTCAAATTTGTCACCCTTACAAGGGCGGCGAGTCAACCGGTTGCCTTGTTGTTGATATGTTTTATTGATATATCAACAACCATTAACCATCATTATCAATATCAACCCGTATTAACCATTATCAACCATTGTCAACCATTATCAACCATTATCAACCATTATCAACCATTATCGTAGATATTAGCTTATCAACCATGATCAACCCATATCAATAACAACCATATGGATACCATATAGAAGATAATATGGGTATATGTATGGTTGGCATATTAATTATTGATTATTTTATAATGGGTATATTTGGATATGTAAGATTATATCAACCACTACAATCATGTTTGTATTCATTTGTGGTATGATTGATATCATAATAATCTATCATTCTATCATGAACACTATAATGGGTACTGTATCTTATTGACATACTGCGAATGGAAGAAATCCTGCACGAGTTGATAGGTGGTTTATCCGATTATTTATATGGTTTCAAGCTTTCCAGTTGGTGCAGGATTTCGCAACCAGAAACAGTATTATTGATATAAGATTAATGGATATTTCATGGATATTATAATAATAGATAATATTATGGTTGATATATGGATCTGTATGAATGATAATATGGTATATCTCCTTTCAATGGTATATCTCCTTTCAATGGTATACATTGATATTATCAGTATCCCTAACGATTATATATTGATATTACATCAATACAATTTTATAAACCAAACAACTTGTTTTCTTTTACCAATGAAAAAATATTTCATAAAACCATGTCAACCACAAATAGACTGCACAATATATCAGTTGACATAATATTGTCCTAGATGGCTATATAATGCTATATATATAAGCACATTATTGATATATTAGTTGTCAATGATATATTAGTATATAATTGAGATAACCACATTATTGAAAACATGTGCATATAATGGCTCCATATTGGAGAGACATACATAGTAATTAGATACATATAATTAATGGGGATAATACAATAATATCATTGTATCCATATTCTCGAATGAGTATCTTATTTATATATAAGGGGTATAACCATGTTGATGGTGATTTTATGGGTATCTATTGATGTATTGTTGATATATAATGTTGATATATGTACCATATAAAACTATAGAAATTGAGGGCATACCCCCTTACAAAGCCCGCACAAAGACATTTTTTTTGTAGGTACCTAAAAAGGTTCGGTTCCTGAAGTGGCAACTGAGATCTTATGGGGTTATATGGGTATCATATCTTTTTCTAATCTGTTCCCAATACTAAACAGCCCCAGTTTCGACACCGTGGTGGATGTAGGGGATGACAAATCAACTTTTTCGATTGGTGAAAGGGACAATTTACAGGAGCAACCGTCAAGTCTAGAGGAAAACATGGTTTCCTGTCGATCTTCCCTTCAACCAATCCAGTGGATATTGATATATAATATAATGGTATATATATATATATTGGATTATATTGGTATCTCCATGGTAACCCAACAAAATATACCATCAAACACCGCACCCCATGACTAACCGTTAAATCTCCATGATTACCCTATTCTTGGATACCCTCTGGTAACTTAACATGGCTATGGAAGCTATGGCCCGTTTTGTTCCACGATCTACCGTTTTAATAAAAAGGCAATGTTGCGTAGCTATGTTGGTTTCCTGGAGGCTACAACAATATTGATTGTTGCATTTATATCCGCAGTAATTGATATATTGCATATTTAATATACATACAGTATATGTAATTAATAATGATCATGTATTCATGCATGCTGTATATATATATATATATATGTATACATATATATATATATATATCTATATCTATACCTACAGTATATATATATATAATATTCCTGAGTAAGCTTGCCGCAACGCTTGTGCCATTTCTTAGCAGTACTCTACCAGCATGTTCACCACGTCCCAGGCGGCCTGTAGGTGCTTGGCCTTCAAATGGGCTCCATGCGCCTTTGACGCTGCAAACGTGGTTTGCAAACATGAGGAGTCACCGGACTTTTTTGCAATTATTGGTCGGTGATGTCCCAAATGGCCCCCTCTGGTATTGTATCAATCTCAGCTATACATATATATATATATACATACATGTATACATACTTCGAACTGTAATGACTCTTATTTTGGAGGCTTTGAGCGACAAAATAGAGGTTCTACACTTGCTTCCAGGTGCAAACATATAGTCTGAGCTAGCTGGAACATCACCAGCTGGAGCAGGGATAAGTGAACTGAATCTGGTATCAGTTCACCAAACATTGGAGATCTTCCATCCCTGATCCAAATAACAGCTGAAAATGAACACAGATTTGAAATCATGACCTAAATACATTTTGATAATATAGGGGTTTCTCTTAAAATTCAGCATCATCCTTTTCTCTGATCACAGTTTTCGGGGCATACCATGGCATACCCTATTCAGAAATGCTCTAAGCAAATATAGGTTGCCATATCTAATCATATATATATATATATCCCACAGTAGCCCCATTAAATAGCGTTAAAACTCAATCAAGATCAAATCTCTGGAACTTTCTGGGAGTTTCCAGAAAAATGGGGGCACCGAAAAATAGCTGGATGGTTCAGAGGGGAAAATATCATGAAAATTCCATGGATTTAAGGGTACCCCGGTAGCCCCATGACTTAGGAAGCCCCCATATGAAATCCCAATCGCCAAAGATCATGGAGGGGACCCTGGAGAGCACCTCCTCTTCAAGCCTTTCCTTGTCGCCCTCCTGAGATAACGCTGCTTGGGACCATCCCCATGGCTATCCCTCCCACCCAATGCTGCCTTCATGTTCCACATACAGTATATCATATATGGATGTGTAGGATCATTATCATTATCATTGTCATGATCATCATTATCATTACTCTGATTAGACAATGACATGTGGATATATATATATAATATTATAGTACACCCCCCCCCAAAAAAAATATTTCCCAGATGGTTTATTTAGTCTTTACTCATGATTACAACCATTATCATCAATGTTCTTATCATTGTCATTATTATCAGTATCATCATAGTTTTTTAGTATCATACATATATCATACATGTATTATACACATATAATACATATATCATACATATCATACACATACTATACACATATACTATATACATATCATACATACATCATACAAACATCATACACATATCATACATATCATACATACATCACACACATATCTTACATATATGATACATATACACAGTGTCTATTTCGCAGGTTGCATTAACATCTATATTCAACAACACATATTATAGGAACTATATCACATACACTATATTGCACATATTGTTAACCATCCAGCTCTCTGACCCGAGCATAGAGCTCTTTGGCAGAAGCAGTGAAATAAAAACACACTGTCCAGCTGTTCCAGCTGTTCCGGCTGTTCCAATTTCACTTATAAATTAACAGCTGTTTTCTGTTATCATCATCATTATTACTATCATATCATACATATACACCATATATATATATCTATATACATTGCATGTTCTGTTGTATCGTACATAAATATCATACATGTTCCATTACGAGTATATTACTGTCTGTATAGTACATGTAGTACATTCATATCTACATCTATCTACATCTGACATTAACATACATTAACCATGCCATGTTTTTCAGCCAAGCTTCCAACTGTTCCAACTGCCCTTGTTGCTGTTCCAACTTCTGCCGCGCAGCACGCAGCTGCGCTGACAAGGTCTGCAATGCTTCGGCTTCCGGCAAAGCTAAGAGCTGCGACTTGTATTCGCCTTGAGATTTCAGCAGAGCTGGGCTTCAAAACAGGGATTTAAGTGGAAAAACATATCGAAAACGATGATATTTTTGTTGATAAATGATCTTACCACCAATTCTGAGGATTTACTGAGGGTTAGCTAGTGAAAATTGCTGTAATCCCGTGAGAACCTCATGCATTCCCCGAGTTTTTCGTCTCCTTCCTGGAGGCCTTGTCCTTTAAAAACGCTCAACTCCCAACGCCCAAGTCATGGCCGAGCAGCTGTTCTCATCCCCCAATGTCTTCACTTGTTGGTTCAGCTCCGTCAACCTTCCTTTGAAGATCTCCAGTTCCTCCTGTGAACGCCTGGCCAAACAAATCTCCAGATGCAGCAAGTTGCCAGCCATTTTTTCTACAAAAAACACTTGGTGAAGCCGTTGGTTCGTTAAAAAAAAAACATTCTGATCAGCAAAACTATGGCAGATCTGGACTGTAAATTTATAATTGTAAATGATTATCGTGTAATTCATCATTGTTCCAAAAATATCGTTATTAAGATTGAATGTACTTCTGTCCGGAAACAATTATATCATTATCGGAATATCCTATGATCACATTCCATTCCATTAAATCACCATTGAAGTCGACAACAAAATCCATTAGATCCCATTGAGCCACCATCAAATCACCAATAAATCACCATCCAACCCCCATCAGATCACCATTAAAGCACCATTAAATCACCATAAAACCACCATTAATCCACATTGATCACCATTGAATTAACCATTACATTGCCAATCAGCCAGATACCCTGCAAAAAATGACAAGTTCTTTGCTGATTAGTAGATATTCCCATTGATACCAAAAGACTAAAGGATTAACTGGTTGGTGGTTTCAACCCCCCGGAAAAATATGAAAGTCAGATTGGATCATCATCCCAACTATTGGGGAAAATAAAACATGTTCCAAACCACCAACCAGTTATTCTTCGCCAGTGTCAGCACCTCATCTTGGACTCCTGCAGCACACGTTGTCTTCGCGAGGTCTGGAGTTCTTGCTCCGCCTGGATGATGGCCATGGCTGCCATGGCGAAAGTTCGTTGATATATATATATATATGTGTGTATCATATATATAATATGTATATTATATCATACAAACAACATTCCTCAGCCTCAACCCCTTCGGCCATCTCTACTTAGATGGGCCATGGGATTAGGGACTCCTGGGTTTATAAACCACGACAAATCCCAATTATAATGTGGTCATTCACCTATTCATATCCCAATAATCATCCAATTACATCCATTTACATTACTGTAATCATTGGGATACTAGGCCATAATATTCATCCATTATAATCCATTTTATAATCCATGTTATAATCCATGTTATAATCCATTTTATATCCATTCCCATATGCTCCATGGTGCTGGTATATATGCTAACATAAAGGGGGTATATTGATGGGATCCATGTTACCATATATAGCAGCACCATGGATCCTATGGGATTTATAATCCATATATCATATAATCCATTTATCATATATAATCCATTTATAACCCATGTTATAATCCATGTTATAATCCATTTATAATCCATATATCATCCACATCTCGTGGCCTCAGAGAGCTGTTTCTGCAGCTCCGTCAGCTTCGTGAGATCCGAGGCGTGGAACTCCAGCTGCCTCGGAGCTTCGTGAATCTTGCGGCCATTTGGGGATGATGTCCCTTACTAACCATGATTTCCAGTGAGGGAGAACAGTGAGGTCGTTATAATTTACCCAGATATGTTGGTTATATCCATATATTATGTTGGTTATGTTGGAACCAATATATGAGATACAGTGGGGTTATTATATTCCCGAATATCACTTGTCATGTTGGTTATAATCAGCATCTTTTTGTTGGGTTGGTGAATGAAACTAGGGACCATGTTTTTTTCAGTATGTCAGTGTGTTGGGGTTGGCGAATAATATAATTTTCAGAAAATGACCATCAAGATTGGAAGCATGCACCATTTTGAGAGAGCCAGTTTGCGGGGTGTGCTACGACACCCTTGTCACCAAAAAGATACTGGAACCAATGCCTGGAATGAAATATATGGAGAGGACATAAAAAGTTCCCTTAATATCCCTTAATAAGTTCTTGGAATCTGGATGATCTGCACAAATTGTCAACATATACGATCAGGACGTATCATAATCATTAGGATAAGCCCAAGAGAATCTCATGAAGGGGACAACATCAACATACATGATTGAAAACTGCTTAAAACCACACAGTCAGCAACCAGAAACATGGAGCCTTCAACATATGGATTATCGATAGACAAATGCTTACACTGAAACTGTCTGAAACTCACAAACAACTTTGGAATGTCATCTCCCCTCTTGTGTTTCTATCCCCGCTGATGGACCAGGTATTCGCCCCAGAATGGTTCTGTTCGGCCCCAATCACCACAGGTTTTGCTTCAACCAGCGATGATCGGGATAATCACCGAGTTGCTCATGGTACTTCTGCTCCCACTTTCTTTCCTGGCGTCCGCGGCGCTACGGGAACTATGGCCAAAACGGCTTTTGCAGTCTAATCTGGCCAGAGATTCTCCAGATCTTAAGGTCAGTTTGAGGGCAATTTGCGCCCGCTGCTACTCAAACACAATGGGAAAACCATCTAAAGAATCCAAAGTCGTGTGGAACTTTCCATCGCCATGTTTGATTGCCAGAGGGTACCTTTGGGAGAGTTCCTTTTTTTCCCAGTGCGTACATAACCTCAGGAAACCACCAACATAAGCTTGATATACCTTGATCATTGCCCGATGATGCAACATGGATGATTGGTTGATTCGTTTCACAGAACCGCTCAAGGTGACAGGTCGATTTCAGTCGTGTCCTGTCGATTTCAGTTTTGATGTCTTCTCCGTGTTCAAAATTGCTGAATCGGTTTTCCTTCCCAATCCATCTGAACATATTTCCATTGATTTCCGTCGTTTTTGGGGCTGGTCCCCTACATCTTCAGAAACAACCCCACTATCGCGATCCAGCGGCGTTTTCGCTGGTCTGAGCCCGTTCTCTCTGGGCAGCATCCAACTTGCGGGTCAGCTCATGGTCCTTCTCAGTACACTCCTCGGTCAGGGGATCAACTTGATCAACAGCCATTCAGAAGACTTTTCCAGTACCCTATGGTAAACTAACATAGCTATTGGAAATGGCCATAGAAATAGTTGATTTACCCATTAAACATGGTGATTTTCCATAGCTTTTTGTATGTTTACCAGAGGGTAAAAACCCAAGGGTTTCTGTGAATGCCAGGGGATCAACAGCTGCTTAAACCCCATGAAATCACCACAAAAAAACACCAGACTAAAGATGATGAACTCCCACTTTTGTCGTGTTAAATCACCATGAAATCACCATTAAATCACCATGAAATCACCACTTTTTCCGCGAAAAAAAAACAAAAAAAACCACGCTGCCAGGCGGCTCTCCGCGCCGCATCCAGCTCTGCATCCTTCTTCTCCAGCTCCGAACGCAAGCCGTTGACCTGGCAAGGCGATCTTCGGATGAGTCAAGGCTTGATTTAAGTATTGGATAACCTATGGTCAATGGTTATTGGATGGTTATTAGATGGTGATGGTTATTGGATTGGAGTATCTAAGGGATGGTGAGGATCACAATTTAAGGGATGATTATTGGATTATCTAATCATGTAATAACCTATGGTCAATCATTAGTTTGTTTGGCAATAAACACTCAATAATCATCAGAAAATTCACCCACCATTAGCCATGAGAATAAGCATCTAGTAACCATCTAATTCTGATTGTGAGTGGCTATATGGATCTGTTTGGTGGTTCTCTGATGTTTATTTTCCAACAAACGATTTTTTGATGGTTATTGGATGGTTATTGGATAGTTATTAGATGGTAAGTAGATGGTGATTGGATAATTTAAACATGATGAACATTGATTAACCATCTAATAACCATTCAATGACCATCCAATAACAATCTAAGAATAATCATCTATATTAGAAAATACCAATCACATCCACTCACTATAATTAACTGTCAATATGGTTATTCGATAATCAAGGATTATTCAAATTGGGGAGATTTGTCTGGCAACCATCCAATAACCATCTAATAACAATCTATTGGAGAAAATAACCACCAAACGGATCTGAATAGCCATTCATGATCAGAATTAGATGGTTATTAGATGGTTATGATGGCTTTTTTGAGGGCTCATAACCATCTTAATAAGCATGTAATAACCTATGGTGAAACTATTCCTGATTTGTGCCTCTTTGGAGCCTTGGAGCCTTGAAGCCTTACGTTTCTGGTAAGTTCTGGGGAGAAGAATGAATGTTCATGATCTAGATTGCAGGATTCATAATCAGATTTACTATGATTTTTGATATGTTTGCATTTTTTTTCGGGGTGAGTCGTTGGAAATTGTGAGATATGTGGTGGATTTAACCAATGAAAAGTGAGGTTCAGGCCAAACAAAAATGGAGTGGGGTCAGCTGACAAGAACAGAATGGATTCAATGCATCTCGATGGGATCCCCGTAGGCAAAAAACGGAGAAGATGAGCTACCCTCTGGTAAGCTCCACTTCAACTTGCACGTCTCTCTGAAGTACCCAATTGGTACTTCCAAATAACATACAAAAAAACCTTGGAAAATCACCATTTTTAATGGGCAAACTCACTATTTCTATGGCCATTTTCTATGTCGCTTTTTGTATGTTTACCATCGAGATATTGGCGATGTATTTCCAATGGCCGACTGAATTTCAATGGCTGAAACCCATGTGTCCCATATGTTCATTACCATGGCAAAAAAAACTGAATGAACCAGTGCAATGGTTTAAACATATGATAATCATTGAACCATGATAACCATGATCATTATATTACCATATGTATCCGATATGTTCATATTTGGTGTTTCTTAAGTCATGGGGTATCCCCAGTCGTCACCTGCAGCTTGTGAAACAAGTCACTCGTCGTCATGGTCATCCATGAGGACTGGATGATGACTGGGGTGCCCCCATGACTGAAGGGAAACCTCCAAATGATACATACTGTCGCATACTAATATACATATTATATGCAATGATCAATGATTATATAATATTATATAATCCATACAATGACTATTCCAATCACATCCAATCATTCTCAGTTCCTCTGACAATCTCTTCTCCCTACGGATCGCCACGGGGGCCTCGGTATCAAGTTCAGAGACCTTGACTTCAAGCTCCTCATGCGCCTTCAGCCCGCAGCCCGAAGATTGTTTCCAGCTTTAGTTTATGTTTATGATTTATGATGTTGATGATGTTGATAATGATTTGATATGTTTTATGTCATCTTATGTGATCCTTCTCGCAAGAATATGAGTACATTTGGAATGAGGACCAAGCTAAAGAGAAATTGCAAGGCAGGTACCAGCAGGGTGAACAAATCCCACATTTTTCTTGATTTTCTTATAGATATTCCCTCACCTGAAAAAAAAAATATTCCATCAGCTTCAGCAAATCTCATAAATCCGTCACCAACAATCTGCAACAAGCCCAGCCGCACCTTCAGTTTTTCTTTGGTGACCATGTCATCCTCCTTGAAATCGATCCATAGGGATATATGATATATATATGTAATATATATATATATGGGGACAATACGACTGAAGCCAGAGACATGGCGACATAAGATCACTACCCTCAAAAAATATCAAAACATAATATAGATAAAGAAAAACACTAGTTTTGTCTAGAAAATGATCTACAAATGGGACAAAAAATCCATATCTACACGTTTATTTGCTGGAGAGTAACCCAAACATAGAACTGCAATAGTGATGACATGTGATGACACGTGATGACAAATGATTGGGAAGTGGGTTGCAACCACCCCGTCACTGGAATAAATTGCGGCGGAGGTAAGTACCAACCATGGATCCAAACTTCCATGCTAAAAGGTACCTTTGTACTCATACATGGATGAGAAAAGATGAGAAACAAAACACACAAAACTCTCGCTTGCTAACCCAGGATCAATGAGTTGCTTAGTTGATTTATGTTGATTCATGTGGTTGTGAGTCAAAACCTTGTACCCCTGTAGTTCACCTCAAAATAGCTGGGATTTATGGATGTTCATCCCCCTAAACATGGTATTTTCATAGGTATTGATCCATACCCATGTTGATTCCTCCAGAAAGAGTGGTCATTCTCCGGTGAACACTGACACTTCGTGATGTGACTCATATGACTTCGCTCCTTGAGACGTTGGATCTGCGCCTCGAGCTTCGAGATCTCTTCGTTGGAACACAAGGTTTCCGTCACGTGCTGCGCCACTAAATCCTCTTCCTCAGAGGGCCGTCCGCCGTGCCAGGGGTTGGAGCTGCCGTGGTTTGCAGATTTTACATGATTTTACAGTATAAATGACTAGTGATATCTGTAAAGCCAGCTGAAGCCAGCTGAATTTTATGAGTGTATGCTACAATGATAACAATATATGTATACTATGTAGCAATGAATGAAAACCACTGTTTCAAGCGATGTTCCCATCTGCTCCCTCAAAAAGAGGCTCCAGAAGGTTGAATGTTCACATATAGCGGGCTCTTCCAGCCATGGCCCATTGATCGATGATTTACCTAATATAAACATGGTGATATTCCAAAACCTTTCTCAGTTTTTCCTAGAGGATATACTAATTAATCCTAAATATACTAATTAATCTTAAATGCAAATGGCAACTCAAACACGGCGCTCGGGTCTCGTGAACCTAGTCAGCCAGCAAAACTGACCTCCCCAATTCTGTTGCAATATCTATCATAAAATAAATCATTTACAGCCCTACATATCATAAAAGTATATCCAGTAATATGTTTGAGACATATACCTATCTCACACATAATGATATATATATATATAATATATATATATTTCACTATATATTTATATATATTCTATCAAAATCCCGGCAGCGGCGTGCGGGAAGTGAGGCACCTTTTTCTTTGGGCAAAAGAGCGCTCTGGGATGCGCATGGAATGTCTGCAAGACTGAATGCTGCAAAGGTGGAATGCTATGTCACTGCTGTTTCACATGCAGCTTCACACCCGTCCTCACCTGCAGCAGCGTTTTGCTTTTCAGCTTTTCTGCGTCTCCTTCCATCTCGGATCTTCTGTTTGGTTTCTTCGGCTTCGGCGCTTGGTTTCAGGCGCCATTTTCCAGTGGTCATCGCATCCAAAAGAGGTTCTCTTTCACATCCAGCTTTCGTCAAAACGTCGGCTAGCATCTGCGATGTGTCACACCAATGGCAGCGTACTGAACCATCATCTTCATAGCTGTCGCCGCCAAGAAACTCTTTCACCTGGCTGACAAGTATTTTCACTCGCTTATCAGCAGGCTGGCCAGCGTCCTTGTTCAAGGTGGCTTCCAAAGACTTCGCGTCCGTCAACGCGATCAGCAGGCCCTTCAGGTAAAACCTATCCAAGTCAACCATGGAAACGCCTGGATGCTTCACTTCCAGCAAGAGCATCCTCACATAGTCGGCGGCCTCGGTCGCGGTGAGGAACCCGTTTGTTTCTGCAGCCAAAGTGCTGCGACAAACACGCTTGATGCTTCCGCTGTAAGCCTCCAGTATCATCACCGGCGTGTCATAGCCGGAGGTGAAATCAGCAGTGGTCAGACCAACCACATAGCCACATTGGCTTCGCAGCTTGGTCGTGTTTGCGAAACTGCTGTCAGCCATGCAAAACACCACGGCATTCTCCAGAGTGAGGTTGGAGCTTGGGACAAAGTTCCACTTGAAGTCATAGCTCTCCTTTAGAACCTTGACAACCTTGTTAAGCTCCACGACATCCTTGATCGTCGGATTTCCCATTGTTTGGGATGCCAGGGAAACGTTCACAAGCACGTCAGGTTTGGTCTGACGGGCAATCCATCCAAGTGAACCAATCAGCCCTCTGAAGGCTGACTTCTCATCCTCATTCAACGGCGCATTCGGCATGACGCGCCTGTTCTTCTGCAAAACCATATATTCCAAACTCTCAATTGCATCGATCTGGTCCAAAGAAACAGATCCATCTTGGTTTTGTTTCACATTCTTTCCACAAAAACGAAAATCACCAACTTTCCTCTTCAAATAAATCTCTTTCTCCAAAACTTTCAGGGACTCTTCATACTTCTTTCCGGTGCCAGTGGAATAAAGGTCATCCACGTGGGCTACGAGCGCACCGACCAAAACTTCAGAGTCAAAAAGGTAAAACAGTGCAGCTTCCAATTTTGACATCACCCAGCCAAGTCGCTGGAGAGCTTTGAAAAGTTTCTTCCACCAGCTACGGCCAGCATCTCGCGTGCCGTAAATGCTGCCTTTCGCACGCAGCAAGTCATGTGGGGAAACTCCAGGAGGTGGTGGTCGAGGAGGACGGAGAAGCAGGAGACGTGCTATTCCTTGAGATTGGAGATATGCTGTGCTCGCATCATACGCTTCCAAAATCCACTGAAAAATAACTGACAAACAAGTCACAAAATTGAAGGCCAGGAGTGATGCAGTGGGAGAGTCAGATCTGATGCCAGTGTCCTTCTCCTGGCAGCCAATGACAACCATTCTGGATTTGGCTTCGAAGGGGTACTCCTTCTTGATCTGAGCTTCAGACTTCCCAGTGCGTCGCCGCATTGCACCAGCCATCAAGCGCGGCTTCTGGTTCTTGTCAGTGTGAACCCATCGCGTGTTCACAATCTCAGCGTCTTGAGGAAGAGCTGCGATCTGGCTTTCTGAGAGGATCTCCACAGCGCTAAACTTCTTGAAAGAGTTCCACTCCTTCTCCATGGACTGGTCAAACTTGGCACGGTCTTCTACTGAAAGGTCGTTGAGGTCGATCTCGGACCGAACTGCCTTGCCAGTCAGGAACGCTTCAAGCTTGGGATTCTCCTCGTAGCATGTGGAGTCATCAGACATGGAATCGTCAGTGTGCTCTGACGCATCAGCTAGACGTCGATGAGCAAGTCGGTCAGATAGATCTTCGCATCCAGCAGGCCAATCATTCTCTTGGACAGCTTCTCCAAGATAAGGCCCAGTGAAAACTCTGGCACCTCCACCTTGAGGACCATAGCTTGGTTCTGGTGCTGTTCGAGGTAGTCCATAGCTTCCGCTAGGATGCCCATCAAGTCGTTGTGGATTCCGCATCGCTTGGTGAAGCTGAGCAATGAAGGGAGCAACAGGAGCAGGTTGTTGAGGAAGTTGTTGATCCCTCGGGGTCTGCGGACCAGGATCAGGTTCTTGCTCGGTCACCTGTCTCATATGGCCAGCATGGCTTTGCTGCTGCTGCTGTTGTTGCAAAGGCACATCGCCCGTCCTTATCTCTTGCTCTGCATCTGGAGGCGGATCATCAAAGACTGTTGGTCGTTCTTCAGGAATCGCAGGCATTGCAGGTTGGGACACAAATTGTCCTGATGCAGGCCGGGCTGAGGAACTTGCCAAGGTCGTAGTTGGTGTTGTCCTGAAAATTGTTTCGCCAACCCATTTGGCCACAAGTTCGCGTCCAAGGTCTTGACGCCAGTTGTCGGTGATGGTGTCCGTGAGGACGTGATCACGCATCTCAGCCTCATAAATGGCCTCAGTCACTCGTTCATCTTGGAGTTGGTCAAGTGGAACTGGGCAAGCATCAGGAACATAAAGTGCTTTTCTGGGAATGTTGTGGACCCGAACAACTCGTCCATCTGGAAAAGTGCGCCAAAAATCAGCGTTGACACCACCCCCCTGCAGCTGAAGCATTGGTTGCTGAAGCTGGTTGCGGATGTCAACATAGTTGCGGGCTCCACGGTCGCTTCCCTGCTCCACAGCATAGTGGGGCACATAGTGAGCTGCCAAAAGCTCACCTTCACTTGCAAACCTCAATTGTTCACCAGAGGCCAAAATCACGCTGGGGCCATAGCGGAGCCAATAGCTGCTTGGGGCTGAGCCATCAGTGGCTGGATCGCCGTCTTCAGTGCGGCGTGGGTTGCGAAGTTCGAGTCCAATGACTCTCGCAGGTCCATACCAGTTGTAAGGTCGGCCATCTTGTTGCCGTTGCTGAGGCTGACGCCTGTAAAAGTACACGTAGGATCCAATGGGAAAAGGTCCACGTGTTGGTGTACTCTTTCTCAACAGTGCTCGCCTCACACGGCTATCTGAATCTAAACGAATCTGAGCCACTCGAGCAGCTTCACGGACGGCCGAAGTCTTTGCCATTTCACTGTGGGGGTTTTCAGCTGCTTCGAGAACTTCAAGTTGTTGGCTCTCATCTGAACTGAGGAGGCTGCCTGGAAGGCGGGTCTCAGGATGGCCAAGTACCCACTGGTTGGGCGAATACCCATTGGTGCGTGGAAAGGCATTTCTGGTTTGCGTCACGATTGACGCGGCAGTGATTGCATCTGCAAGTGTTGAAACATCAACATCAACAACTGTCTTGGCCCAGACTTCTTTCCAAAGGCCACCAGCACGTTCGCATTTTCCATTCTGCCAAGGTGATTCAAGAGGAATCACTTGCTGCTCGACACCATACTGCTTCAGGTAGTCTGAGAACTGAGCCATGTACTCCTTGCCACGGTCAACTTGGAGAGAATGGGGAAGTCCAGCCCAAGATGACCATGAAGTCAAAAAGTGACGGAGCACGATGCCAGATGATGGCGTCCCAGTCAGTTCCCCAAGGCAAGATACCACTTGAAATCCAGTTGCGTCGCAAAGGATGTTGAGGAAGGCTAAACTTTTGCCTTGGCTGTTCTTGGCATAGAAGGTGTCGGCAAGGATGTGCTGGTTGAACACATAGGCCGATGGCATTCTCACAGGCTTGGGACGTTTCTGCCGGATCGATTCACCACAAGCGTCACAGGCCATAAGTCCAGCGGCTCGGACGACTTCCGGCTTTGCCCCCTGACGTCGCAGGATTCTCTGCATTGTTGTTGAGGTTGGATGTCCAAAATTGACATGCAAGGTCCTGAGCAACTTGCGAATCTCAGGATCCACTTGAAGCCATTGATGTCGGCGATCAGCTTCTGTCTGGTTGAGGATTGGGTCCAGTGCTGCAGCTTGTTGACTCGAAAAGATGAGTCATCATCTGGAGGTAGATCACCAAGTTCGCCAACTGGTTGAGGTGCTTCAGCTCCTTGTGGTCGCACATAAACTGGCGGAGCTGGGCTTGAGATCGTTGCCATTCGACCCTGTCTGCGGCGCTTGGGAGATCTCCCAGAGAGACCGCTCGCAGGACGGCGCTGAGCATCACCAGCATAGATCTCATCAGCGAGGTGCTCCTCAATGGCGGCTTGTTGTATGATGCAATCCAAAACCATCTGATTGAGCTCGGAAGGCCATGCTGCAGCTTGAGTGGTTCTGGGGCCAAACTCATTGTTGCCCTCAAGTGGTTGATGTTCATGGCTGTGATCACATCGACATGTTGCAAAAACGCTCTCAGCACACAACATTGATGTGATGTAAAAGGAAGGCTTCTTGTTGGGCAATCCGGTGACGGAATCTTTGTAGCCAACCATGCAGCCGTCAACCACGATGAACAGCAAAGTGCCGTCCTCAACCAACTTTCTAACATCTGCCATTTCAGGTTCATCAAGGACTTGTGACCCCAGAGGTTGTTCCATGAAGATGTGCCTGTTGGCACGGAGTCTATCCTTGATGGTCTTGTTAACAACTTTCAGCAAGGGACGACCATCTTCTCGCAGTTGAAGGACGGTGACAGAAGCGCTGCCACCCTTGGAGATGTTGAACCTCGACCAATTCCCCCATGGACCGCACGGTTGCGTCAGCACAGTGCAAAAGGGATCTTCCTGTTGGAAGTCTTGGTGAAGCTGACGCCTTCCAGCAGGAGTCAAAGCGTCCCAGCCGTCCAAGGAGATGTCGCGAGGGATACCAAAAACCATACCATGGAAAACTGCCAAAATGGTCAAACCCATCTGTCCAGCAAAAACTTGTTTGAGCCATGTTTTTCCGGTTGGAGGCTTTCTGGCAGCCTTTGAGGCTTGCTGCATCCTGAGCTGATTGGAAACCAAAGCATCCATCCCGCAAAGTGCGGTGTCCATCGCAGCAATCTTTTTGGCTTTTCGGCTGCTGGGCTTTCGAACTGAAAAGAAACCCTTTTCAACCTCTTCCAGAAAAGCATCTGTGCTCTCACAGTGAAAACCTTCATGATGCTGATTCATGACCCTTTCTAACTCAGCTTCATCGATGCCAAAAACGACATCCCAGGCATCTTGTGACTCGCGCCTGGTGTCCGGATCAAATCCATCGTCGTGGCTGAGGGCATCACTTGACGGCGAGACCGGCTCAAGTCCAGGAGCCAAATCCAAGGTCTCGGAGGCTTGCTCAAGTCCAAGAGCAGGAAATCCAATAGCCTCAGAGGCCGGCTCAAATCCAGGAGCCAAGTCCAAGGCCTCAGTTTCTGCCGCATTGACATCAAACTCATCATATCCCTTGACCAGCTCGTCAAAAACTGACATAGTGTTCAAATCAAAGTCCAAAAGAGAGATGGCTAAATGGCCACGGCTGGTTCTCTTCAAGGGAAGATCTCTGATGTTGAGCTTGGAAAAAGAAACTGTCCCCTCGCCAAGGTTGATGATTGTGCCGAGGGTTTGCATGAAAGGACGTGAAATCAGCATTGGTGTTTTTCCTGGTGTTTCTGCTGAGTGGAGCTCGCCATTGACTCCACCAAGTCCAACAGGGTAGGCCTTGACGACCTTGGACTCAGCATGTCCTCCAATCCCCTTGAACAGCTGGGTCTTGTTTCGGATTGAAGGTTGAAGTCCAAGTTCAGCGAGCTTCTCTTCATAGGCTTTGGCCCATTCTTCGCCGTGCATGGTGCGGTTGCACCCAGAGTCCAGTATGGCAAGACCAGGTGGGTCTGCAGGCTGCACGGCATAGGCCTCATAGTTGAGGTCTTCATCAACCATCATCACTTCGCACTCATGAACCTTGAGAGAGCTCGGATCATAGTAATCCAGCTGCAGGGGAACCTTGATGGTCCGGCTTGTCAACATGTCCTCAGGGCTGAAAGGACGTTTGCCAGCAGGTAGAACCTGACCAGTTCCACTGAGCTTGACACCAGCTTGCCAGGCAATTTGCAACCGAACATACAAGTACGAAGCAAGCCTAAAAACAGGTGGTGACATGGGCTCAAGGTTGAGTGCGATGTGCATCACTTGCTTGCAGTAGGGCTCGGACTCAAAGTTGGTGGCTATGTCCACAAACTTGTAGCCACGAAATGGTCCTTCAGGCATCACAGTGTCGTCACCTGGCAAGGGCTGCAAAACATCCAAATCCTCAGGCTTCAGCTCCGGAAACGGCGGCAAGTCGACGCCTGGAGCGAGCAGCACACCAAAGAGCCAGCATTGGGTCTCAGGCGACCTCACAATGGTTGCTGTCTTCCGAGCTGGAAGTCGTGGCACATCTGGATAGCCACGTTGGCCTAACTGACTGGAGTCAGCTTCAGATGGAATCACACTCCATCCAGGGCTGCCAGGGGACGCAACATGGCCAAGAGCCTTCTGCTTGTCTTTGTCCTCCAGCATCTTTGTGAGTCCGCTGGAGCAGATCCGGTAAATCAAAGTCGATCTGAGCTTGCTGCCAAACTTCGTGCACAAAGCCACCTGCACGAGGTATGACCACATTTGGATAGCTTCGCGGCGACGGCCACAAATCACAGTCTTGTCACATTGCTTGCAGGTCAAATGGCGAGTGTGGCCATTCGCGCCACGGTGGATTTGCTTCTCATCTCCGCCGCAGTAGCTCAGATGCTCGCAGTGCTGGGTCTCTTTCAAGACCATGAAACATTCCGCATGAAAACTTGTATCGGTGAAACTTTTGCTGTCATCGGCAAGTCTTGGTCCATCAGGCACAGCAGGGCCTTTCTTCTCTGTCGCAGTGCATTGGTTCTGAGATCCATCAACCTTGTACTCGTTGGAGTCAGGGACCAGGGCATTCACATGAACTGCAGTGGCGTCAGGGGCTTTGGCATTCTCAAAAACCATGTCATTCTTTGGAACTGCGGAGGGCTTGAAAACTTTGGCATTCTTTGGAGGGATGTCATACCCAGGGGCTGCGTCATTCACAAGGGCTGCATTGGGCTCAGAGTTGGAGTGCACAGGTCGCAGCTTTCCAAAGGATGCAAAACGAACTTCGTTCTCATCTGCAGATTCCAAACTATCGTGCAAAACAAACATGGCATGAGAGGCTTTCTTCGGAGATCCTGACTTCTTCGGTTTCTGACCCTTTCCCTTCCCCTTCGGCTTGAAATTGGGGCATTCTTGATCTCCAACCCAGTGACCTCGTTGGTTGCAAGAGGTGCAGGTTGACATGCTCTTCAGAAACTTGATGGCGTTCTTCCGGTTCTCCTTGGCCTTGGTGTCGAACTGGATGTCGCCATGAGCTTTGAACGGATAGCTATGGCTGCTGCCACTGGACTGTGGCTTCTTCTTCCCAGAACCCTTCTTCTTGGCTCTGAACTGAGCCACAGTTGCAAAGGCTTCCGCAACCTGCGGATCATCCAGCGATCCACCACATTCTTGAATCAAAGCATCAAGGCCATCATCGTCGCTGTAGGCGAGGTAGCTGTCATCTGCCTCATCGTCCTCGGCCTCAGCGTCATCATCTTCGTAATATCCATCGCCATCATATTCAGGCTCATCATCTTCGGCCTGATCATCAGCCAGGAAGGCATGTTGCTTGAACCTGCCCTGACCGACCTTCCACTTGGCCGATTTCATAGTGCCATGTTGACCACCTCCACGTGCACATCCTAGATAGTCACGTCGAAACACTGGCTTGCCACTGATCTGAGGAAACTGGATCCTCAGCGCATGGGAAACCTTCTTGAAGTCGTACTCGTTTCCAACAGAAGCCAAAACTCCTAGCTGTTCACGTTGATCCAATCCGCTGAAAGTCAGCAGCATCATGCACCTCAGGTTGTCACTGACGGTGGTCTCTTGGGAGGACTCCTTGAGACGAGCAAAGTCCTGTTCCCTTCTGATGATATACTGCTGCATGCTTTCTTGCGGTTTTCTCCAGACATCAGCGCTGTAGAAGGCAGTGAAGAAGAGCTCGTTGATCTTCACTGGCGTCTCAGCTGCTATGCTCTCTTTGAGAGTCTGAATCAACAACTTCATTCCCGCTTCAGTGGCTTTTCCTTCAGCAGTCGCAGTTCGGAGCTTTGAGTGCTCCAGCTTTCTGACAGCTTCGTATGCATGGCCTGTAAGGCCTGAGCGAAGGTGGATTGGAGTGGACACCTGGGATTCCTGACCTTCTCTTCCATAGTACAAGTCCCAGGCACGCTCTACATATTCTTCAAAAGCTTCCACTTCGCCAGCATACTGAGGAACTCCGTATCGATCGCAAATGATCTTGGAGGCAGTAGAGGAAGTCATGGGAGGTTGTAGACACCTTCAATGGTGAAGTTCCAACCAGTAGTAGGAGGCTGGTGCCGCAGGGCTGCCAGCAGGTCGCACAACGAGCGCAAGGGGCTGGAACCTTAGGCACCAGCTAGCAGAGGCCCTGAGTGAACAGGGCTCCGCTTACCATCAAAATCCCGGCAGCGGCGTGCGGGAAGTGAGGCACCTTTTTCTTTGGGCAAAAGAGCGCTCTGGGATGCGCATGGAATGTCTGCAAGACTGAATGCTGCAAAGGTGGAATGCTATGTCACTGCTGTTTCACATGCAGTTTCACATTCTATGTACACAATGATTCTTGTGATATTTTCTGTGTTTTTTTTGCAAAAAAAACAGCAACATCTCCAGTCCCTCACTTTTCGCCCAGCTCCGCCTTCTTCTTCTGCTCTTGGAGCTGCTCCGTGGCATCGACGAGCTGCTGCTGCAACTCGGCGTGTTTGCCTTCGCCAGATGAGCCAGAGCGAAGAAGCGCCAAGGGAAGGGATCCCGTCGTTTCTCAAAGCAAATTGTCCCGTTGTTTCTGATCCCTCTGGTTATTTATGGTAATTTATGGTAATTTCATACCCATAGCTATGTTCAAATGGGAAATTAAAACTGGTCATTTGTGGCTGGAAAATCTCTGTCAAATGGGCCAAAATCCAGTTCGATGATTTCACCGGAAAAGCAACATCCAACATCCGAACCTGCCAGATGGTCTGCAAACCTTGGGGCTGAGGTGAAACTTTTGTCACCGATAAAAAAGCACGTCCCACAACGAGAGAGCCAACACAAGGCCCAAACTACAAGTCCACATGAACTGCGTCAGAAACACTATAAGTACCTTGTATACCTATATATATACATACATACATACATTACATTACATTACATTACATTACACTACATTACACTACATTACACTACATTACACTACATTACATTACATTACATTACATTACATTACATACATAACATACATAACATACATAACATACATAACATACATAACATACATAACATACATAACATACATAACATACATAACATACATAACATACATAAAATACATAACATACATAACATACATAACATACATAACATACATAACATACATAACATACATTGCATACATAACATACATTGCATACATTACATACATTACATACATTACATACATTACATACATTACATACATTACATACATTACATACATTACCTACATTACATACATTACATACATTACATACATTACATACATTACATACATTACATACATTACATACATTACATACATTACATACATTACATACAGTACATACATTACATACATTACATACATTACATACATTACATACATTACATACATTACATTGCATACATACATTACATACATTACATACATTACATACATTACATACATTACATACATTACATACACTACATACATTACATACATTACATACATTACATACATTACATACATTACATACATTACATACATTACATACTTTACATACATTACATACATTACATACATTGCATACATTACATACATTACATACATTACATACATTACATACATTACATACATTACATACATTACATACATTACATACATTACGTACATTACGTACATTACGTACATTACGTACATTACGTACATTACGTACATTACGTACATTACGTACATTACGTACATTACATACATTACATACATTACATACATTACATACATTACATACATAACATACATAACATACATAACATACATTACATACATTACATACATAACATACATAACATACATAACATACATAACATACATAACATACATAACATACATAACATACATAACATACATAACATACATAACATACATAACATACATAACATACATAACTAACATACATAATCACATACATAATCACATACATACATACATACATACATACATACATACATACATACATACATACATACATACATACATACATACATACATACATACATACATACATACATACATACATACATACTACATGTATATATATATACATGACTATATTACATATATATATATATATATGTATTACATACATACATACATACATACATACATACATACATACATACATACATACATACATACATACATACATACATACATACATACATACATACATACATGATGACAGTGTTTGCATTTATAAACTGGCGTTTAGTCACTGCCAAACAGGGAATCGGAAACTCTGCTGAACATGGGCCCCTGAGTCCTCCCACGACTGCACCTGGCACGACAGCCACTTTCTGTCTCAGCTCGTTTTGAAGGATTGGTTCAAGATGAATCCTCAAACTGGGATAGATCCGCAACACATATCTAAAAATATCCAAAAAATCATCAATTAAAATCATATATATATATATGTATGTATATATTATATATATGTATGTATATTATATATATATATATGTATTATATATATATGTATGTATATATTATATATATATATACATATTTAATATATATGCTAATCTTGTGGGATTTTGTAGGTCCGTTCCCCATGTCCCATCCCCCATCCCACCTCCACCCCACGACGTGGCCGTGCGAAGCTGCTGCTCTCCTTCAGCGCCAGGTTCTCTTGTGCCATCTGTGCCATCTTCGCCTTCAACGTGTTGGAAGTGGTTGAGATACCCTCTGGTAATTTAACATAGCTATTGAAAATGGCAATTTATAGTGGATTTTCCCATTAAACATGGTGATTTTCCATAGTTATGTTAGTTTACCAGAGGGTAAGGGCTTTTGAGCCGGCCAAAAATGGAATTTTCACCAGCAAACACGAGGGATTTAGGGCAGCAGAAATTGCGGTTGAACCAGCAGAAAATGTGATTTGAGTAAGATCAATTGCCATTTACCCAGCAGAACATGTGAGAAAACCAATGGATTATTTGAGTAAGAAATGTGTTTTAAGGAACAAACATGTCCCCTCCAAACTCTGGGTTCGGCCACACTCACATAACACATCCAAACAATATGATATACTTATCACCAGAGGATGAATGAAAACACTGGCTATACGCAGTGATGTTGACTTTATGTTTTCAGAATTTAGGGTTTTAATCTAGGGTTTAGCATTTAATGCATTTTAGGTCTTAGGGTTTTAATTTCTTGTTGTTTTGGAAAGTAAAACAACTTAAAGCTTACGCAGGGATTTGAGCATGTCAAAGGATCTGCGGGATTCGTCATGGGCAAACCGACTGTAGGCTTTGCAGCGAACATGTTTTCTGTTTACCAGCGAAAATGAGGGACTTGATTGATTTAGCCATCAACCACAGGAAATTAACCCATACAGTGGATCTGGGATTATCCAGAAATTGGTTTTTTCCCCCCTCAAAATTGCGAATCTGAATCAGGGAAACCACTTGATGTACACAATTTTTGGACAAACCTATTTAGTTTTCAGATCTTAGTCTTGTCATATCCAAGCCACAATTCAAATAATCACCAGGATAATGAACTTCAGCTGCAATCATTGGAATTATGGAGGTTTGAACGGGAAAACCGTCGATATCTTCCAGCTAGCCCTGTTGCCAGAGGGTACCAGCCATGGGGGACATGTACCGTGAAACATCTGGGTATGACAAAGATACACATGGCTCAACAATTTCCAACAAATACATGGTTTCCCTTTACAATAATCATGGATTCGCCTTACCTCCGGTCATTTGTTACAGTTTGCTATGGAACATCACCATTCAAGTATTGGAACCTTATACCGAAATCATCGAACTCAATCGGCCAGTGTCATCCGTTTTCCAAAACTATTGTAATATATGTGTATCTGTATCAAATTACCACAGGGTAGCAACGGGAAGTTCATAAAAATATGATTTGCCACATTTTTGCATGGTTTCTTGCACACATTACCCTGACTCCCACGTGGCACCTCCAGCTTTTCGGCTTTGGCTGAAAGGTCAAGGATTCGCTTCTTGGCCTCATCCGCCTCAAAGAATCTTCCCCAGAACTGCCAGAAACCATGGTTTTTGATGGTTTTTGCTAATCATGTACGGGTAGGAATGACAAGAGGATTGGGAATGTGTGTGTTTTTCAGTTGCACATCGGCACATCATATGTATTTTCTTCAGCTAGGACAGCTAGGATCAATGGTGACCCCCAACCCACCACAGCTTAGTGTTTGCCTCCACTTTTTGTGCTTCCGCTGTGGCTTTTCTCTCCTATACAACAGCCACGGGATATTGCTCACGTATCCATTTTGTTGAAACCCTTGGATTTCAAGAAAAGCATGTTGTTTCATTCTTTTGGTATGTCTAATATGTGATAATGTCTATAACGTGTGTGTATATATATGTAAACATTACTTTACTACATGTTTCATCTGCAGCTGAAAGGTCTGTGCCTGCGCTGACATGCATGAACTGCTCGCAAAGACTTCAGCACTGTGGCTGATAGAACAGTACTACAATCCATATAAACAAATACACTACTATAATGCATACGACTATACTTATTATATATAATCATGTACATAATTATATACATAATTGTATGTATACAATTGTATATATATCTATACCCTCGGGGACCCAGGTTCTCCGATGACCGCACACCGGTTGTTGCTCCGCTGCAGATGATCACGTTGTATCATGCTCCGCGACAGGGCGGGGTGGGGTGGGGTGTATTATCGTTCGTGGAATGTTGATCACGTTGTTGATGCTCCGCTGCAGATGATCACGTTGTATCATGCTCCGCGACAGGGCGGGGTGGGGTGGGGGGTGGGTGGGGGGTGGGGTGGGGTGGGGTGTATTATCGTTCGTGGAAATTTTCCCATCGAAGTGGCACCATGGCATGTGACAGGAGGTATTGAATGCAGGGAGCTGGAGTATCAAGCACTGGATGATTTCTGGTTGATTGATTTTGATGATTGTTCAATGGTGATAACAGAAATAATTAACGCTTACTTGATGATGATTTATTGGAATTACTTGGATTAAGACAAGTAGTCGTTGGTTCATGCTCCATGGTCAGTGTATAATAGTGAACAATGATGATCCATTACTATGAACAAAACTAGCTACATGCATTCTTACAGTGAGTGATCATTAACAATATCATTGATCATATCATAAATTACCACAAAAAAACCTCGTCATGAGCACAGATGTTGAAACAAAAACAATATCTTGAATCCATATGGGAAATACCATGGAAAATTCACCACACATGAGTTTCGATTGGGAAAATACAATGAAAACACATGCACGAAAAATAAAACAAAACAAAAACATGCTGACCGTCAGGGTTCCTCACTTTCAAGCAACATTCGCATGTAGTGCAAATAGCATGTAAAATAAGGCTACCTTTATTTTGCTTGTGAAAACACAGGGTAAAATGAGATGTTTCAACATATGTTGCATACCATCGCAACGTATCTGTGCTGTATTTATAAGGGTATTTACAACTATACCCTCCTAACCCATATCAAGTAAATCACAACTTTGTAAGCGCTCAAAACGGACGAGTTTTTTTTTCATCCGTTTTGATGCCAAATTCCACATAACAATGCTTCATGTCAAAATGCTAGTTTCGCTATGGCGAAACGCACATTTTTCACATGTTTGATCATCAACACCTATCATCTATCGGAGAACCTAGGGCCCCATCCGTATATATATATATATATGCACACTATATATGGCTCATATGGTACCGACTGGGCCAGTTGCATGATTCAAGTGATCATGCTTGTTTATCTATTTTTTTGTCCACACGGTTGGTCCTCAGCCGTGCGCATCAAGTCCTCATAGCCTAAACCAGGGGAAAATTTGAAGGGAAGCCATGGATTCCAGGTTTTTCGTAGGGAAAACCTCAGGAAACCGGGGCCCCATTGTTGTGTCAAAATGCCTTTAGCCCAAAATTTGCAAGTGGTTCCTGTAAATCCAACATGGAATACCAATGGACGAAAGACTCGCTACTGTTGAGTATCAAACCAGCCATGGGAATTCCAATTGATTTCATAGGCACATTGGATTTGAACAGGCCTTTTATTTTCCTTTTACCATCATGGGTCAAAACATGGTCATAGCCTCATAGCACATGATACATTGATCTCTTCGGGCGACCCAAGCAGCTGACCCACGACCCCCTGGATTCACAGCAGGCTGCTTCAACAACGAACCCCAGCAACCACTTTCATGCATCCTCTTGCATTTGGAAGTCGGAGAAATATTTAGTTGGGTGGCTACTACTGCCAGAATATCCCAGTATATACAACAAATTTACAGTATGGCCACTTTACAATCATTACAATCGATCCCAGCATCAATTTATTGGTTTATGTAAAGGGAAATCTCAACCGGAAACCTTGGTTTTTACCCCCACATGTAGGGGTAAAACCTATAGATCTTCCCAATACCCGAATATTGGAAAAATCAACCATTGTCACCCAAAAAAACAATATATACTTAAATGACCCCAGGATCCACTTCACCATTCCGCTGTCGCGGCACGTTGTTGGCAGAGATCCAACTGTTTCTTCGTCAAGGCTTCAGTCTTTTGGTGCTGCTCCTGGCGCCATGCTGGAGATTTAATCAAACAAACATCGGCGATTTTACCAACAAATAGGAATTCAAGTAGTAGTGATGGGGTCATAATAAAAGAGAACATAACGGAGACAATGCTAATATTATAGGAATTGAATAAGACTATAATGGGAAAGGAATGTTTTTTTTTTTTTAATCACCAACAAGATGCTGGTATTCGGGTTCGTCTGAAGAAATATGGGAAACCCCTAAAGTCTATTGATTGCGAAAATCAGGTTCCCTCTTGTTGAATGACCAGAATTCTAGTGTAGATCCCATTTTCAGGCACACTCATACCATGCTTCCTGAATGTGCACAACCAGTTCATGGTTAGAACCAGCAACACAGGCGACAAGATTGGTAGCAACAACAATGGCTAGACAAGCAGAGTTTAGCACATGTCAGAAGAAACTTCCTGCCCATCTCCAGAAATGTGACTGTCTGATTATTATTATTATGATATATATATATACATTGTATATATATATATATATTATATAAATACACTGTATATTATGATACTTTAGCATACATTAGCTATTCATGGTTGGATTCCAATGCAACTTTTCCAGATCTGCCAGATCCTCCAGCTGTTTCTTCATCTCCTCCTTTCTCTTACTCTCGCACTCCATCCTGTCGAGGAAATCTCGGAGCTTCCGAAAAAAAACACCAAGCATAGGACTACTAAGCGGTGAAGACGGTCAACCAAGCAGAAACTGCATGTACAGTACTATTCTTAACTTTATCTTTTACATTCTTTTACTTTATCTTGTCTGACGTGTCAAACATGCAAATCATGAAGCTAAGATGTTTGGACTCAGCTTAATTCTTTCGTCATTGATGCAGCTTCTTCCCTCTTTACCGATCTCGACTCTTGGTCTCTGGCAATGCATGCATGGTTTCATTGATATAGAAAATATACAATTCCGAATCCATGTCCTTGAAGGGTGTCCCTGCAAAGCAGGCAGGACTTGCTGTGACAACTTTCCGTTGAAACCTTCATGAATCATGAGGGTTATACTTCGACCAAATCATCCAAAACTGATAAGTACACGTGATGTTGCAGGCTTGTTTCTGCAATAATTACCCAAATTAGCCAGGAATGGTATACCTTACCCTCCGAAAGAACATATTTGCAAGAAACATACCACCAATGGATAGTCTCTATTTCGTTCCGTATACATTGGAAAACTTTGTCAACATATCATCCATATGGCCGCAAACCAAAATCCAAAGCATCAGGATCTCGCTGGGAACATCGCCTGGCTTGCAATTGAACGATGTGCTCTTGCAACCTCAATGCTGATGCGGCATGGCCACGACCCGACGACGTGAGCACGTGAGCTGGGAAATCCGGATGGGGACATCATCGAAGATTCTCCAATAGTGTCCATTCAATGGGAATTCCATGAGCTGGGAAATTCGGATATTCCCTTACATAGGCCTTACATAGGCCTTATATATGGTAGGTACCTCCAATATCCTCCAATCAATCGGTTCCTGAAATGGCCATGGATCCATTGCCCTGTTTGATTGCTGAGGATATATCCAAGCGGTGGTTTAGCTGGCTCTTGTTTCAACATGTCTGCGAAGTGTCATGTGGAAGCTGGCTGTACAATGATGCACAACCTGACAACTCTCTCTGCAATTCAGGCTCCCCGAAACGCTCTCCATGATGTTCACAAGATCGCCCAGTCAAAACACATGGACATGGCTTGGCGGCTATGGGTTCCATCAAACTCAAACTTCTGGATTTCCAAAAACCAATGGTGGGACCCCCCATCACCAGCTTCCCAATCCATCAGTGGCAGCTCTCACCTCCAAGGAGTTTGTTGATATATCACAGTCTGTCCCCAGGCATAAAATAATGTTCCCATTATTCCCATTCCTACTATTCCTACAATATCCCCAATACATACAATCATACAATATGTAACTATACATATATATATACATATGTAACTATATATATATATATATGTATATCTGTGTAACTATATATATATATGTATATCTGTGTAACTATATACATATATATATGTAAATATATGTATATATATATGTATGCAACTATGTATATATATAGTTACATATATATATATATATGTATCTCCCATGTATGCCATATATCATATATTATGATCCCATAAATCATTCATCATTGTTTTGAAATCCAAACATCTCTGGTGGTTTTTGCCAGGCCAGGCCACTTGCTGTTCTCCTGCAGAAAGTTTTCGCAGCTTTGTTCCCAGCCCAAGACCTCGCAACGCTTCGCCGCCCATCCCCAGGACCTTTTTTTAGAAACCAACTGATCCAGCCATCAAAGCATCAAGTATACTATGTATATATAATATGTATATAAAGTAGATTATGTATATATAATATGTATATTAGTATATGTATATTGTTTATATTATACATATGTGATAATACACTAATACATGATGATAATAATATTGCATCATGTTCTTGCACTAAACCATTCTTAGGGGTCGAAAACACCTTTCCCCGTCAACATCATCAAAACAAATACAAATAAAGTAGCATTTTGAAGAATCAACAAAAGCATGAACATATTAACGCTTCACCCCAACCTGAAACACACCCCAAACACCAGTAGGGCACCTTGCATTTCTGGCCATTCAGCTCAGCTTCAAAGCTGCCTCGGAAGCCACTGGAGGGACCTTCAAGTTGTAATTTGTGGGATTCGTGATTTTATGGAATTTAGTGGGATTTGACAGTGATTCATGGGAATTTAATGGGATTTTATAGTGACTAACGGCGATTTAATGGGATTGTGTAGTGACAAAACGGGATTTACCTATCAAAAATACCCATTCAAATTCAGGGCTATCCGCTTGACACAACACACGCAGTGCTCATTATATTTAAGCAACATGATATATAAAGTGGATGGATATTTCCATCCAGAATGGATGATGATAACTTAGTATTGTGAACCCAAATATAGAGGTTTCCCGAGTTTCCCTTAACCAATATTGGGATAAATATATATATATATGATAACTGGTGAAATGCATCACACATATGATAAATCCCAAATGATCTCCCATAAAATCACCATAGAAACACCCTAGAATCACCATAAAATCCCATCAAAATCACCAAAAAATCACAATCACCATAAAATCCCATGAAAAATGCCCATTGAAATCACCAGTGGGACCTTCCCCCATTGGCACCGGCTTCGAAGTCCGCTGGGTCCCCCAGGCGTTTTTCGCTTTTGGCTTGGAAGACTTCTGCCTGTAGCTCTTTGCCTCGCAGCTCCTGCATGGAGATTGCTATGGTGTATGTATTATATATATATATACCCATAGGATCCATGTATGGTATATATGCTAACATTTGGGGTATATTGATGGTAAATGTTACCATATATAGCATGGATCCTATGTGGATCCTCTGGCTATTTAACATAGCCATGGGAAATGGCCCATTTATAGATGGTTTACCTGGGTTTACCTATAAAAAATGGTGATTTTCCATGGCTATGTTAAATAACCAGATGGTAAACCCTCTGGTAAACATACAAAAAGCTATTGAAAATGGCCATAGAAATAGTGAGTTTTCCCATTAAAAATGGTGATTTTCCATAGCTATGTTAGTTTACCAAAGGGTATATATATATATATATGTAGTCTGTATCTATACAGTGTATGTATATATAGTGTATCTTATTCTATATTTTGTATATATGGGGATTTTCTAAAATGTTGGTACCCCAATAGCTGGCTGGTAATGGAAATTCCTATTAAAGTGGATGATGTAGTGGGTACCCCTATTTTAGGAGCCCCCATATGTATTTATATGTATAAATATATGATCATCCTGATGTAGAGAAAATATAGGAGCTGCGGTAGCATGTGCTTTGTGATTTTTAGTGAGATTTGCTTGACACGTCCATATTCATCTACTCCAGTATGACTATACCTGTACAATACGTACAGTGTATGTATGTTTGTATGTTCGTATTTATCTTGTCTCAGATTACACAGTATTTGCACACAATATATACACATAGAATATTCAAAAAACAAACAATAATATTAATATATGTTTGTTGTATTTATATATATATAGACATATATAATTACATACATATATTGGTAATATATATATATATATATTAATATATATAATATAAACACGTAATTAAACTGATTCTTCGCTTCCCATGAAATCAATCACCTCCCGTCGCTTGTCGTCTCGCAAGGAGGCCACGCGTTCATCTAGCCTGAGATCCAGGGACGTTTGTTATGGAAATTCACCAATTGATGGGATAAAATGGGTATATAGATGTATATAGTGGGTTCATCATGGTGATATCTAAATATATTTAAGGCATATATGATCACATATGATATAGGATGAAATGATATAGGCTTATTGATGGGGAATGATGGGGATATGATGGGATACTCACAGTCAGACAGTCACTTGGCCACTGGGGATCACCATTGAAAAATGTCAATGCGATCTGCCGCAGATTCCCAGGATTCCGCGCTTCTGCAGTTGCTCCTTTTTTTCTTCAATCTCACCCTTCAAGCTTTCCACCATCGCCTCAGAGGTCGTGTAAAGTTCTACTGGTCCACAAAGCACACGTCTTCCCGTGAGTTTGGAGGATGACTGTCGCTTCTACATGCTTCTATCATGTTCTATCAGCATTTTTTGCCATCTTCACCGCAATATTTTGCTGCAGCGAATTGCTATTCGAACTCTCGTTTCACCTCCAGTGATCCAACCCGGGCGGCGCCTGCAGCGTCTCTTTGTTTTGCCTTTCAGCCACCAGTTGCTCCTGAGCTCCTGCCAGCTGTTTCTTCACCTCACGCGCGGACCCCAGGAGTGTCACCTGAATTCCTCCATGGCTATGGCTACCCTCTGGTAAACATACAAAAAGCTATGGAAAATCACCATTTTTAATGGGTAAATCCACTGTAAATGGCCATTTTCAATAGCAAACTGTTAAATTACCAGAGGCTACTCCCAAGACGCAGCTCGAGGATCCGAATCCGGGCCTCCGTGGCGCTTTGTCTGGCCTTCTGCAGTTGCTGTTGAAAGTCCTCCGCGGCGCGTACTGCAGCCTGGCATGGGATGTGGCGGGTTGGCTCGATTCAGAAAGATCCCCAACATGTACTGTATCTCAACTTAACGAGTAGATCAACAAATAGATAAACCGACCAAACCAACCAAGATAGATACAAAGACAGCTTCAAAACAAAAAGCGTCTAGGTTCAGATCAGATGATCTAGCTTCAGATCAGATGATCTCATTTTGCATTAAAATTAAGATCAAGAAAACAATAGACTTCAATAGACTAGATATGACCAAATAGACAAACAATTAAGAAAAACAAACCATGTTGCGTCCCATCTTTAGAGGAACCACCTCTGCCCGCCTGCCGTGCTTCCGCTAGCTCTTCGGAACAGGCTTCCACTGGCCTTGAAACGAGGGTTTTTTTGCATAGACTCTGCCATGACTTTGGGTGATTTAATGATGATTTCATGGGATTCTGATAGTGATTAATGGCAATTTAATGGGATTTTGATAGTAATTTATGGTGATTGAATGGGACTTTATAGTGATTTATGGTGATTGAATGGGACTTTATAGTGATTATATGATGGTGATTCAATTGTGATTTAATAGAATTGAATGGTGATTCAATTAGATTTTATCGTGGTCAACGGGAATTTAACTATCAAGAATGGGGGATATCAATGAGACATACCATCCGGCAATCGAAAATGGCTAGCTGGGAAATCCACTATACACATGAGGTTTATAGCTGGGAAAATCAACTATAAATGGGTGATAGTCCATTGCTACGTTTGATTGCTGGAGGGTTGGGAATGGACATCTGGGACAAGATTGAGATGTGCGGGGAATGTACCTGGTATGATATGATGCTTTGCACAATAAACCAATATTTCATGGTTGTCCATTTTTAGGAACCCAACATCCACCGGTTCAGAACATCATTTTCCGGATGAACATATTCCCATGAATTGGGCTCCTAAATTTAAGGATAACCCCAATTTAGATTTACCGTGAAATCACGGTAACCATAAAGGTCACCGATGGTTCTGTCTCCATCTTGATCCATTCGCTTTGACTACCCCAATGATGTTGGGCTTCAGATTCTTCAGCACCAAAAATACGTAGATTCAACGACAACAATAGATAACACAATACAACAACAACAACAACAACAACAACAACAACAACAACAACATTACATAAATAATGATCATATCATATTTGTTGCTATTTGACATAATTAATCACAAATAACACACTCATAACAATTCACATTCACATAATAATAACATAAATTGTTATGATCATGACACATAACAAATAACAGCCATCGGACAATTTATGGTCAACCAACTGAGCCATCGGACACAGGGGCGGCCTGGGGAGACGCCAAGCCTGGCTCCAGGCATCATGTGCAGTTGATCTTGGATGAACCTATGTTTATAATAGACATATATATAGGGATATATATATAGGGTATATATATAATAATAATAATAATTAATAATAATAATAATAACAACTATAATATAATATAATATAATATGATATAATATAATATAATATACTATATCTGTACGTGTACATATATATAATATGTCTGTATGTCTGTCTGTCTGTATGTATGTATGTCTGTCTGGCTGTCTGTCTGTCTGTCTGTATGTCTGTATGTCTGTATGTCTGTATGTCTGTATGTCTGCATGTCTGCATGTCTGGATGTCTGGATGTCTGGATGTCTGGATGTCTGCATGTCTGTCTGTATGTCTGGATGTCTGTCTGTATGTCTGTATGTCTGTATGTCTGTATGTCTGTATGTCTGTATGTCTGTATGTCTGTATGTCTGTATGTCTGTATGTCTGTATGTCTGTATGTCTGTATGTCTGTATGTCTGTATGTATGTATGTATGTATGTATGTATGTATGTATGTGTATATATAGAGGATACCCATGGGTACCCACCGTAAATGATGGTTTATCGTTATTTCCTCTAGTTTGAAATTGGTGTGTAGCATTTTCAAACACAGCCAAATCATACAGTACTGTAACTGGATATACATCCCATTTATATCTCATTATATCCCCACTAAATCATTACTAAAGCCCATTAAATCGTCATTAACACACTATTCACCATGAAATCCTTGTATATCCCATGGTCACCATGTATCCTGTTTGCTGATCCATTCAATCCCATTAGAAATCACTATACCTTCATTTGAATGTATATATATACATATATATTTGTATATATATATATTCATTTTAAGGACGACCATCGAGGCGACCATGTGCCTTGTGCGGCCTCTGCCTCAGCCTGCCGCAAGCTATGAATGGTGAACAGTGGAGACATCACCTTTGGATGGCTTGGAGATCATCCACCGGCAACCAACACTAGGTCACTAGGACCTGAATTGGCAAATCGCATAATTTTAAGATCCAATTGGGGCATGGTATATTATGGTATATTTTACTTTACCAATTTAAGTCACATTGAAAAAATGTAAATATCCCATCGCCAACGAACGTTGCGAAGCGCACGAAAAGCGCCTCCAAGGCTTTTCGCTTCTCCTTCTCCTTGTCCCTCTCTTGCTCCAATTGACTCACTCTCTCACCAATCTCCTGGAGGTGACTGGCGTGTCTGGCTTCTTGCTCAGTCAACTTCGTCTCCTGCGCCACGGTGAAAGGCCTGTCCCCAAATTTAAGGTTGGTCCAAACATATCGAACATTCGGTACCAGCTACTAGGCTGTTATATATCATCATGTATCATCTATAGATATCTATAGATATCATCTATAGTTATCTATATATATATATCATCTATAGTCTATAGATATCTATAGATTCTATAGTCTATATATCTATAGTCTCCCTAAAGTCAACCGCAATGACCATGGCCAAAACCATCTCAAAATCTCTCCAGCTGGTTGTTGCGATCGCGCAGCAGATGGAGCTCCCGCGGTTGGGCGTCACCTTTGCTCCTGGAGGGCTCATCCCTGTGGAAACGGGGGATATCAATAGGAATTTAACACAAATTAACGCGATTTAACTATCAATAAATGTCTAGTGGGATGATTTATATCACCAACAAATATATGTGTATATATAATATTATATAATTAATTCATTTTGCTGTGTCACTGGTCGCAAGCCATCAAAAACTGGGGAGATTCAGCAGCAATGAACAAAAAAACTATGCCACTGCTGTTTCGACATGTCGCTTAGGACGGACGTCCCATCGGGATGAAATCAGCTGCCCAACTTACCGACCTATTTTTCCGCAACTTGGATCATTCACTTGGCAACACAAAGTTGATAAGTTGGTTCTTGTGCGTCCTAAACCACCATCAACCGACTCCACCATTATCTTGGAATCGATGAAGCTATCACCCATATGCTCCATGTATGGTATATATGCTAACATTGGGGGTATATTGATGGTAAATGTTACCATATATAGCAGCACCATGGATCCGTCATGGGTCAGAACCCCGACTGCCGGACCTCCAAACATGGCAAGTCCCACAGTCCCAGGGGTCCCACGGTCGGCCAGGCAGCCCCACTCACTCTGCATCTGAGAAATGGACCGTCGCAAGGAGAAGTTTTGATCAACCAGCTCCTGCAACGGTCAACCGGTAGCTACCCTGGGGGGAGGCCCTGACTGAGGACTTTTAAAGCCACAGAAAAATAGGCAGATCCCCCATAACATGGACCATGAAATGGGGAGACCCTTCAACTTTCAGGGCTTAGCGGCTATTTGCACTCTTCTTTTGTATCTCAAAATGCTGATCTCAGAGCCTTCCCATCATGTGTTTCCTAAAACAACAAACTCCATCAGCTGCTCGGCTGCGAAAACATGCCACAACGCCCAACCGCACCAACCGCTCCTGAATGGTCCGAAAGGAGCGTTTGTTGGTCTCGTGGCCCTGGCAGAGTGGCAGAGTCCCAGGACCTCCCCTGCTTTTGGCATGTGACTCACTGTGGAATCAGGCCACACCTTTGTCTTTTCTGAACTTGTTCCAGGATATTCCAGGTAATGTCAACCCTGGATTAATAAACCCCTATAGATTGTTTAATTGGGAAGGTACCATAAAAAAGTATCATATTATGACTATTGGAAGGGTACCCCCCTAGTTAATAAACCATGGATCTATGGTTTATTAACCACTATTAACCACTATTAACCATGGTTTATTCATCCGGGGTTGACATTATACTGCAAGCCCATTAGCCAAGCCAATGAGGAAATCTGTCAAATTTCCCACCTCCGAATCTCTGGGATTTGCAGGGATGGCGCCAGTCAACCTGCCCCAGTGACGCCAAGGCCGTGCTGTTTCTGAAGGACCCGTTGCAATGCGAATCCAAACCTCTGTGGGATCTACCCTCTGGTAAACTAACATAGCTATTGAAAATGGCCCATTTATAGTGGATTTACCCATTAAAAATTGTGATTTTCAATAGCTACGTTAAATTACCAGAGTGTATCTCCAATAAGAACTGAGTCCCTCCTGGCAAACACACACGCACACACACACATGTATATATATATATGCCATTGGAAAAACGACATTCTTCAAATATTTTTCCGATTTGCAGGTGATTTTCCATCAGCTTAAGATAGCTTCAACCACCAAGTCACGGGTCCAAAGTTGCAGCCAGGGCACTTGCGGTTCTCGTGCATCAGCACAGTCAGTTGCTCCGCCACAGCACGGACCTGAGCGTGGAGTTACTAGATATTTCATGGGATTTTCATGGGGATATACTGGGGATATCCAGGAAAAAATAGCGCGATATAGTTTTCACCGAATATCTGATGTATTTTTTTGTTTCTGAACATGGGTGATATTCCCATTAAACAAATGCTATTTCATAGGGGAAAGTGAAGATTCACCAGTGGATTTGGGGCTTGGAACCCTCATGGCTTGACACTTTCACTATTTGTTGCTGGGGAAATTTCCCTTCTCCATGGTGAACTCTCCATATGTTGGTAAAATCTTGGCAAATTCCACAGCATTCATGGTGAAATCACCATTTCGCTCGACTCATCCTTGGGCCCTGGCATGCTCTTCCAGAATCCTCTGCCGACCTTGCGCCTTTTTGGCGCGTTCCTGGCGCAGCCCAGGGATGCCCAGGCTGCATGTCAGGGTCAAGAGTGTGATGCATATTCAATCATATTCTTACTTTATATATATATATATATATGTCATACACATTATAATATAAATATATATATACATGCACATAATAATGTAGATCTCATTAGTCTATAACTATGTCTGTATATATAATTACTGTATATTTAAATTAATATGTCCATTAATATTAAAAGAAACAAAAACTTCATATACACATGCCACGACGTCAGCACCTCAGCATCTGCGCTCTGACACTGCAGCTGTTCTGCCTGAGTGGATACTGGAGGGGATTTCCATCACTGAAATTTTATCAGCGGGAGAACATCAAACGATATCAACTGTGTGTCTATAGCACCACCCAAAAAAGGACAGAACAAGAAACTCCTAGATTGTGACTAATTACTGTTCCATCTTTTCGTTTTGGATGTACTACATGTCACCAGGGAATATCGGGGATCTGGAGAATGATAGCTCAGAATTATTGGAAAGTTTGGCCTTTTGCTACCAATCAGTTGGGAACGCTCACTTGTGACTCACTGCTTCCCAAGACAACTCAGTCAACTCCTGCAAAGAATGGCGACGACAACATCATGTAGTAAAAACCAATCATCAACCATCCCCAAGTTTGCCAGAGGAGAGGTGCTTTAAGCCCCTTCCAAATGGAGATTGATGATTGTTTTTACCACGTGCAAATTTAAAAGATCAATATACAAAATACATATTATATATCATGTGTGATGAAGAATTATGATAATAAAGAACATATATTAGACAATATATATATATATTACAAAAACATAATTAAATAATATGTATGTATGTATGTATGCATGCATGCATGCATGCATGGATGGATGGATGGATGGAGGGATGGATGGATTGTATGTAATGTATGTAATGTATGTAATGTAAGTAATGTATGTAATGTATGTAATGTATGTAATGTATGTAATGTATGTAATGTATGTAATGTATGTAATGTATGTCATGTATGTAATGTATGTAATGTATGTCATGTATGTAATGTATGTAATGTATGTAATGTATGTAATGTATGTCATGTATGTCATGTATGTAATGTATGTAATGTATGTTATGCATGTATGTATGCATGTACGTAAGTACGTATGTACGTATGTATGTATGTATGTACGTATGTACGTATGTAGGTATGTAGGTATGTATGTATGTATGGATGCATGCATGCATGCATATATGTAATTATATGTATGTATGTATGTTTGTATGTATGTATGTACGTATGTATGTATGTATGTATGTATGTATGTGTATATTTTTATTTATTATATGCATGTGTATATTTGTATAATATGAAATAATATGAAATAATATGATATAGTAAATTGTATCATATTAATTATATCATATTAAATTAAATATATTCTATATATTGGTCATTGTACATATATATATACTGTATATATAGTATTATATATATATATGTTTTTTGAAAAATTACATATTACATTACATATTACATATTATATATTAAATACTGCATATTATATATTATATGTTAAATTATATGTATATATATATATTATATGTTATAGATTATATATAATATATATATTATATGTTATATATTATATATAACATATATTATATCGTTAAACTTATGTATTATGTTATATATTATATTATATATATGTAATTGTATATATATATTATGTTATATATATATATATTATATTACATAACATATACATACTTATACATATCTTATTAACTTACGTATGTATATATATATATATATATTCCTTTCAGTCATATCTCCCCAAATTTCTCCATTATCTGGGGATTATATTGATCCCATCCCCGTTCATACTAAACACAACCATTCCATGGCCCTAAATATATGATTTCATCCCCTACTAAACCATGGTTTCTGGCTGGGTGTCTGATATGAACGGTGCTGGAATTATATGAGTTGGTAAAAACATATCCCCATCACAAATCCCATCATTTAATGTCCATCCAACCCCATTAAATCACAAATAACCATTGTCTCCCCACTAGATCCCCCATATTTGGTGGCCAAACAGCCACGGTTAAAGTTATGCCAACTAACATAGCCCTGGAAAACCTAGCATTTCTAGATCATGTTCCTAAGGTTTCTCCATTTTCCAGGGAAACCCAAGGCCTTGGCTGCACCACCCAGCTCCCCAGGGCGTCCAAGGGGCGCGTTCCAGGAGCCCTTCGTTTTGCCGCGTCAGCTTGGTGGTCAACGACTTCAAGCGCAGGAGCTCTTGACGTTGACCTTTTGAGATTGGACTGGTGGCGTCCCAGAAAATTAGAGAGCTCCATGCGTGTTTGTAAATATCATATATATATAATTATATGTATATATGTATATAATATATGTATATATGTATATATGTATATATGTATATATGTATATTATGTATATAACTAACTATGTTATTATGTGCACTGTATGTGTATATATATATATATGTGTATTACCCCTAGAGAATGACGTTTTAGCACATTTTTTTTACTGCAATTCACAGTTTTAGTTCACATTGTTAGCACATTTTTTGAAGGCACTTAATTTGCCACCGGAACATGACTCTGAAAAAAAAACTGCATGTATATAATTGTATATATATATATGAATATACATATATATATATATTATGTATATACAAACGTATGTATGTATGGATGTATGCAATGCAATGCAATGCGATGCGATGCGATGCGATGCAATGCAAGGCAAGGCAACGCAACGCAATGCATGTATACCACATATCTTATGTATGCAAGTATTCTATTATGCACAATTGATTATGTATTTAATACTATTTACCTATACTTAGTGTACATGTATGTGGAAAGAAAGAACGCGATTCTTCAGAATCACATTTGATGATCCCCGAGAAGAAGAATGAAGAACTGGAACTTTTGTATATGTTGTTTAATGTTTTTTGTTTTTAAATATCGAATTCACAATTTAATTACAAAGTAGTTGTACTACTCATGTTATCCAATGAGATCCAAAAGGAGAAAACCTGTGTGATTCCTCCAGGAGAAATGGCCGATATATCAAGCTGGCTTTTTGTCAGTTACAGTAAGTAACGCCTCCTTAATTTTCCCCCAATTTCCAGCAGTTCACAAGCGACTTCGACTGGGTGTCCGCACTCATGAGCGCTGGTTGATGGTGATGAAACTCTTTCTCCACCCTTTCCAAGGCCTGGCGTTCTCCCGAGGATGGCACAAACATCCTTTGTGATGGATCAAAGAGATAACTAATCAAGTGGCTTTCCGAATGTCTCAACATGAAGGGAATTGATATATGTCTAAATATAACAATCGTAACATGTCCGTTCCATTTCAATAGTTAGCATACATCTTTGCCATCAGTGGAATTCATGGCATCACGAGTGCCGTGGCTTTCCGAATTGTGATCTAACATGGCCAGCGAGCGAAAAATCCCCATCATGAGATATCATGAGTGGGAACATCATCTGTATCAGTATCTGTGTACATCTAGAATATATATATATATAGATTATTATTGTTATTATTATTATTACTATATATTATATATTATATATGGAGGTTTCCATAAATGGAGGTATCCCAAAATGGATGGTTTATAATGGAAAATCCTAATCTAAAATGGATGATGCAAAGGGGTACACCCATCCATGACTTAGGAAACCTCCATATGTCCCCCTTTGAAGATCAACAGAATTGGGATAGCCATACCCATAAAATCGAATTGGTTTCTGTATGATGATGTATTGGACATGATTTATTATGATTTATTTATTGGGTAAATATGGGTAAATAACATTAAATGCAATATCTATTGTTCTTCATTGATCAACACCTTTGGAGCTTGGGGCGGCCGTTGATGCAGAACCGCAAGAGTGCCAGCCAGGCCTGTTGGTATTGCTCTCGCAGGTGCCTCTCTTTGACCGCCTCGCATCGACACATCAATGACAGGGCATCATCAGAGAGAACTTCTATGACATTCTATGACTTCAACATCTTGAAGATGCTTAACATCCAATACCTCAGCTACTAGTATTCACTATTGTTCTTTAAGGCTACCAGAGCTCTGGAGCTCGTCCAGCCTCCTCTCGGCTTGTGGTGGCTTCGTAGACCAGGTCTGCCAAATTTGCATGGCCTGTAGATGGAAGCCGGGCTTCAAAGCACTGATGTCAAGTGATATCAGGAATCATCAGGAACCAGTGGCTGCCAACCACATGATTCTATGGTTCTAAGATGTTTTACAATGTTTTAAGTACTGGTATATTGTTTTTAGTGACTTTGTATATAGGGAGTTATTTGCGCCATGATTTTATCAAGGTGCTCAATCCAAGCACTATTAGTCGAACGGTGCCATTTTCTGACCAAAATCGTTGTCAGACGACCTAAACAATCCACTCCAAAACAATCCACTCATCCATCATCATCCAACATCATCCAGCATCATGCAACATCATCCAACCATTCACCACATCAACGGACGGCGCACCCATGGGCAGTTTGGAGGACGGCGCTTCGAGCGCCGGCGCTTCAAGCGGCTGCGCCGGCTGCGCAGCTGGGGCAGCAACCTTTCCTTGAAGCTCCTCCACCTCTTTCTGCAGTTTTTGCCGTTGCTCCTGCAACACCCACCAACTGGTGCTTTCCCAAAAGGGGAATTTCCCCCAGCTAAACCCTAACCTAACTATCCTCAGAAAAAGCGGATGTCAACTTGATTTCTTAGCCAACTTGGATTAGGATTAGGCATTTGGCAGTGTGTCAAAACCTTGTACCCCTGGTGAGCATCAAACTAGCTGGTAAATGGATGTTCATCCCATTAAAATTGATACTAATAGGTATTGACCCATACCCACATTTTGGTTGGGCACCCAGCCATTCCAGCCGTGGTACCTCCGCGTCATTCAGCTTGGAGGCGGCTTCCTCCTGAGCCCGAACAAGCGCTTCTTGCAACTTCGCCTGGAGGCTGCTTTTAGCCCCTGCAGTGATGATGTGAAACATGATGTTTCAATGGGAAATTCCATGGGAAATCCATTGGGATAAACCAATCATTGGCAGAATCCATTGGGAAAATCCATGATGTTTCATGATGTCTCAATCTACCATCTGCTTATTTAACATAGCTATTGCTACGGGAAAATTGTGAACATCCCTTATAAATGGAGGTTTATAGCTGGGAAAATCATCTGTAAATGGACCATTTTCCATGGCTATGTTAAACAACCAGAGGCTATCTAAATTAACATAGATGAACCATAACTGCCATAACTGATTTTCATAACCACCTTGCAGGTCCCATAAGTGAGTTACAGTATTCTTCATGGACCCTTTCCAAATCCATGATCCAAAGGCCACAGCCTCGAGGTCTTGAGATTTCTCAGAGGCCACCTGCAATTTCTGACTCTGTTCTCTCATCAATTCCTGGCCGCAAGAGGCCAAGAGTCGTGGCAGCCCAAAAAGGCAATCCGCGGCAAAGAAAATATAGAGAAATCATATGAGAAATCATACTACCCTCTGGTAATTTAACATAGCTATTGAACATGACCATAGAAATAATGGATTTTTCCATTGAAAATGGTGATTTTCCATAGTTATGTTAGTTTACCAGAGGGTAGTTCCAATATGTTCCAATCATCCATCAGAAGTCTTGGATCTGGCTGATGGCGCCTGTACACAATCAGCGTTCCATCCCCCCTGAAATGTCACCAGCCGGCCTCCAAGTGGCCACGTTCAGAGGCCAATTTCTCACTCATTTCTTGAAGTTCGAGCTCAACAGCCTCAAAATCACTGGGTAAATCCAGCCGTTTCCCCATTTAACTGATCTAAAATGACTGTTTGTGTATTTTTTTGTTGCTTAATTCTAGGTACTGAAATCATTGACACGTAAACAGTTTCAAATAGCATTGCGGCAACTACTCAGGGATCTAGATCCTCATCATTCCTTTTCAGCACACGTTGGGGTCCCATCCTTAAACCACCCCCGTGATGACAACATGTCCATGTGGACCAGTAGCAGTCCTCGGCCCACCAGCTACAAATCATCCGGGGATCAGCTTCATGGCATTCAAGATCGTATTCAATTCCTCTTCAACATGTGTCCATCCTGCAATCTCATACTATTTCACATATATTATGTGATAAAGTTTATCTTCATTTAGCTAATCCAACCTTAGCACCAGAGTAAAATTCTATAAAATGTTCCCTTTCTTTCTCATAGGCTCAGAATTTTCAAGCGAAATTTAGGGCAGAATTTCCCCAAAGATTTCTCCAGTTCTTCCACCCCAAAATACCAGCGCCTCTTTGAGCTGCATCTCTCGATGTTCGGCCTGGCTACCCGGAGCCATTAACTGTTGATAGCGATGCTAATAAAGAATGTTGATAGGTGGATAAATATTATATATATATGTATGTATATGTAGATACATATATATATATATACACACGTAATTATACGTATATCATGTCAGAGTGTCCTTGGGATTCCTCCCATCAAAAACCATCATTTAAACATCCCATTGCCTCACGCGCTTGTCGCGCATCCTCTCTCTGGAGCTCCACCTCCGCTCGAGCCGCCTCGGTATCGGATAGGTGATTTAATGGTGATTGGCGATTTGATGGGAACCATGGGATTTCATATGGCTAATATCTACCCTCTGGTCAACTGACAGTTTGTGAACTGGAAAATCACCATGTTGAATGCGTAAATCAACAATTTCTATGCGCAATTTTCAATAGCTATGTTAAATTACCAGAGGCTAATGGTGATTTAATGGGAACCATGGGCTTTAATTTTGTTTTAATGTTAGTTGAATGGTGATTTAATGGGAACATGAGGTTTTAATGTTGGTTGAATGGTGATTCACTGGGTACATGATTATTTTTGACTGACCTGAATACCTGAATAGTTCGGCATGCGGCTATTTTGGGATAGTTACCCCATATGTAAATCCTGATTGCAGTGAGGGAGAACATTGAGGTCGTTATAATCTATATACCCAGAATGGTGATTCACTGGTGGTTCAATGGTGATTTTAATGACTAACATAATGGACATATAATGCAAATATAGTGATGGTCTGAAACTACCATGATATTAATGGGAATAACGAGGGGTTTAAGAAGCCAACTTGGGAGTTAACCAGAGTGAACGGTCGTTGAATGGGTGATTTCAGCCACCAAAACACAGATTCGATTGTGATTTGATCATCCAATCTGCGATAGATTGGGAATTACTCCTACAACTAGGCTTTGTGGTAGAACAAAAAAAAAATAATGGGGGTTATAAACCAACTTACAACTGGGGGCCCACCCAAAATCAGGGTTGCCCGCACCCCAAATACGGGCAGAAAATTGGATGAAAAATGGAAAATGACAAGGCAACATGGTCCCCTTGCGGCCATCCTGTAATAGGTTGGAGCAATCCTGAAAGCGGGGGTCACCAATAACTTGCTGACAATTGGCAATCAATGGATCCGGCTTCATAGAGTAAAACTAAATCAAACGTTTTTTTCCAGAAACAAACTGCAATTGTTCAGTTGATTTTCAAAAACATGTCATAGGTTTGGCGGATGTTAACTGGATTTCTTTTGCAAGGCTTTGAGCAAAAAAGTTGGAGATTTGCAACCCAAAAAGGTTATGTTTGGCAATGAATGGGCAAGAATCAATCTTGGTACTTCGACAAGCACACTTTGAACTGGGTTTTGGGAATCAAGAAGGTGTGGGAGACACTACCGTAGATGGACGAAATATTCAAACCCCTTCTATCCGGTACAACCCCCTCGCCCCCAAAGTTCAATGTTATTGTAACCTGAAGTGCGTTAGCCCCAATGGACGAAAAAAATCAAACCCCTAACATCACTTTTGCTAACACGCGCGCTGAAACATTGAGATTTGGGGGTGCGGGGGTTCAACATAGTGCGTGCTGCAGGGTTTGAATATTTTGTCCATCTACTGTATCACCTGCATAAACTTTAAACATATGCTTCCGTATCCCACATTTTATCACTTTATCCTAGAATTTGACTTTTCTAAAAAATACCCAGTTTTCTCTGTTCAACCCCCCCAAATTTCACTGCTTCTCGGCCCGGGGCACCCCCACAGCCACAAACTGCCCGGGGCCCCACCTCCAGCTCGCTGGCCATCTCCTGCGCTCCGCGGGCCTTCTCTTCAAGAAGTTTGCTTTGCGCCTCCACCTGGGCGCCAGGGACCCACCATGCGATCCAATGAACCGAGAAAACTCGTCGATCCGCAGGCCTTTTGAAAACCGCAGGTGGCTTGCTTTGCTGGAAAAAAAATCAGGGACGGACAGATCTATAATGATCTCTATCCTTATATATATATAATATATATATCAAATATAGACTATGGTTGCGGGAATCAATGGCCATCCCAATAGCTTGACAGCTCCCCAGCCTCCTTCTTGGTTTCGCTCAATGCCTGGCTCGGACATAGTCCAGGAGGCAGTTCTATGATTGGATGCCTCACTTAAACACCAAACAGCTGCCTAAAACTGCCACCTCACAAGTCTTGCGAAAGTCTCAGTATCTCTACCCGAAGCACTTGGCGGCACTGGCGGCACTGGCGGCATTGGCGGCAAAAAGCAAGATTCGGTCCGCCAGCTAGAGCTACGGTGTCATGTTTCAGTGAGATCAATGGAATCATCTGGGGCAGCATCCTTTCCCAAACGCCCATCCCAAGAATCTCAAGAATCGACAGCGCAATCATCCGAGGTAGGATGGAACATCAAAACTGCTAAAACTAACCAACAAAATACATCTAAAACATTTGAAAACCCGTCATGTTGTTGAATACCAACTGTATCTGCATTCAAAGTGCCAAATGACCACAGAATTGAACATAAATCATCGTACATCCAAGTCTTCAAGTCCTCCATTGTGTAGGAAAAATATAGGTTGTCCAAGAAAACAACTATATATACTATATACATGTATTATACAACAACTATATCACATATACATTGTGTCCATTGTCACTATGATTATTACTATTAGTATTAGTGTCGTTATCATTGTTGTTATACAACAAATCTATAGAAATTGTTGTAAAGCATACTATATACAGTACCTCAAAAAAATATAGCAATAGTATACCTATACAATACCTCCAAGTATATAATAACATTATACAACAAAACTACTATTGGTATTACAAAGATATTATGATATTGATAACGATAACAGTAATATATGTATCATTGTCAGTAGTATTTCCTTATCATCAGTTGATTATATTACATACTGATGAAACATGTCAATGATCATGATACCACTAATTAAAATTTAATAGCAATATAATGTTGTAACTGATCATCAATATTATCAATGTTATAGTTCATACTGTTATTACTATGTTTATTGCTAACATAATTGTCATTATCATAACGATGTCAACAATAAAGGTACATTATCATATTGATAACAATAATGATTGTTATTAATGTGGGTACAGCAACAATAAAGCATCCCCCAAATCACCATAAATTGGTGGTATAAACCATTCCCAGTCCTGGGTGGTTTATGGCATTGTTTTACCCACATTGCTGATAATGATAGATTTTCCCATTAAATATGGGTCTTTCCTGTACATGTTCCCTTACATCAATTGGAATTTCAGGATCCTAAAATGGAGGTACTGTACCATATAAGGCCATATTCTCTTGGGATATTCCCTTACATCGGCCATTTTTCTTGGCTAGGTACCTCCAATCAATCGGTTCCTGAAATGGCCATTGATTATATACCAATGATTAACCATCATTAACTATCACTAACCACTATTAACAATCATTAACCACTATTAACAATCATTAACCACTATTAACCACTATTAAGCACTATTAACAATTAACTTACTATTAATCCCTTGAAACGAACAACGTTAAGCTCCGCGCCTTCTCCACCTCGCCGCTCCGCTGCGCCGCCTCCGCGGCGGAGCGCAAGGAGCTGTCCAGCTGCTGCTGCGCCGCCTGCTGCGCAGCGCTATGCCTGGCGCGATGAAAGCGGGATAAACCAAAAATTGACCTATATAGACTTATCGGTATATGATTACATATATGTGCATGTATGGATAATATATATATATAATATATATATACATAAATATACAATAATATGTATATATTAATATATATATATATATGGATAAACCATAATCATTCATTAACCTTAGATAATAAAGGTCATATTTGGGATAATTATCCCTAGCCATCATTCCTGTGAGGTCGTTCAAAATTATCCAATGATTGGGGTACCCAATCTTGACCCATACCTATATGTTGGGAAAGTGGTATGAACTCTGTGTACCTACATATATTATGATATAACATGGTTATACAAAGGCATAGTTGAAGTATGTCACAATATATATATATAGAGCAGTTGTACATATGGTTGAATGATGAGTATATTTGTCAATATTTGGTTGTGGCTATCTATAATTTAGCTATGTTTATATATATATATAATATATATATAGCTACTGCTACAGCTATATCTAATAATTAAAACACAACTATATAAATATGTATTGTATCTATTACTGTTGATCCATGTTAAGGCTACACATGTATATATGTCTACTTCTATTGATATGGCCATATGAACAATAACTATATCTATTGATATATATATATATATTTATATAATTGAAAACAATTTACAGGAAACATAGCTACTGTTTGATTAAAGTTAAGACACAAACTATTCCAGGATACTCTATAAACATAAACTAGTATTACAAAGTATTACTATATCATTGTTATTCTTATCTTAAGTATATGACTGTTGCAATACTATGACTAATACTATGATAGTATCCAGTGGTCCAAGGTCTATCAATGATGGTGTGCAACATCATCACTCCCAAGAAGAGTATTCTACTAGAAGAGCTTGTGATTTGTGGATAGAACAACCGGCAGGTGGCGAAAAAACCTTTGAAACCACTGCGACAACCTCCCATCCTCCCATGGTACTACCTGCAGTGGCGACCACCAACCTTGACAATTTACGTTAGCCATGGGTATCTCCCATAAAATTTATTCCTGTCACTTCTGAATCGTGAATTGTTGATGCCAACTGTTGATGTCTCCAGCATTGGCCATCCCTTAAAATCCAGCGGCACCTCATGCGTTCCTCCTCCAACTGGAACTTGTTTTGAGCACTTTCGTGCAGTGCCAAAGTCTGCTTCTGAAGTTCTTCAGACAGCCTGTGGCTGTGACAACACAACTCACCTCTGGTCATCAGCATGGCAATGGATGATGCTGGTTGGCCTTGGGAATGAACTCAACCACAAATAGGTAGGACCGGAGATTTGGATACACCTACCATTTTTCTGGGAAATTACCCCATTTTCAGACACGCCTATAGAGGAAAGTTGCTTATATATATATACCATTGAATCAAGATGCATCAAGTTACCAAGTCCCATGAATAACCACCATTACCCGTCCACCCATATCCTGGATATATCATATCCCGCAAAGTCCTCATTCTAACCCCACTGAAGTGGTAATTACCCTGTTGTTGTGAAACCCCCATGACACCACCATACGGCACCACAAAAAAGTATTCCCATGTATTCCCATGTATTCCCTATATAGATTCCCACAGATTCCCATAGATTCGTGGGATTTCACATCGGGAACATGACAAATCATCAGCTAAATCCAGGCTTAATTCACCAGCTCCAAGCCACCCGGGCACAGAGACCACCCAGCCGACCTGGCATTCTCCGCTTGTTTCGTCTCCACTTCCTTCCAGCGATCCTCCGCCAGAGCTTTCACCTCCTGAGGATTCAACGAGTCAAAATGGATGATGTAATCAACTATATCAACTTGAAGACTAAACTCAAGGATCTCACCCAGATCTTTAAATATTACCACAAGAAGAATTATAACTATATAAACAGTAAACTATACTAAACTTAGTTGAAATTGCCAACAAACATTGGGAAGCCTGGGATTGATCATGACTTCACCAGGGAAAACGCGTAGATTTCAGCCACAAATCTTGCAGATGGAGCCGGTCATCCAGCGATCAGTTTCCTCCAGCTGTTTCTGCAGCTTCAACTTCTCATCATCGACCTTTGCCGACAACTCCTGCGAAACTTGGGCGGCAAAGCTATGCGGCCTATGCCACCATTTTTTTGGGGGTTCAAAGCCGCTTCCCAAAGGGGAGGAGGTCGTTTTTGGGTGGATTATACTCCATTGATGTTGGTATGACAAACAATTCCCATAAATATTCCTACAAGAGAACTCGGGAAAACCCTTGTGCCGCTCACATTTTTGCTCGTCCGCAGACAAACGGGAGTTCCTGATCCAGAAAAGACTCAGTGCCAAGTGCTGCCTGATCTAAAGTACGACAACGAAGTTTGAGAAAAACAAGTCCTGTTCAAGTCTTCCGCCACCCTACAACATTGCAAACGAGAAAGGCACATGGCATTCAGACCTTTATGGATCTTCTCCAGATCTCTGTGCCCGCAGGCAGAGTTTTCGGACACAGCACCGCGGCACACGCGGCAGTCGTCGTCACCTGATCTGCAGGGGAGCGAGCTTGGAAGAGGAGCTCGGAAATAATGGAAATATCTAGGTTTTCCTGACAATTGTTGGACAAACATTAAAAAATGCTGGTTAATCAAAATCTTCCCAATTAAAATATTGCCATTTGGGTTACCCTCTGGTTATTTAACATAGCCATGGAAAATGGCCCATTTATAGATGGTTTACCTATTAAAAATGGTGATTTTCCATGGCTATGTTAAATAACCAGAGGGTATATCCTATTCCCACACGTCCAAACACCCCAAATGATGGAGCTATCCTACCCAAGGTCCTAGGACCTGTCCCAATCACTGGGATACACAACGGGCCCAAAAAGAATTGGTCATTGTTTACCCTCTGGTTATGTCAAAATAGCTATGGAAAATCACCATTTTTAATGGGAAAATCCACTATTTTGACTGGGCCATTTTCAATAGCTATTTTGACATAACCAGATAGGTCTTAACTCCAAAGCTTCCTATTTTGGGTGCCAATGTCATTTCAGAGGGACAACCGCAGAGTCTTAAGATCCTAAATCTTGGGACCTAGCTTGACCTGGCTCAAGAAATCATCATTGGGATGGAAGGAAGTCTTGATTAAAAAATGAATCATGATTTGGATACATTGGGACGGCAGTTTAATGAACTTTTGATCCAAAAAAATGGAATGATTTCCCAAATCCATCCCCTCCGACCCCTCTTTCGCACCTTCTCGTCTCTCAACGTCATCAATATTTACACATGCCTCCAGGTGTCAGGTGAGATAATGGCCCCAGCTTGCATTGAACAAAAGATTAAAACAACATCACACACAAATAAACCTATCAGTGGTAGATTGTATTCCAGTAGATTGCGATGATGAGATTGTACTGTATTCCCATTTACTGCTGGTTATATGATATACAGAAGTTGGTATATCGGTCCCAGTATGCCCATCTATTTGATCATTGCTGACACGCCCAAGGTGAGCCTACCCAGTCATACGTTGGTTAAACAAGACACATTCACTATACTTATAATAGCCGTGGGGTTACCCCACGGAAGATGGGGTAACAATTCACCAATTTAGCTATAAATCAGCTAAAAATCAGCCAAAAAACAGCTATAAATCAGCTATAAATCAGCTATAAATCAGCTATAAATCAGCTATCAATCAGCTATAAATCAGCAATAAATCAGCTATAAATCAGCTATAAATCAGCTATAAATCAGCTATAAATCAGCTAAAAACAAGCTATAGATCAGCTATAAATCAGCTATAGATCAGCTATAAATCAGCTATAAATCAGCTATAAATCAGCTATAAATCAGCTATAAATCAGCTATAAATCAGCTATAAATCAGCTATAAATCAGCTAAAAACCAGCTATAAATCAGCTATAAATCAGCTGTAAATCAGCTATATATCAGCTATAAATCAGCTATAAATCAGCTATAAATCAGCTAAAAAAACAGCTATAAATGAGCTATAAATGAGCTATAAATCAGCTATAAATCAGCTAAAAACAAGCTATCAATCAGCTATAAATCAGCTATCAATCAGCTATCAATCAGCTATAAATCAGCTATAAATCAGCTATAAATCAGCTAAAAACAAGCTATAGATCAGCTATAAATCAGCTATAAATCAGCTATAGATCAGCTATAAATCAGCTATAAATCAGATATAAATCAGCTATAGATCAGCTATAAATCAGCTAAAAACAGCTATAAATCAGCTAAAAACCAGCTATAGATCAGCTATAAATCAGCTATAAATCAGCTATAAATCAACTATAAATCAGCTATAAATCAGCTATAAAACAGCTATAAACCAGCTATAAATCAGCTATAAATCAGCTATAAATCAGCTATATATCAGCTATATATCAGCTATAAATGAGCTATAAATCAGCTATACATCAGCTATAAATCAGCTATACATCAGCTATAAATCAGCTATAAATCAGCTATAAATCAGCTATAAATCAGCTATAAATCAGCTATAAATCAGCTATATATCAGCTATATATCAGCTATAAATGAGCTATAAATGAGCTATAAATGAGCTATAAATGAGCTATAAATGAGCTATAAATCAGCTATAAATCAGCTATAAATCAGCTATAAATCAGCTATAAATCAGCTAAAAACAGCTATAAATCAACTAAAAACCAGCTATAGATCAGCTATAAATCAGCTCAAAAACAGCTATAGATCAGCTATAAATCAGCTATAAATCCTATGAAATCACCATTTTTCTTTGACCAAGTCACAATTTATTTTCCTATGGGATTTCCACCAAGGGACGCCGCACGTCGTAGAGCGGCATGACGGGACGGTCGTCTTTCTCACCTAAAAACCGCAGCCATGGAACAATGGTTCCATGGTTTTAATAGGTCTTAATTGGGAAATGATCCATAAATAGCCAGAAATATCTATCTATACTTATAGTCTACAATTAACCTATAAATCAACATCTATAAATCATCTAAAAATTCGATAAATATCCGTCTTGGGGAATACGGAGTTACCCAAGGTATCCTGATTTTGTTTCGTCGGCTGATGGATTTTCCAATCATCCCAGATTCCCAGAAACTTGCCAAGCCAATAATAAACCATCCCTAATACCAATATCACCATAAATGCTTGGTAACCATCATCCCCCCAATAATAAGTTGAAAAAAATGCATTGGGTTTACCACATTCATTCCTATGCATCACCAGAAAATATCAGATCACATCAAGGTCCATTATGGTCCATAACCACATCACGGTTAAATCTAATCAACAAATCCATTCAACCACCATAAAAACAGCCTAACTATGGTCTCCAAGTGACATTTGAAGGCGTCCATTTCGAGTACCTGCAGCAAGACCAAGACAATCTCTTCCGGTCCATCCAAGATGACCTTCCCAATCTCCTGGCGCCAGAGTCAGCCTGAACATCACCCTTCAACCCCATCAAATCCCATGAAATCACCATGAAATCCCATGAAATCACCCAAAAATCCCTATAAATCCACCAAAACCATGGTGATTTAACTGATACCGGATGCACTGCCTAGTTCCTAGCGGTCCTAGCGATGTACTGTTATTGTTCTGATTCCAAAAGCTCTGATGCAACGATTTCTGTCGATCAGCGTGTGCCACAAAGTTGGCTGAAACAGACAGTCATCCCCACTGGGAGATACTTCGACATTTTATTTTGCATAACATTTTGGACAAATTCATCTCACATGTTTTCTGGAATGTTCTCTGATTTTGTTATTTTTGTTCCTCTGATATCTAGCAGCTAGCATTCGATCTGACGTGTTATCTGGCATTCTATCTGAAAGTCTGTCTGCTTTCATATCTGGTATTTATCCAGAAACTATGTGACACTATCTTTGCATTCTATCTGGACACGACTTTCTGACATATTATAAGGATTTTGATGTAGCTCGCGATAGTGTTCAATCTGACAAACTTGCGATATCTCGCGGTGGTGTTCGGGTGCAGTCAACCCCCCAATCATGGTGATTGTGGCAAGAATCCTCATGACTCATCATGCTTGATGCTTCAATCGGCCTTGATTGTCCATTAAACATGTGGCCAAAACTCATGTGGCTCCTCCTCCGTCCCAGGTGGTGTGAAGCGAAGATAGATCAGCTCAGCCGGGCGCTTCATTTGTCGCATCTTTTGACCCCAATAGTCCTGGCCACTATAACATGGCGATGGCTATATAGATGGCAACCAGAAAGATAGATTTTGGTCACTTACCTGCTGTATTAATCTACCCCTGATTTTTGCAACATTTTGGCGAGCATGCTCGTCAAAAGACCGATAAGAAAAACTAAACATCTCAGGTAAATGAGTAGCCATAAAAAGTCAAGGAGATATGACATAGTATGGCAAATCTATGGCCGGCACACAATCCCTTGGCATTCGCCATCAAAGCCATTGGTTGAATGTTTGGCGAGCACGTGCGGCCCAAGCATCGGTCGGGTTTTTGAAGTCAAATTGAGCCTGGCTGCGGCGAGCTTGGCTCTGTCACTAAACTACATAAGAGTACTGTGATAGCTTGTGTTGAGCCTATAGATTCCATGTATACATGTACATGTATAATTATACATATATAATATTCGGACATGCAACATGCGGCAGTATATTTCACTATGTATTGCATATATATATTTATAGTTGTCATATCCCCATATAATAATGTAGTTGTATCATTGTTTACGTACCAATATAGACATCAATTACATGTATGTATATATATATGTGTACGTATAGCATAGTAGTTATATATACACTGATTATATTATATTGATATACAATATACATATCAATTACATATCAATATTTGTATCAATAAACATATCCATATAGAATATACATCCATATACATATACTCATATACTAACACTCAGTATATACATATGTGTAATTAAAATATGCATGTATAATATTATGAAGAATATAGAATAATGTATTTTTTATTAGTATGCAAACGACAACTTAAGATCTTGCATCCCAATGCGGATTGCATCCTACGGATACAGCAATGATTGTGTCAACAAATGATGGCCGGGGTCTGAAGCCGTCTGACGCATCCCTGGATAGTGACTGGTAAAAAGTTGTCATTTTTCTATCCCGTGGGACCCCTTCAGTTTTCAGCATACCGAGAAACTTTTGCGTTGGTCCTCCAAACCGCTTGAGTCCTCAAACGCGCTTGTTGAAGCATGTTGTGTTGCTGGAAGGGATGACTCATCTCGCTGAAGTCTCTGCTTCTGCATTGTGATGTCGAAATAATTAGTGTTGAAATCTGGTTGGCGGTTTCAACACCTATGAAAAATATGAAAGTCAGTTGGGATGATTTTTCCCAATATATGGAAAAATAAAATTCATGTTCCAAACCACCAACCAGAAATTACCGTATAATCTCTGCTTCAGGTTGGCGTGGGGCTAGCTCCAGTTCAACCCTGCCTAAATCCCAATCGAATGATGCAACAACTGTTCCTGCCCAAAAAAAACCTCCTTGCAATTCCATTTAAGCAATGGCAATCCTAGATACCCTCCACACATAAAAACTGATCGCCAATACAAATACATATATATATATATCATTACATATATACATTATATATATATATATTTGTATATACATATTATATATATACCAGTCGGTTCCCCCAGCGGAGTTGTCTTGTATTTTCTGTGTCAAGAGGCTCTGTGATGAAAATCCAACGGCCTTCGAGCTGCTTCACCATGTCCTGTCTGCCGTGTAAACCAATGGGTCGATACAATGGTTGTACCATCCAAACCTCAGGTGCTTCCTGCCTTCCTGCAGTGAATTTTACATAAAACATCATGAAGCTGGAACCACATCGAGGACTGCTGGTTGCCAATCTAAACAGACATGCAGCGATGCCCAGCCAGTTGGCTGACTTCCAGCTCTTTTGAGACAGTCACAGTCACAAGATGTAGTAACCTGCTGTTGCCCGAAGCCCACTCCATGAATACCTAAGCTGGACCTAAAGCATCCTAAAACTGAACTAAGTACATGATATTGTATGATTACCATCATTTAACACTTCGCCATGGAAAATCACCATGCTATTAATAGGTAAACCATCTATAAATGGGCCATTTTTAATAGGCATACCTTTCTTGGGCACTGCAGTACTGCTGTCTTACCCCACCGAACAGTCGTAGCTTGACCTAACATCGCAGCTCGTGCCATAGAAAAAAACGCAACGAAAAAAACGGTGCCATTGTCTGAAAATAGGCCTTTAGTCCTCGCAAGATACAACGGTTTATCTGAGTTTCTCATATAATGTTATATAATGTGGTTATATATGGTTTATATGGTTATATGATGTTATATGCTACATGTCATGGCAACTTTTAGGCAACCCTCTAGATTTGCGGCCATGAAAACCCCGAGCCGGAACAACTCGGCTACGCCGGAATCACGAGCGGCTCCTGCTGAGGACTTCCGTTGAGAGCCTCACATTCTTCACCAAGCTGGTCGTCCCAAAGAACCTGCAGCGGAGCCACCAAAAAATTTAAAAAAGAGGCTGGCTGCCTGATGAAAAACCTAAGTGTCAACAAAAAAAAGAACATGGTAGTTACAGCCGAAAGTCGCAAACCTAAAGACCTACAGTTTTCAAAAACATGCAAATACCACCCCCTCAGTCACAGCTCTTGGAAGGTCCGCCAACAAATTTGCGAGTGCGGCTCATCGCAAGCGCCTGGAAGGCACTGACACTGAGGGGACACAGCTTGATGTTGGTGTAGGGCGCGTGTGTGGCGAACTCGTCGTTCTCCTGGTCCCAGAAGTATCGCGCACCTCAAGAAAGCTGGGCCATGAGAACGGCGGCAGCAACAGCAGGAGAAACAGGAGCAACACATATAATAAGAACAGCAGTCACGAGAAGTAAAAGAGAAAAATGAAGAAGACGAAGAAGAAGACAAAAGAAGAAAACAAAGAAGAAGAAGAAGAAGAAGAAGAAGAAATAAGAAAACAAAAGATGATGATAAACTAGACCAATAAGAGAAACATCAATTTTAGGGAGGGAGACCCAGCACAGTCAAAACATCATCACCATCACCATCACCATCACCATCACCATCACCATCACCACCCTCATCACCATCCTCATCACCATCACCATCACCATCACCATCATCATCATCATCATAATAATAATCATCATCATCATCCTCATCACCATCCTCATCATCATCATCCTCATCACTATATAATCATTCATTATTATTCATCATTCGTCAGCTTCACATATCAAATTGGTTATGGATGATGTACCGTACCAAGCTTACATTTGCCACAATCCATTCCCATAGCCTCTTGATGATTTAGCCATGGCAAATACAACTTCTAATCATTCACCAACCTGAACACTTCGGCTAGATTGGGATAATTTGGGATAGTTCCCCTTTTATTACCAGCAAAAACTGCACCAGCACATTCGGTGCCTTCTTTCCTTGCAAACTTATCATTCTTCTTCCACTTCTTGAAGAGCTTCATCGCTTCCTCCGTGGGGTGCCTTGGATATGGCAACGAACCAACCTGCTACACCGCTACACCGCTTGGTTCAGCTGGAAGAAGCTGGAAGAAGCTGGGGAGCAATGTCACGGACATCGGACACTGCATTTGCTTCCCTATCATTTACAACACTCAAACATACCACAAGAACAGGCCCAACATCGCAAAATAAAGACCTATAGATTCACCAACCCTAGTGGGCTCCACGCACATCGAATATGAAATATGATCGTAATATCATGTAACATGTGTGTATATGTTTAATGCGTGTATTAAATTCAACTAAACAAACACATACAAGCTGTGTATGTACAAATAGAATCAAAGGGACACCAGTTCATTACACTGTAGATCACTGTAGTGTATTCGTATCCTACATGCTGCTTTCCTAAGTGTAAGCAGTCCCCAATTGCCTTCCGCTGCCACCACATAAAATGTCCGAGCTTCATGGGTGTCAGCATCGTTCTTTCAGCATCGTTGGCATCAATTCGACAGGAGCCATCCCTGAAATCCATGGGAAAGCCGGTGAAATCTACTCTCCTGTAAACTAACAGAACTATGGAAAATCACCATGTTTCATGGGTAAATCGGTAAATCCACTATTTCGACTGGGCCATTTTCAATAGTTTTTTGTTTGTTTACCAGAGGGAATGGGAAATCCATAACACATCGCAGTCAGGTCACCGGATCCACTCCCATAAGGGTCTGCTCTGCGTATCTGCGACCTCACTGCGCTGAGTGGCTCGAGCGCCAACCGATGGCGGTTGGTTGTTCCGGAGGCCATTAGAATGAGAACTTGATGATGCACCAATCGATGTTGTGGTATATCCTTGTTTTTGGACAAACCCAAGGAAACTCCATCATGACCTCTTCCACTTTTAGAATCTAGAGCCATCCTTGATTCACTTCCCCTTCACGTCGCCCTCTGAACCCTCGGGATTTTTGCCAAAGCGACCCATTTGGCTTCAACCAACCTGTCTTGTCCTTCCCTGCTTTTCTCAAATTTGAAGTTGATTTCACCTGAACTCGGCACAGCTTGCAAGCAAGCCTCCGCTCACAGCCCAAAGCAACAACAGGCTTCGAACGTGGCAAAATGATTGAACCCCAACATATCCACGATAATCAACCCCAACATATCTACCATCAATCATGCTGCTCCTTTAAAGTAGCCGGACTTAGGGGTTGTCCCAATTGGGTTTGTCGGATGTTTTTTTCGGCAAGAGCCCGTATTCCCATGGTTTAGCATCGTACTTTTCCCTATTAAAACATATTAAACGCTTATTTTGGGGGTATCCCCATGTGCCAAAAAAACTCAACTGTTCATCAGCTAAAAAAACCGAGGTTCCAATGGCTTTGGAAGGACGTCCTTCGATGACGCGAACCTTCTTCGCCGCCGACCTTGGTGAATATTCTTGTTGTTGTCGTTGTTGGTGGTGGGGGTGCTGGTGTTGCTATTGTTGCTATTGTTGCTGTTGTTGTTGGTGGTGATGCCCTTCTTCTTCTTCTCCTTCTTCTTCTTCCTTGTTCTTCTTCTTCTCCATTTTGTTTTTTAATATTGATGATAATGAAAGTTGATGTTGATGTTGTTGCTGTTGTTCCTGCTGCCGCTCCTGCTACTCCTGCTGTTTCTTCTGCTGCTGCTGCTGCTTAGCCATTTTCGCCATTCAGGTTCTGTCATCCCCCTCTACCAGGCTGACTTGAGTGACTCCAGCATATAGAGACGTGTCCTACATCCCAAAGATATCAACCCTCAAGTCTGGCAGCCGACCAAGCGCTAATTGTAGGATAAGAAGCTTGCTGACCTCACCATTCTTGATCCGAATCTGGGCGGGCGCTAGCCCAGATGATGGCCATGTTCATGCGTTATCCCTTATTTCTATGGCCCAGGCCAGCTTCTCAGCGCTGAAAAACCGACATCTCACCGAACATGAAAGAAACAGGCATTGCCTGATATGCGTATATCGTATGACATAGAATCCCAAGAACGTTGCCAAGGTGGTGTCATGAGTCATAATTTCCACTGATTCATTCCCAAAAGAAAAAACAATGGATGAGCAGTATCAAGAGTGTATTGGAAAGTCCCGCAAGAACGGTTGGTTGTGGGGATTCCCAGTTCACAGATTATGGTAGTCCCCCATATATTATATATAATATTTACAAACGAATGGGTAAAGCCCCCCGATTCCGAAAACTGGAAACAATGCCATGGTTTTTGAAACTCCAGAATGTCCACCCCAATACCTTGATAAAATAAGATTGTTCGGCTGTTTGCATCTTAGTTTTTTGGAAATTCACTTACCCTCTGGTAAACTAACAAAAAGCTATTGAAAATTGCCATTTATAGTGGATTTTCCCATTAGACATGGTGATTTTCCATAGTTGTGTTAGTTTACCAGAGGGTAATAGTTGTATCAAGGTACAGTATTTCTACCAAATTCCGATAAGTTCATCTTTTGGAACTGATCAGTTGAGTGGACACACCGAAAAAGTGGGATGGTTGATCATCATCCTCCCCAAGAAATTGCCATAAATTACTGGTATGCCCAAGAAACCAACAGACCCAAGCATCATATCGTTGGTTACTTATCCCACTGTATCCCAGTTTTATATGATACCTCCAATATATGGGGATGGGTCAAAACCCTGGTACCTAGTGAACCCCAAAATAGCTGGTAAATGGATGTTCATCCCACCAAAAATGTATCTATAGGTATTGACCCATACCCATATGTCCCTAGTTGTATTCCCTATCCTTTCCAGTATATATCCTTGCGTATTCCGTTCATATCCATATTATCCATCTATTCATCGGCTCAATATGGCTCATTCACCATTTTCATCATCATCTTAAACTCCACTTGGTGTATAACTAGTCGTGTTGCTTAACACATGCCTTTGCTGCGGTTACATCAGGTAGGCTTCCCCCATCCATCGCAGGCCCGTCGCCTTCTCCTCTGGGGTGGGTTTCATCGAAGCTTTGTCGTTGTACGGTAGGCGCAGTCCATTCGTGGCGTTGATGGTCGTCTTGTCAAAGACGTTGGACCAAATGTTGCCTATACCGTTAACAACATGCTGGAACCGGAATCTGAAGATATCTGAATCGGGGAAGAAATGCATGCCACATAATGCCTTGTAATATAAATATAAATATAACATACATATTATATGTGTATTAATTATACACATATAAACGAAACGCACTAAAAAATCTCTATAAAAAAGAGGTCATCAAAGTTGTCTTATCGCAAAGTATCAGGATCATCCCTAATGATCCATATTTGGGTTTCTCTGAAAATGTTGGGTGCCTTTGAAGCCATCAATGATCATTATCCCTGTTAAAATGCTCGTTTGAGGATATACCTAATTTTCAGACACACCCATATTTGTTTCAGACATCGCATCGCGTGGCTTTGCTTCGTGTCAGGAACCCATTTTTGTGCCTTCGTCCGCAGGAACGCCCTTCTCCAAACTCAGCAACGTCCTGCTGAGATGTGAACCATGTGAAGGGCGTTTTAGACATTTGATGTTTATGTGTTTTCTCTTTTAAATGGTGATTAATGAATGATAAATTCGATCTTTCTGAGGGTGATTATAAGCTTAAAAAATGGATTTACCCATTCCAAATTCGGATTGAACCAACACAAAATAGTTAAATAGGTTATGTTAATGGATTTAAAAGGTGATATGTGGGAATAGCCATGGGGATATTATGCGGTATGAAGGGGGGGTTCATGGGATTTTTGGAACCAACATATATTACTTGAGTCACTCTCAAAATCGTGGTATACCAACAAAATTGCAATTCAATAGGGAAACTAAAACTAACATTCACCAATTGCTTGGGAGCCAGCCTATTTTCAGACAAGCCCATTTCGTGGTGGTGTCTGAACTCACTACAACTCATCTGGGTTTGTCTGCCAATGACAAACCCCATTCCATTACATGATTGATCATCATTTTCCCCTGAAACTTGAAATAACTTTGGGAATTTGGCACCTGTTTGGACAAACATTAGCCCATATCATGTAACCATCTACATATGTAATTATATATAATCATATTATAATCATATATATATTGTTTTACGTATATAATATATATATATATATAGTAATTATTTATAATCACATTTTATGTATAGATCCACATAGATCCCCATGCATTTTCTGCTCAAATCTCCCAGTTTCGCCCAGCCTCTGCAGTTCAGCCAGGTAGGACCCAGGCTTCGCAGACTCTTCTTCTGAGCAGCCACGGGAGGCGATCCCAGTGGGTCTATGCTGGTTTTATGGTGAAAAAATAATGTTTCTGTGGGGTTTCTGTATGTTTTGTATGGTGAATATGATGTTTATAAGTGGGGTTTCTCGGTTTCTGTATGATTTTTCAATGGGGTGAAAAACGGGTATTTTCCATGGGAGTAGTTTGGGATTTGAAGATATATATATATATCCATTTGGGTCTGTCGGCAAATACGGCATACAATGTATAATGTCCAGCATACTGTACCCGCCAAAATGGCGCTTTGATAAGGAACTTGATGATAAACCATTAATTTTTGAGGTACCCAATTTTCAGACAAAGCCACGGGGGAATGAGTTAAAACCTGGGTTGCACCGTGCGTTTCACTTGAAAATAGCTGGTAGTTTTGGATATTCATCGCCCAACGATGTCATGCGTGGATATGGAATGCTATGGGTCAAATATGTTTAGCCCTAAAATAGATGCTTTAGCACACCAAAACCACCGAAAAATCGGTGTTCATTTCTACATGCCATTTTGAGCCATAGCCAACCGCCATAGCAGGATCCATTCCACCGATGCCCCGGAGCCAGGCTTCCAAGGCGCTGAAGATCATCAAAGTGATCTCTCGCAGCCAGGGAGCACTATCGGAATCGACCACCAGCTGAGGCCACACCAAATGGAAGGAGGTCTTCAGTTTATCCTTGCCCTTGTTGAAGCCACTGGCACTGTACACCAAACATCTCCTGGATGAAAAGATAATTGGGGGAAAACACCAAGAAAAATAGGGATTTGCCGCAATCTCTGGTGCCAAAAGTGAGAATCAACATGTAGATATTCCTCCCGGAATCCTCTTTTTTCTGATATCTTCATCGATGAGACATAGAAAAACCACCATGAACAGTTCTTCCAGCCAGGTCTCAAATCGTCAATGTCGGAATAGAGTTTCCTGGGCACGGCATGCGATGCTTGGCTCCGAGACTTTAGTGAGGAAAGGTGGAAAAAACGTTTGAACCTCAATGGATGGCATGGATGAACTGATGATACATGGTACATCATGGTACTGTAAGACCTCTGCCAGACCTTTAATGATTCGTGGTTCGACTCATTCCCAATCTTCGACTGAACTGAGTCTTCAGCTAATCAGCTAATCTCCACTGGAGAATCTCCACTATCTTCTCTTACATTCTTGGTTTAAAAATTACATATATCATCATATATCATATATCTAAATTATAATGTGTTATAATCACCATGAACTACCCAACAAAAACCGCATGAGATCCCCGCAACATGTTCTGTACCAGTTGCTGTACGCCAAGTTTCCGTATACACGAGGCGCGCCGTTGCATCAATTCACCAGGGTCGCCAAAGACCTTGTCACCTGTAATCGGCATGGCCAAACTTAGATCATTTGTCCACATTAAAAGTAGTTGTCTATTGGTTTGTCCATATCAGAACATATATATATATATATTATATGTCCAAATAGACAACTATATCAAATATATGCATAGTTTGTCTAAATCAAATGAATATGGCTTAGTCTATTGGTTTGATGAAAAACACTCCATCGAACACATGAAGCTCCCGCAATGCCGGTTCCGGGGACGCGGATTGGAACCCCACACCTTGACGCGTCGGCTTGTTCATAATCAATTCGTCCGGAGGATTTGGTCTCCTTGGGAAAAAACCAACGCGCTTTGTAAATGCGGAGCACAATGAGTCATTGAACAGTCTTGAGAGGTTTTTTTTTGTGGGACTATGAATGCAATTTGTATGGGCGCAATATTAAACAATCATGAATGTATATGTTTACATATAGTGGGAAGCCAACTATCCCTTGTTTTGGATGTCTTGACCCATAATGGGAGTTCAACATCCAACAGAACGGTCAAATTCCAGGCATGTAGCATAGCAAAATACACACATATATAGTCATATAGACATATTTAGACTATAACAAATCCGAATAGGTGTGGAATCCCAGCAAACAGTTTAAACACATCCTTTAAACCCTTTGATGAAGGATCATGGAACGGCAACACCAACGACAGAGATGCCAAATCCTGGTGCCAAGACTCTCTTGACCCTCGGGTGTTGGTACATAATCAACATCTGCCTGCGACCATCCGGATGCCCAGATGGTGATAGGCTATCATAGGGTGGGAACATACCAAAAAATACCAAAAATTCCCATAAACATATATAGCACCAATGGATTTAACCATGATAGTGGTATTTAACCAAAAAAATAGGATTATTCCCTAACATCACAATTTTCATAGGGCAAGATCAACCATTTTATAATTTTTTTGGGGTACCCCGTAGACGCAGACCAACCCAGTAGATGACTCCAAACCGACCTGGATGTCAAAGTCCTCGATAAAGGGAAATCTCGCAGTTTGCCTTTCCTCGCAAGGTTGGAGAATAGGAAAATCCACAAGGAGAGGGTATCAAAAACGAACAAAACCCTGTACCAAACAAGCAGTATTTTTTATGTCATGAACAAAAAAACAGGACATGAGGCCTGTATATGGTAGTCTACCATTTCTGCCTCTTCCCAGTTTCGTTCGTTCTCCCGCATGAAACGTCCCATGGATTTTCAATGATTTTCATGCACACGGACACATACATATCCTCCTCAAGCACCAGAATGTTGGAGATCTTACTATGATTCTATGATGTACTGTGCACATCTTCGATTGTGGCCTATCATTGCCAAAAACCGATAGCCAGGTTATCTTTGACTAATACTAATCAAAAAATGAAAGTAGCCTTATATTATATATATAGCCAGTGAAATAATTAATATAGCCTAGTAGTGAAAGAACAGTATTTCCAGGGCCCAAAGACAAGGACTCCATCCTGGGACCCAACGAGGACTTCGCAGCTCCCAACTTTTGATGACACATTGATTCAATCCCATACCCACGAGTTCCCATGTTTAACAGATTGTTTTGGGGCTTCCCAATCTCAACAACTTACCCTCTGGTAACTTAACATGGCACTGACAATATCTCTATACATTGATATACGTGGGTGCTTTTATATGGCCATGTTGAAACTTGAAACGCTGTTGCGGGTGGCTTTTTCATATGGTGGTTTTATGTGGTTTTTATAAATGGTGGTACCCCAAAATAGATGGTCTCTAATGGAAAATCCCAATCTAAAATCTAAAATGGATGATGCAAAGGGGTACCTCCATTTTAGGACACCGCCATATGCAAGTCTCTGAGATGTAGTGAAAGATGTTGCGCTCGTAAAGCCACGCGATGCTCTGGAAGAGTTCATCCTGAATGCTGCGAGAATCCTGAGGAACTCACCGCGCCAGGAAGGAATGATGACAGTGGTAATCCCATCCCCCCAGTAGTTGTCCCTTGGATGGTAACAACGTTGTGGTTTCATCCACTACTCAAAAACTAAAAGACATTTCCCTGTTTTTTACAAAAATCCAAACCACTAAAGTCATTTCCCTCTTTCTTAATTCCCTACAAAAGTCCATGGTTTCTTTGGGGGCTGGGTTTTGCCAAGTCTCGGGAAAGAACCATTTTCCTGTGTTGGTGAAGGTATCCGAGCATCCCTTCAGACTGCAGTGAGTCATGCTATTGCCATTGGTTTCCTCAACGGAGCCGACAAGGTAACAGCCGGCTAAGTGCAAAATGGATGCTTCATGGAACAGAAAACAATCTCTGGGTTTGTCTGAAAATACACCTAAATCCAGTGGTCTATATTGGTTTGTCAATGTTTATCATAATCTCCCCTTTTAAATCCTTTTAAATGGCCATTTGAATGGTATACCGTATACCATCGTATACCCCATTTTCAGTCACACCCATATATGAAACTGAGCACCGAAACAATTGAGACCCTCACCAGCTACCAATCATATCTTGGGACTATCTTGGGGACCTTTACGATCGTTTCAAGAGGAAAAAACACAAGATACATAAGCAAGCTTGGATGTCATGGTAGTAGAAGAATTGTCGGATCGTCTCGAACTTTTCTTTCTCCTCCTGGGATTCGTTTGGCAAGATGGCCCAAGAATCCAAATAGAACCCCTGGCCCATGCTCCTTTTAAGGTTCCATCTTCGTCATGCTGAGTAAAAAGGGGCTGTTTTCTTTTCATTTCCCAGGTGCCGAGCTGTGTTTTGGCACATGAGAAACATCAAACAAATAGAAACCATTACAGCACCTCAAAAAAAAACTGCATGGCCATTTACCCTCTGATGTCTACAAAAAAGCAATTTTGTAAAGGACCCACCTCTCAAGCTTGCACAATGTCATGACTTCAGGTTTCATAAAATGGGCCTGCGGCGGCTTTGTTTCATTCTCCAGGAAACATCGGTGAAAATGTTTGCCCCAGGTCCCAGGTCAAGCCGTTTCTATATAAAATGATTGCTTTGGAATCTGGAAAAAGGTTTAACTATGTTTAACTTGTAGCTATCCCACTTCCCAGGGAAACACTGCAATCCTTTTTCTCAGTTTTTTCCCAGTCCCAAAGCTTCGGCAGCACCCTATCTTCACGAGGCGTCCTTCCTAATCTACCACATATTCACTGGATTTCACTGGGAACAAGTCGTTACACAATGGCTCCGTTATAAAAATGGTCCCTGAAACGGTACATGGGTGCACCGGTGCACCCATTCTGTTTTTTGGACATGTGCACGGGGATAAACATATGAGTTTCTGATGGCAACCTACTGCGATCGAACATTTCGCAATAACGGAGACTTTCCCATGTGACATGTGAACATGCCGTTTAATACCTAGATTCGTAAAGAACACCTGTTGCAGAAAGTTCCGGTATCTCCACACAAGTCAACCAATCCCAAGCAGAATAGTACATATATCCATTTATGGATAGTTATGGCGCAACCTGCACGAAAGCACTCAACAATGAGGTACGGCAACCTGCTGACACCCCGTGTCCAACATTGTCCAACCACCTCTCCTCTTTCAAATACTTCTGGCCAGGCTGGTCTTTGTATTTCCTGCCCCCAAAATACCTCCATGGCGTGGCATTTCTGTACCGTTGCTGCCGGTGTCATCAAACATGGATGGCTGGGAAATCCCCGAACTAAATGGAGCTTTCAATGGGAACATTATCTATAAATAGACCATTTTCCATAGCTATGTTGAATATTGATAAATTACTAAAGGGTACATGCAAGCAAATATTCAATTGATGCCGAATTATACACATCAAACCCTGACCCTGATGTAACTTGTATACTTCTGCGTGACGCTATGTGCATGTGTCTGATTGATGCTTGTACGTATGCATTCATTATGAATCTATCTGTTTATCATACATATTTGCGGCTGGACATAGCATGTGTGTTATGGTATGGGTGTTTGATACTCAACTAGGGCAAGGACTGGGTTCAAAAACGTTTTTTAACTGGCATGTATAGTATATCTGCTGCTTCCCCCGACTTACAATTCTCACATCAATTCTAAGTTTGCTGGGATCGACAAGAATGTCTCCGCTTGAACAAACATCCAAGTTGTTTTATTGCTTAAAATCGCACACTTACAAACCTTTGGATGATCAGCAATATCAAAACAACCTGTGTTTGGCTCAATTTCCCATATGTCTATTGCTCAAACCCAACTCAACCCATTGAAAGAACACTTTTGGTTGCTTAAATGCCCATTTCGATCCCTGGTTGCTTATGTCATATCCCATTCTATGCAATAAGCAACCATGATATATCGCCGCATTGCTATAATTATTTCCATTAAAATCCCGTTTTCTTTCCATCAAAAAATCCCATGATATCCCATTCCTATGGACAAAATATCCCAATGAATATGCCACATTTCAACCTCCAGCAATCCACCAGAGTCACTGCAGTTCCTTGCGAGTGGCTTGCGCAAGGCCTCAGGTGGTTTCGAATCATTCTCCAGCAGCCCCTTCACCTGCCCCAGGTGAAATGGAAGGGAGGAATTCACGTAAGCAAAATGGTTTTCAGATGGTTTTACCAGCATATAATATATATATATATATATTATCTATAATACATACTGTATAATACTGTATATATGTTATATATTGTTATATCATGTATAAATATATCTTATGGGATTTAAGCAACCAGACATCAGGGCGGCGAAGCCCCAGCAAATGGAACCATGGAGGTTTAAGCAACCCCATCCCAAACGAGGTCCATCCTGGCCTACATGGCCAGCTCGGCCGCCCCATAGAATGGATCATCCCAACCCTTTGGATCTTTAGAATGCAGTTCACCCATATATTCCCCAGCCTTAAAAAAAATCACAGTGAATCAAGTCTGATATCATCTTATATCACGTTTGAACCCCCAACATGGGGCTTAAAGGATCAACCTCAATGATATTCCAAACAAAACTCCCCATCCGGTCGATCCGGGGGCCTGGGCATCGAAATCCCAGCGTTCAAACATCTCATCTGCGACCTCCATGGCCAAATCCTCGAAGCGCACGGACGTGGACCCTCGTGGTACATGTAAAATCTAAAGCTCCGGACCCTCCGGATGCGAAAATGTGCATTTGTTCAGTATTGACTCTCCATCTTTTGATATATCCCCACATTCGGGCCATACCAAAACCCATTTCATAGACTGGTTTTTGGCAAGTGAGATGACGAGCCAAACCACCAATAATCAATAAATGTGTGTTTGTTGATGAGCTGGATCATCTTAACGAGAGAAAGGAATGGAAGATCGAGAAAGAAAATCAAGCGAGTGATGGAAAACGATGAACTAGACAATGGTATTTGGATAGGTTAGTGCATTTTAATACCCTACTTTGAGAGCTGCCGATTCAAAATACCTACTAGGCAAACTGCCGCCTTCAACCTGGTCAACTTGGAGGTCCCAAACTGCGGGTCCGGCACTATGTTCCGAACCGTGGTGCAGAAAAGCGGCGGGATTCAACACAGATCGGACTGTTGAAAAAAGTGTCCGAATTCCAAGATTCTTGAGTGCACCTTACTCAATAACTAACGATAATAATAATACATAATATAGTAATAACTTATTAAAATCTAATAATAGTAAAGTGCAAAGTCGCTCAGTCACTCCATCAATTTTTTTTCACAGAGTCTCGGCCACCTGCCCAACCATTCTTTTTTTTTGCACAATTGATGTTGCCTGTCACCCACCCTTGATACTCCAGGTATCTGGACAGTACTCACCCACCATTGTGGCACAAGATATTCTCACAGCTGCCGGGTGCTTGAAACAGCTCTGTTTTGCACTGTCTGACGTCAGAGTCCCGCAACTTTAGGGGTACCACTTCCGCGCATCATGTTTTTTTTTTCGGCCAAGAGTCTTGCAAGTATTTGAAGGTCATGCCGGGCTGTCTTTTGACCTCCCAAGATCTGTGATACCAAATGGACATCTCGACAATGCGCTTTCGGTCCTAGGGAGTTGCTGGCGGTTCCTGGGATCTCACCAGGAGGGCGGCTACGACCATGCTTTAGATTGATCCATGACCATCGATTGATTTGGGGGTCAATCCAGGGAAGCAAAACAGCTGCACAGTAGCATTTGTCTCAAACTAGTCCATTTTAATTTCAATGTAAAAAAAAACTACAACCTGTGGATTTTGGTGCATACCTAATGTTGGACAATCCCAAATCTACATATGTGCTTCCTAATGATTAAGACCCCATATGTGGCCTTTGACCCCCATTGCTCTCCGGGTATTGCTGGTGATACGCCCACACTCATTTTGGGATGTCGGCGGAATGGCCGAATGGCTGACGAGATCCAAAAAAAAACCTAAACCCTAAACCCTAAAACCTAAATCTGGCATGGAACCCAAAGTAAGCCTTGAAAGTAAAATCTCATTCAAACCGTGGTAAAAACCCTAAATTTTAATTACCCTAAATGAACCCTAAACAAACCCCAAACAAACCCTAAAGAGTTGGTGACATGATAAACCTCTGGGCGGCACCCCGCCTGGGGGTATATTTACATAGTATATATTATATACAAATACATACACAAAGGTACTATATATACACAATTCATAGATAAAATCATTATATAATTATATATATAATATATATATGTATATACTTAACTTATCTGCCACATATCCATCTGTTCCGGAACAGGCACGGTCCAAAGAAAGCCCAGCATCTCTAGGGTCCAGGTTTACCTTGGGGGTGTTATCCAGAACCTTCTCCAACATGTGCTGGGGCAATTGGAACCTGACGAAAACGACCGCTGGTCTTTTAAGATCTTTTAAGGGGATAAAAACTTGGGATTTACCAGTGATTTTGTCATGGGAGTTCATGGATGAACCGGAGATAAATGAGATTTTGTGATGAATGGAGGTTCCACAAATAGAGGGAAAGGAGGGAATTTTCAAGTACCCTCTGGCAACTTAAAGATTTGTGATGGAACATCACCTTTTCTTCAGCTATATAGGTAAATCATCGAACTGGATGGACCATGGTTTCTATATATGTTTCAATAGCTATGTCAGCTATGTTCAATGGCCTGAGGGTGACCAACAAAAATAAGCGGAATCATGGGGGAAAAAGGGGATTGAACTTTTTTTTAGGGGGAATCTTTCATGGGAATATTTTGCATGTTCAAAAAGGGGGAAAAAACATAGGCACCACACATAAGACAGATGATTCATATGATTTTGGAGTGTGCAAACATGGGGTGCCTCTTCTCATGTGGCCACACGATTCCACTGTGGTTAATATCATACTCCCCATGAACAATTGCATAATACTTGGGGTTGCACAAACTAAAAACAAACGTCGACCCTCAAAAATGATCGTCCCACTTCTCAACAAAGATGAAAATTCGAGTTAGTATAATCCATTCTTCGTTATAATTTTTTGGTTTATTAGGCTAGTGTATCAGTATAATCCCCTATTAGTTGATATAATCCACTATAGATATTACTTGTTAATTCTCCACCATTACCATCTGGTTATTTAACATAGCCATAGAAAATCACAATTTTTAATAGGTAAACCATCTATAAATGGTCCATTTTCCATGGCTATGTTAAATAACCAGAGGGTAGTTAGACCCACTACTGGTTGGCAAATTTCAACGACCAGAAACAGCTGCTGTGGCGTTCGTATTCCCCATCTCTGTCCCAAAGGTTGCTCCATTTGCCGCCATGCTGTCCTGGAATGCTCAGCGATGCGTGGCACAGAGCTGGATGGTTGATTTTCATGGATTGGTTTAAGGGAAATTTTACAGGAAAGTCCCATATTCAATGGGAAAATCTATGGTTTCTGCCTGTAAAATTTCCCTTAAACCAATCCAATCATGATTTTCATGGAAATCCCTAGTCAAACTCCATTGGAATGGATGCTTTGGGGCTTTGGGGGTAGCCCAAAATTGCAGGAAACCCCAAAATTTCGTTAGGGTACCTTTTAAACTGTAATTCTGGTCATGTAAAAACACACCTGCCAGGGATGATTTCGCGATTTACGCTCTGGGATTTTTTTCAACGTAGGTATGGAAACAAAACCACCGTTTTCAAATCAGGTGAATCATAAATCATCTATACATTATGGCGTCACAACGAATTGGTCGGGTTTCAAGGGAATTTCATGTGAAACCAGGATCACAATTGAACCCAACTGATGTAAAGATCTATTGAGATTCTCGGGCTCTTGAAAGCATTGACAGTAGCCCCTTGCACCCACCAGCTGTTTTTTGGTGCAAGCAACCGTTCAAAGTTGTAGTTTCCGAAATTGAAGGGGTCTCGACCACTGCCCCGGAGCTTCAAATCTCCCAGAGGCAGCCGGAGATGGTGATAGATCCTCGCAGAAATTCATGACCATAAAACTGCTTGGACGTACCCCCTGAAGATCAACTCCAAATGCCATTTTCTCATACCCTCTGGTAAACAAACATAGCTATTGAAAATGGCCCAGTCGAAATAGTGGATTTTCCCATGAACAATGGTGATTTTCCGTCGTTTTTTGTACGTTTACCAGGCCGGGCATAGTATAACATATGGAGAAAGCCATCAGGAGGCCTGGGGCCCCCCAGGGACGTCACTGGATGCATCTCATTGATAAAATTCTAGGTCCAAGTGCTGACCCATGCTCACATGGTCCCACAAAAAAAAACACTTTAAGATCCTTTGACCCACAAGAATCGAGGAAAAACATCATCATCATCACCATCACCACCACCACCACCACCATCATCATCATCATCATCACCATCACCACCACCACCACCATCATCATCATCACCACCTTGATTATGCAAACATGTAGTGGTTCCAGGCGAGGTATTGCATATGATAAGAATCATATCTTTCTCTATTCATAAACTCGTAAAGCAAACGACCCACTTGTATGGCCCCAATGTATCAGCAATTAAGAAGGTCCAACAATGCTCCTTGTGGAGGCTAGTACCGTGCAGCAAAACAGGAGCACGAAAAGACAAAACACAAGCAGATTGACCCGTATAAGTTTGCAGGAAATGTGTGATTTCACAAAATACAAATGCAAATGTTTTTTTTTTCATATGATGATTCAAAACATGGTATCCTCCGGTAATCAAACGTGGCAATGCAAAATCCCTGCTTTATATAGATGTTTTGTTCCCATTGAAATCTCCATTTATGGCGTTTGATTACCGAAACATGATAAACCATTAATGCATTAGATCATTAGACCTCATTAATATCCCATTAATGTATACTAATGTCCCGTTGATATCTCATTTCCATGATAAACCATCGATTTATCTCATTGATATCCCATTCATATCAATTACTGTAATATCCCATAAATATCCCAATAAATCACCATACATCACGAAATAATTTTCCCAAGACTATCCCACATTCATAGCCATGAATATTCCAGGAATCTATCCGATTGTAACGGTTCCCCCTCCTTTTCAAACAAAGTCACTTGACCTTGAACCTTTCCCACTCGTGCTTGTTGCACCGCTGAATCAGATCGTCCACGAGTCGGTGTGCCATGCCAGGTGTCTCCTGAATCAGAACATACCCTGTGGTAAACGAACAGAGCTATGGACATGAATAGATTTTAAATAGATAAACTATCTATCTATCTATCTATCTCCCTATCTATCTATCTACCTATCTATCTATCTATCTACCTATCTATCTATCTACCTATCTATCTATCTCTATCTATCTATCTATCTATCTATATCTATCTCTATCTATCTATCTATCTATATCTATCTATCTATCTCTATCTATCTACCTATCTATCTATCTATCTATCTATCTATGTGTATATATATATATATACACATTTATACATATATATACACATATTTATACATACATATACATATAAATATACATATACATATATATATATATATATATTAGATATACAAATATACGCACAAATCCGCCTTCAGAATTTCCTATATATATATATAATATACATACCATTCTGAGTCTGTCAAACCATTGGGGACACAACAACCATTGCTTTCCTCGCTAAATTAGTGGCTACACAAACTAGTATAGAAGTCCAACAACTATACAGTGTCATGATGACCATCCACCAATCTGGGTACCAATCTGGGGTACATAATCAATCTAAGCCAACAAACCTGACTATGGCACATATCATCTCCCCAATTCCAAATCATTCCAAGGACATCTCTATTGTTTAAACCTATGATTTATCCACTACGGTTTATTCCACTATGGTTTATAGATCTTTACCTAGGACCCTATGGGTCTATGGGTCACCCGCCATGGTGCCTTGGGATATCCCTTCCAGGGCGTCCTCGGCGGCGGCATACTGCAGGTTTAGTTCATCCCAATCCCAGTCGCGCGGCTGCTCCTGCACCCTGCGGCCGTTCCGGGAAGACCTTGGAAGTGTCCTATAGTTTTCTTGGGAAATCCATATGAAATCAACCATATACCCTCTGGTAAACTAACATAATTATGGAAAATCACCATGCTATTAATGGGAAAATCCACTATTTCGACTGGGCCATTTTCAATAGCTATGTTAAATTACCAGAGGGTAAATGATGATAAATGGATATATCATCCACCCAAAGAAGGTGTTGACCCCGCCATTAGTAGGGGCAATTCTGTTCCAAGCTCACAATAGGGAGCTACTCGCGATTTTATGTTGGGGATTGTTGGGGATGTGCATGGATAGAACCGACACCAGTGTGTGGTCAACACGCGTCTTTCTGACGACTGAATGTGAGCTGTGTGATGAAGTGTCAGCCAAGGATGGCTAATATAATATATAATATATAATATATAATATATAATATATAATATATAATATATAATATATTATATATTATATATTATATATAATATATAATATAAAATATAATATATATAAATAATAATAATAATAATATATATATATATAACATATAATATATAATATATTATATAATATAATGTATATATATATATCATTATATATATATATTATTATGTTAAATTAAAATAACTTATATTATATTATATGTGCGTATAAAATGTTGGGCACTATTCTGCGAAATGACGTTTATTTCGGACTAAACGTCTACAACTGTGATGATACCACTATGATGACCGGTCATAATGTGTATCCCGCATCCCCATTTGCTGGCGTCGATATTCACGACGTTGTTTGTTGGTCATCTTTTCCACGCTGATTGCATGAAGAAAAACCCATAAATTCCAGTGTTTTGTTCGAACATTACTGACCCTGATTCTGGCATTTTCCCAACTTTCACCAGTTATTCAATATGTTTACCTACTTTTAGCCCAAATGGGTTTGTTGAAACACAAAGAGAATACCCAAAATAGCTGCTGTAGTAGTAAACATGAATTAACAAAAAAAATGTTCAAGGTTCTCCCATAGTATCAAACAAAGCCAAATCATGTTCGAGAAAGACATCACACATCCTATTTCTGAATTTCTAGCCCCATATCATATCCATCCCCATCGTATCAAATTGCTGGCTAGCTATACGTACCCAATTCCATATCATATCCCAGTCTATTCAGATTATACTCCAGGAATCTATATCATCCATATCTACTCCATATAATATCCATGAAACATTTCAATATCATATCCCCTTCGTTACATGATCTATAGATGATCATATCCCTTCAGATCCAATGTATATATTCCGATATATATATATATATATTCCATTATATTCCAGTATATTGGCGTATATTCCATAGACTACTGTCCCATCATTATATGATCTATAGATGATCATATCAATATCACATCATATCATATCCACATTTACAAATCATTGAATAGACATTTCCATTGCAAACCATCCACATTATGGCATGCTTAACCATTCTAGGTTCCTCCCCACATCGCATCATATCTGGGTAAATTATAATAATTCACTAACCTGAATTAAGGCCTTTCACCTTAAGAAAGAAGCCATCACCCTGCCCTGAGGCCCAAGTGATGACTCAGCGGACTGTTCTCGGTTTGCCTTCCATCTTGGAAGTTGATGTGAAAATAAATGGAATGATTGTGAAACATGAACCTCAACCGCCCCCTCGAGACGTACGAACTGCCAGAAGTGCTTTCTTGGATCTTTTCTCCCGCGTTAACCAATCCACATTTTTCTGCTGAATGTCTTCATTCCAGATCTTGAACTCTGGGAAATCAACTTTTGGAAGACCCTCAAGTTTGCGGTTAGTCCTGGTCAAAAATTCGTCCAAAATGTCACAAACCTGACCTTGCAACGGATAGGAGGGACGACGTTTGAGCCCTGTAGTCCATATTGCATGGCCCTGCATGTACAAACCTGAATTAAGGCCATTTGGGGATGATTCCCCTTACTAACCATGATTCCAGTGAGGTCGCAGTGAGGTCGTTATAATTTACCCAGATCTCATCCATCCGTGCTCCGTGCCAAGGTACGGCGATGGACTCGCAACGAAGATGATGCCGCTCAGCTCCACTCCATCTGCCCCCGGGGACCTACAGGATGGTATAACCCCCAGTGATGTGAACGTTGGTTTATAACCCCCATGAATACTATAGTTATATCTAGCATAAACTGGGACTTAGAAGTGCCTATATCTATAATAACCATAGAAATGGTTTATAGAAATCACCTTATAAGTGCCTATATCTAGCATAAACCAGAGAATTCAGCCACTTATAAGGCAACTGAACGCTATCGATTGGGGGCCTGCGGGCCCCATCCTGTATGGACTGAAGTAGATCCAGTGCGGGGAAGTCCCCAAGCAATGGGGGATAGATCGATCTATCCCGGAGCTATGACCATCCAAGCGACAATTGGTGGTTTTTCGCCACCCCTCTGAAAAATATGAGTTCGTCAGTTGGGATGATGACATTCCCAACTGAATGGAAAAATAAAAAATGTTCCAAACCACCAATCAGTTTGTAATATAGTGTAATATAGTATATGATCATTGTGACAATGGATTAGATTGCTGACCAGTGATGACCATGGCACAAATGAGTTCAAAAGATCTGGCAATATTTGACATCACTTGTTTGCTGCCGTTTTTAGTTGCTCCAAGTGTGGTCGACATAGCAACAGCTTCAACATCACATCTCTTCTTCATCAAGGCATTTCTATTGGTGACAAAACCATGTTTGGCAGGCCACATTCCTCTCTCTATTTATACCAGTTGGCCATAAATCCCATGATATTCCCATTAGAAACCCAATCAACACCCAGGAACCCCAATTAAAATCCATCAAACACCATCAAGCACCATCAAACACCATCAAACACCATCAAACACCATCAAAACCCATTGAACATCCATTAACAATCCATGAAACATCCATCAAAAATCCGTATAAATGCATCCAACATATGGCACTTCAGCAATGGCCCCATGGTCAGAAGCCGTGGGGCTCAGGGCAAAAAATGCGGCCCCACTTGTCGATGTCCACGCGGCAGCGCTCCTGGTGGCTACAGGTGGTTTCTTTCAAATGGGGGGAAACACCAAGTCACCATAGGTTTCAGTAGTTACCTCCATCTGTGTACAATTACTATATATTATACACAATAAATGTATTTTTAATATATATATTATACTGCTACCTATGTGTATAATTAATCACTATTATTATACACAAAAATAATGTAAATTACCTCCATATGTATGTGTATGATTACAGTACTAAAATAACCATAGATGACGTAACTGTAAATGTATGTATTATATTATATTATATGCTAATATTGAAATGTCGGTTTACCGCTAATTTCAAAACAATGTGCATATCTCCTACGTTTTAAGTGATGACAAATCAGAGTAGCAAACCACAGGGCGGAATCCAATAGCCTCACCCTCTAGTCAAACATGGCTGGAACATCTCAACTTTAATCTGGAAATATAGGAATCACTTTAATCTGAAAATGAAGATTCTAATTGAAACATAATTATTTTCCCAAAGCCCATACAAATTGGCAGGATTTTCAACTGCCAATCTTTGATTACCAGAGGGTATTTAATACAATTGCAGTATATGTCGTGCATCTATATATATATATATACATATATATATATGTATATGTCGACAGGAAAGGCCTCCCGACCTAACACCTTCAAGTCAACAGGCCCAAAAGGTATCTCCAAAAATGATAGATAGTTCAAATCAAACCCTAAATAGTCCACTCTTAAAGGACCCCATAACCCCGCATGTCAACTTATTCCAATAATATAATCATGACAAACAGGGGTTAAAGTGGGATGGACGAGGCAGGAAAGAGAACGGAGATATTGGAGGACCGGTTATGTGGAAGGTGTGTGTGAAAGCGCGGTGCGTGAGAGTGTAGTATATGAAAGAGTTGCGTGTCAAAGAGTTGAGTGTGACAATGTTGTGTGTGATAGAGATGTGTGGGAAAGAGTTGTGTGTGAAAGACTTGTGTGTCCAAGAGATATATGTCGAAGAGTCGTATGTGAAAGGGAGGTGTGTGAGAGTGTGATATGTGGAAGAGTTGCAGGTGAAAAAAAATGCGTGGGACTTAAGTGTATGTAAAATACAATGTAAAAGAGCTGCTGCGTGGGAAGGAATTGTGTGTGGAAGAGTTGTGTGCTATGAAAGATTTGTGCGTGAAAGAGGCGCCTGGCCAAGAGTTGCGTGGGCAGGAGTCGTGTGTGAAAGAGTCCTGCGGGAAAGAGTTTCTCTGTGGAAGAGTTGTGTGTGGCAGAGTTGTCTGTGAAAAGTTGCATGGGCAGGATTTGTCTGTGGAAGAGTTGTGTTTGGGAGAGTAATGCGTGAAAGAGTTGCGTGAGAAAAGGTTGTGCGTGAAAGAGTTCTATGCGAAGAGTCGTGTGTGACAATGTTGTGTGTGTGTGAAAGAGTTATGTGTGACAAAGTTGTGTCTTAAAGATTTGTGTCTGAAAGAGTTGTGTGTGTGTGACAAAGTTGTGTGTTAAGGAGTTGTGTGTTACAATGCTGTGTGTGACAAAGTTGTGTGTGTGTGTGTGTGCCGACCCCTGAATCAAAGGGAATGTTATGTTGATTAGTTCAGTTCGGACTACATGTTCTAGATAGCTGGCACGAAGAAACCCACTGCACCGTGAGGCATCTTGCGAAATCGCGGAGAGTGGTTCGACCGTAGATTTACGAACTTGCAAGTCTATCGAAAAACATCATAACAGCTGAGCATGTTCAACCCAGTTCGCAGCAGTCTTTGCATGTATGTTAGTATAAGATCCGAAAGGTCAGTGCCCAGCATTGCCTTGGTGACCTGGTAAGTTTGATGATTGTCCTATCACGCGCCACCAGCATGTTTCTTCCTCAATCCGTGGATTTGCATGTCTTGTGAGTGAGTGTATGTGCTGAACCCTGAATCAAAGAGAATGTTCTGGTGATTAGTTCGGTTGGGACCACATGTTCAAGGTAACTAGCGCGAAGAAGTCCATGTTGCATATAAGTTCCAATCCGACACATCTGTGCATCTTCAGGCGTGCAGCACATGGGTTTCGATCGTTCGTTTTGAATTAGTATACCAACGAGCAGGGGCATTGGGCACTCCTTGGCAAACCCAATGCAATGAAGCTATGCCTTGGAGTGGGATGCACGGTCTGATCAACCGTGTGTACCTGCAGTAATCTCAGTATGGCAACTGGGCAAAGCCAAAAACCCAGCATGAGGAAACATGAATTTTCATTTCATCTCACTTCATCGTCTCCCTTCGGGGTGTTTCTAAGTGTGTAGTGCTTTTCACGCACCTGGATTTCTGATACAGTGCCAGGGAAGCTTGGCGGTGCGCCCGCTGGGGATACCAGATTTTGTTCAGAGTTACACCGCGCCGGTTGATCCAACGGAATTCGGTTCAAAGGTGTTCGCACCTTATCATGCTACAGAAGTAGATCTCGCACCATGCGTCAAACCACTGCACAGATTCACTCTTCAGAACCAGATTTGATACCAGATCTTCGAAGCCAGATTTTTCCATCAGATTCCTCCTCAGAGTTTTCATTTCAGAATTCCTCGTGTCATTCCCCCTAACAAGCTTCAACCACAGTATTGTTTCATTTGATTCCGCAGTTGAGTTTCACCAGTGGGCAAGTAGCCGCGTTTGCGCTTACCTCATGGAGCATATGCCGTCGTCAGCAGACTGGATGTATCGACACATGTTTGGGACACCACCGTGGACACCAAACACACAGACACCACCAACAAATTCATACCCAACTCCTCAGCAAGCATTATCAACAACATCTCAGCTGACCATGCCAACAACATCCACAGCAGCGCCATTTGCCATAAACTCAACATTTCCAGTTTCAGTTCCAGCAGCACAGCAGCAGCTCTATACACCAACACCTACTAGCCCGGCACATATGCACATGATTCCAGCCACAGCATCCCCAGCACCTTTTCCAGCTTACCAACCACCATTGCCAGCAGCAGCTCCTGCTACATTGTTTGGAACAACAAGCCAAAACTATCCAGACTTCCTGACTGGCTCCCTTTTTGACTATGGACAGCACACATCGCCAGCACATCAACACACAGCAAAACCCAGCCACACAGACAATATCTTACCATCACTAGCCACACAGCCACCTGTTCATTCTACATGCGCTCAACCTCAACGAGTGGAACAACATTCACCACATCACGCCAGCCGGCGACGCAAGCGCTCAAATACTCCACGATCTAGGCGTGGGAGCCGAAGAAGAAGTCGAAGCACACGGCGTCAACATCGCCGACAATATCACCGCAAGTCACGCAGCAGAGCAAGGGCAAAACGGTCAGAACGAAATCCCAGCACATCGTCCAGACCCAGATCCAGACACGCTAAGCATCACCATCATCAGCGTTCATCCACTCGACGACAGCAACACCAAGCACCCACGCAGTCTGGGAACATAGCAAGCCCAACACCGCAGACACCAGCACACACAATAATGCCACCACCACTGCTACTGCCACCACCACTACCACCACCACTACTACCGCCACCACCACTACCACCACCACTATTACCACCACCACTACCACCTCCGCCACCGCCACCAGCGCCACAACCGACAACGGTGCCACCACAGACATTATCAGCCCAAGTCCTACGAGTGGCAACACGAACAGCCACTTCCAACGCCATACCGGCCAGTACGGCGCCACAACCCAGGCACGGATCCACTACTACAGCAACGGCAACATCATCTAACTTAGCAATGACACCAACAACAACACAAGACCACTCCGACGACCCACTTGAAGCAGCTGTTCAACGCAATATCGACAGCAACACATCCGTACTTACACCATGGCAGCCGCCAATCAGAAACCATTACCACCCGTTCAATTACAAAGCACTTCAGCAGCGCTTGCACTCAGCAGCAGCACGTGCTCAGGAACTCACCCCCCCATCAGTGTACTTTCGTTTTTTGCAAGACAGAGATAGCAGTGTTCGTGAAATTGCTACCTTGCTTGAAACATCTTTCCCACCAGGGATTGACCTACCACAAGAACACATCATTCATACACTGTCAAAATATATTGTTACAACTGGGATGCCTATCCAAACTACGCTTGCCCGCATCACGTTCCACCAGCATGACAAATACCGAGTGTGGCAATTACACCTACGCAACATGCCACGCAGCACCTCTACAGCAATGTCGCAAGCAAGCAACTGCCAATACCATTGGGCGCACGCCACCAGTGAAACAGGCTTCTTAGGAACTTTACTGTACGGGATGGTACTACCAACATGTTCTGAAACAATGTCAGGCAGGCAATCTCAAGGCTTCTTCTGTGCAGCAACAATGGATGAGAGCACCATCGTTCAAAAAGTAGTAGACCGCTATCTCAGCGGAAAGGCACATGTTCCTTTTGTACTTGGCGGTACCTTGTGGGCAACACACAAAGCCGTCCCAAGCGGGGGCACATACACAGAGCAGGAAGAGGTCGAGACGCATGGCATCGTACATCGGGCAAGGGACAAAAGGTGGTGTATCCACGCTACGATAGCATCCATTCAGTCCATTTGGATTCTTGAACAACAAGCACACACAACAGAGCCACCGCAAAGTGATCTGATGCGTGAAGATGCTCCGCGGCTGACTTTACAAACCGATGTGGAAATGAGAGGTTATTAAACCTCAGCTCTTGCCCCGTAGTTTCACCAAGTGAACAAGCGACAATATGTTCGTTTTTAAACGGCAAACCAGGTTTGCAAATTCTTGTCACAACACATTTTCACCAGCTTGTTCAACACAGAGTCCATACCACACGTGAGGTGAAAAAAGGTGAAATTCGCACCATTTACGACAATAGGTTGACCTGGCTTTTGTTGTGGATTTTATGCGCGTGGTTGGGTCCTTCAACAAACATCATGTAGGATTGACACCATACTACCATCAAAGGTTTCATGATTAGTTCAGCATAGACAGAACCTATTGCTTTCATTAGTTGGTTTCAGCAGAAGTTTATAGCAG